AATTTTTAATTGGGATGTTAAGGTGTGATGTTAAAGTATGTTGCTTTCCATTATGTGTATGTTATGAAGTGTATGTGAAGAGACAGTCTAATTGTGTGCCGTCATCATCCATCACTGGGGTATGAATTATATATTTGATATTTAGATGTACATAATAGTTTATAGTGAGGTGTGGACTGCACATTTATAATTTCATTTTTTCTTTCTTCATATTTTATCAAAATAGCATCTTAATTCTTTTCTTATTAACACGTGGATACATACAACATTGTGGACATGATATGAAGATATTTATGTATGAAGTTTTTTTTAACTGTTTTAAAATCAAATTCACTAATGCTGGTAATCATCTTCACTTACTACCTTCATGTCTGATGAATTGAATTAGTGTCACCAACTTTCTGTGATCAAATATCAAATCATAGCCCTTCAAAATCTAGGGTCCATGGCTATTTTAAAGGGAAATCTTGACGATATCCAATTGCAAATAAGAATTTGATAATAATGATAAAAATGCATTTGAATATTCTAAATATATTCAAAATACCAAGCATATTTAGTCCAAAATTGTTCATGATTTATCTGGTCAGTATATAGCTGATATTAGGTTGACAACATCCTCGATCCTCCAGAGTTAACAATCACTATCTGCACCCCTTGATTATGTCATTACAAAATTGAAGGTTCCATCATGACAAGACATCAAACGAATCTCGAGGTCGCATGAAAGTATATAGTAATTACTGTAAAGTTGGGTATTGCTCCTTCGTAATCTTCAAAACGAACGTATCAGCCTGTGATTGGTCAGGTGTTTGCTGGCTTGTGACCGATTTGTATCTAGTTATTCCATTTTGCTATCCCAGGTGTTGAGTACCTCTTGTTGTGGTAGTGTGTGGTATTTGAATTGTGCTCACATAGACATATTGATGTATATATGCTATTTATTGATGTAAGGAATGTGCTACTCGTCATTAAGTCACTGAATGCTATTTGTTGTAGGTTGTGCCTTGTGTAAAGAAATTCAGTCCGGGATGAAGTAGATATACCTTAAATTTTGTGTGTCTATCAATAAAAATCAGTAATGGAATACAGCTTTGTTATTTGATTCAGTTAGGAAGAAATTGGTATTCCTAAGACAACGGTTTGTCCAGAGTGAATTACCTCCCCTGTCCATGTATATGTATCATGGCTATGTGTTGACTCGGTGACTTGACATGAATTCTCAACCAGTGAATCTACACTGAGAAAACAATCAATCACTACAGGATGTTAATAGCACTAATTCTTGTGTAACGTTGCTAACCTTATCACATTTCGATCTGATGTCTGTAAAGGCTTGACAAGACACATGAATAGACTGACAGCAAGGACAACAAGAGGCCCAAGGGGCCTTAACGGTCACCTGAGGAATGTATGTCAATAATCTGGGGATTTTAAAATGTTGCAAAAATGTAACAACACTTGTGCAGGACCGTGTGTAAAACATCTTTTGAGCATCCCCTAGTGGGACCGTTTTTGACCCGATTTTTTTTTCATTCGCAAACTTTGTAGACCTTGCCATAATGACCCTAAATATCAAATATGAACTTATTCTGACTGTTAGTTCATGAGAAGATTTTTAAAGAATTACCTAATTTTACCCCCTTTTCCCCCCTATTGGGGCCACACCCTTTTTCTTCGCAAACTCGAGGGGCTTCCCATGGGGATGCTTTGTGCAAAGTTTGGTCAAAATCCATTCAGTGGTTCTTGAGAAGAAGTCGAATATATGAAAAGTTAACGACGCACGATGACAGACGGCTTAGGTGACCTAAAAACATATCCTAACACGTGCATAATAGACTGGCAGACAACACACACAACAAAAACCTACCCTGGTTCATGGATAGACTGATAGAAAGACGACAAAAATATATCCTGACAAACAAATAGACTGGCAGACAACAAACGTAACAAAAACATACACTGACGCATGGACAGACTGGCAGACAGATGGGACAAAAATATACCTGACACATGGACAGACATTGGAACGAAAACATCCTTACACATGGACAGACTGGCAGACAGATGGGACAAAAACAGATCCTGGTACATGGACAGAATGGCAGACAGATGGGATGAAAGCATCCTGACACATGGACAGACTGGCAGACAGATGGGACAAAAATATACCTGACACATGGACAGACATCGGGACGAAAACATCCGTACACCTGGACAGAATGGCAGACAGATGGGACAAAAACAGATCCTGGTACATGGACAGACATTGGGACGAAAACATCCTTACACATGGACAGACTGGCAGACAGATGGGAGAAAAACATACCCTGGTACATGGCAGACAGGTGGGACAAAAACATACAATCAGCTCAGCTAAAGGACAAGAAGAAATAAATTTGAATCATACTTTTGAAGCAACTAATGATAAATTTGAGTAAGTAATGAAATGTCTCAGAAGGCAAGGAAAGTCAATTGAAGGCAGAAAGAGGACAAAGCTTGAGGAACAGAAGGTAGAAGGTCCAACACACTGCCCATCACTATTCAGTTTAGCTATTTACTTAGGCTAAAGGCCCATCAGAGGCGAAGTTCAATTTAGCATATGTCCATATTGTTGGAGAGACTAATTGTTTCAGTATTAACATGTTTGAAGACACAATTGATAATGATACAAAGTACATAAAAGTACACCAGATCCTGTTGATTGACACATACAGATCTAAAAATGCAGGTCCTACTAGTCTACTCAGACTTCAAGAGAGTGCATGCAAGTTGCAATTTTGTATAACATTCTAGCTGCTCCAGGGATTAAGCTCGCTATTGCTTTCTGCACCCCTGAAAGATGTCATGGAAAAATTGAAGGCACAATTAAATTGATTGGTCTAGATTGGGCTTCAGGGAAAAAATTTAACCAATGACAGCCTGACTAGCTCTGTCAATGATTACATAACAGTGACACCCAACTTCAAAGACTTACAATATGCCATTATGTGATTTCAAGATTCCTTTGATGTACTCAAAGGACGAAAAAAAGTCTTGTCCACAAGCTGTCCTACATGGAACCTTCAAATTTGCTATCAAAGGTTCCAGGGGTGTAGAGAGCTATAGTGATTGTAAACCTTGTAGTACTGAGGACGGTACAGGTCAGGAAGTTGTGTCAAACTTCTACAATCTCCATATTTAAAAATAGCCAGTTCTAATCCGTAAGTCTGGATAATTCTGCTTAATAATGGTAACACATTCTAAACGCTAAATATGAACGCCCAATTACCTTCTAAATGTCTTTATTCAATTCCATATTCTGTTACAAGACATGACAAAATCACATTAAACATTGTAAACAATGACGTTGGCACAAATGCTATCTCTTCGTGGCCATTATAATTTTCCTTTTTAATCCTTTCAAAAACATTGTATTGTTTTTAAAAGTTTCCAAGAGTGCAGTTGAATATGCACTCTGTTGCACAATTGAAAGAAAATATGCATTTCAATTTGATGATGCTATTAATAGACTTCCTTAATTAAGTAGCATAACAGGTAAATTTTAATTAGTCATTCAGACACAATATTTTAATCCTAATTCCTCTATGACAGGAGGAGAAATGTACTTTTAATAAATCAATGGTTTTCGACAAGCGAGTCAAAATGCTCTTTAACAAAGAAATGCCATATACATCTAATAACAGTAGTTTGAATCCATTAAACAATTCAATGCTTACAGAGAAATAACAACAAGCAGCAACATGAATTCATTGGAATAAACCATCTCTGTGTCCACTCCTACAAAATTTCCCATAACACATACTGTAGAATTATATATTGTCGTGGAGTTCAATTTTTTAGTTTTTTAAGAAAATGCCATTTTGCTGCACTTAATTTTGTATTGTTTAATGAATGTACTTAACAAATTTTAATAGTTCATGGATATAAATTCGTGGATCAAAAAAACCCACAAAATCAGGAAAAATAAACTCCACAGGAATATTAATGACTATACAGTATTTCTTTTCTTTTCTAAATATCTGATCAAAAGAGTCACATGCTTCTTTTACATATTGTATGTTTATTCAAAAATTTCAAAGATTACACATTTTTTACCTGAAAACTGAATCTGTATACATGAACTCTAGCCTAAATACCCATGGTTATCACACATGAACTGTATCCTAAATCTCCATGGTTATTATAAAGCAAGTTGTACACACTATGATTAACCTACTTATCAAATTTCTTACTATTTATACTTTGAGAAAAAAAAAATTAAATTACCATTGCCGAAAACTTCAAAAGTGCCACCTAAAAGAGCAGAATTTCAGAGTGTTTATGTACAAATTTTTGATTTCATTTCATACCTGCAAATGAATTCTTGACATTCCAGAGGAAATCAATGTAAGGAATTCCTAATGATGAGTGATAATAGATCACAGTATTTCATCACTTCATGATCCAATTTTGTCCAAAACATGACTCCTTCATATTGTACAACTCTCTGAAGAAATTAGGATAAATTGAATTTCTTGTCATTGATGTGGATTACAATATGAAAAGTAACAACAAAGAGTTTCTTCAACTCCTTAGCTGTCACCTGACAAAAAAAGATGATTTCTTATAAATTCCTGTCTACTTAATGAACACAAACAACTGTCTCTTAAGGATGTATCTTCCTACGACCTAACGGAATGAATTAAAACAAAAATGCCACTTAAGCACCATCACAAAAAGGCGGTAAGGGAAGTAACTCTTGACAAGTGGTATAGTGTGTAATAATGAACTAAACTGTCTTGCACCTGATTGGCCAATGTCTGCAGACAGCTTACTATTTTTGGACATCCTGCAATAAACCCATGCACCAAATTTAATTGCATATTCAGTGGTGAAAATTCTTAAAAATACTGATAGTTGTTTAAATATAAGCACCCCCCCCCCCCTTGATCAGAAACTTTTGAGTTGTCACCTCTAATCCAACGCCCCCCCCAACCCCCCAACCCCCCAACCCTGTGCTTATTGCAGGCGAAAACTGTCACCAAAATTTCAGTCCTGAAATGATATAAAAGCTCGTTGAGCTCAGCTTTTGTGGTTTTCACTCCAAAAATAACTAAAACATATTTCAATCAAGCTTTTAAACAGTTCATGGACACATGAATTCTTGGATTAATAACATCCATAAAATCAACAACAAAAAATTCCCTATCAAAAGTCAATCCTCAACAAAAATTAAAGATTTTACAGTTAAAAGGTCAATCCTTACTATGAGTCAGTGGTAAATGAATGGAACACTTGAACACCTGGGTACATTGTTAAACAAATATGTCGATACATGTGGGTATTAAATAGATAAATCCTTGTCATTTTTTCTGCCATACTTCACAAAATAATTACAGTTCAAAAATTGATCAACAACAAACAACTAGTGCAGACTAAAGAGTGCACAAGACCAAAATTAAACACAGTTTTTGTGCCTCAAGATCATCCGACAAATCCTCAATCTTCAGCCTCGTTCATTCAGGTTTAACGGTAATTCTCAATATATTCATTTATGTATTAATCTTGATATTCTTAATAAAGACAATTCTTAAAAACGATTTTTGAGGTAATAAAAATTCTGACCAATTATCTGGTCCCTGTCGATCAGTATAGAAAAATCGGTTTGCCTATTCAGAAAGAAAATGAATTTCCTTTCTTCATATACAGTGAAGCTCCTATATGAGCCCACCATCTCAATTTTTCGCCAACTCTTTCATAAAAATATGTAAATATATGGCATTTCATCCTTCAACACTGTGTAACGAAAACATCCAACCTGAACATTACCAGTGTTGGAAGCTACACCTATTTGGATGTATAATATCCACAGAGATGCCCTGTGTTTATTTCTATATAAACTTATTCATTAACTAACAGAGTGTATATGTACCTAAATCACACATATTGTAGGTAACAGCTCTGTCTCTGATTCATAGATTTCATACAGGTATTAAGGTATATACATGTATAATCTTTCATCAAAGCTTTAGTTTTTTTCTAACTCCTTCAAAACTAACCAATGATTGCAATAGAATTTTTTCTTGTTTCTAAGATGTAATTAGAACTTGTCCCTGTTTCTACAACGTAACAGAATTTTACCTTGTTTGCACAACATCAACATAACTTTTTCTTGTTTTTACAACATCAACAGATATTTTACCTCTTTCTATGACATCAACAGAACTTTTTCATGTTTCTAAGACATTAACAGAAATTTTTCTTGGCTGAGGTCTTTAACCTTGTAAATGAAGTACAGTGTACCTTGTACACATAATTTTTGGAAATATTCTGTAACATTACTTATGTCTCTGAAAATCAAAAAAAAAAAGAAGATTCAGGAAATAAACGATATAGCTTCATCAGAAAGATTATCATGAATTTACAACAGTTTAATAAATCATAACAAACACAGTACACCATTCATGTCAAATAATCTAGAATTGCCACGATATTGTTCAGACCAGTAATAATGCTTTACATTACCATCATGGAGGTACAAGTCTACCTGGCCTTGTTAATATTGAACACAATAGACTATCACTGTTTCCTAAACAGACTGAAAACTTCACTTGTCTATAATGTTCTGAAATATTTTTCCCCTTGTCATGAAATTTATCTATCCTTTTTACTTTCATATTCATGTTCATCAACATCTTCTTCTTCTTCATCATCGTTTTCTTCATCTTCATCCTCCATATTTTCTTCATCTTCATCAACATCCTTCTCATCCTCTGATAACTTCTTCTCACTTTCATCTAAAGTTTCCTCTACATCTTCTTTTTGAACCAATTCAAAGCCCTGGTCCTGTGCTTCCTGTTTTTCTTTCACCTCCATTTCTTTTTTCTGTTTTTTATCTTTCTTTTTCTTCTTACTATTCTCATCTTCTTCTTCCTGTTTCCCATTGTAGATGTCTAATTTATACAAAGGTTTGAAAGAATCGAAAAATCCAACGTCTTCTGTCAGATTTGGTAAAAACCAAAGATGCACTTTACCAACAGTCACAATCCAGATGACACAAAACAGTACGAAACGAACTAAAATAAAAAACAAAGAGACAAAATCAGTAAACGATATCATATTTATCAACAACCTCAAGTTTAAAACAACCACAAAAGCTATATTAATCATAATGCAATCCAATTCCAAGATTTTTAAAACAGGAAATTTATTTCATCAAATTGCTACGAAATAAAGCCGCAGCAGAGACGATGTGATATTCAAGTACTATAATAATAATATGATACTGTGTCTTTTCTATTCCATCATGTGGAAATTTAGCCAATTTGTATCAAACCATGCAAACCTTTAGTCCTGTAATATTTTCGCCACTGAAGAGCAACATACAAAATGTTGCATTTTCTCAATTGAAATTTGCCAGTTTATTATGCCAAAGCAGTCTTTTGAAAAAAAAAGGTGAAAACTAGATGCTGGCAGAGAAAAAACCAAAAAAAATAATGTATTATACAATATTTGTGTCACAGTGAAATGAAAATGACTATAAAATACACTTACAAGATAATTAATGATATATGATAATTTAATTCACATTTCTTACCAAATACAAGAAACAAGATAAAGCCAACAAAACTGGCTCCGGCTAAACTGCAGTAGTATACACCCACTCTTAACTCATCAGGCCACAGGGGGAATACGCACAGGGCAGCCGCACCAACCACTGGATAAAAACAAATACCACAATCTTATAACATGTAGTAAGCCCATGCTTGGTAATAAGCCCACCTATATAGAAAAGTGTCACATTTATCTAGAAGTAAAGCCACTTACATTGAATAGTATGTATTTTATTGTTAATTACCATTAAATGTCATTATATTGTCCTGTAATACTAGTCTATATCATGACGCAGAGTCTGAGGTGAATGCAGGAAATATTTTGGTAGTTATAAATATCGTGGGTGGTAGATTAACCAAACAAATTTAAGCAGAAACATACCAGAGGATATTTTTTGTGTTTTCCTTTTTATTATCAAATATTACACTTCAAATCAACCTGATATATCTGAGAATTTGTTTTATACTGAAAAAAAGCATTTTTTCTGTCTGTACATCTGTGTATTTGTTAACATCTGTTTGCATGTCTGTCTGTATGTCTGTACAGCTGTCAGTATATGAATGTTTGTATATTTCTGTCTGTATATCTGTAATTTCTCAAACAAATTAGACTTACCCATTAACAGACCAATAATAAAGGTCTTTGCTGGAACCGGATCATATATCCAGACATATACCTGAAAAAAAATGTTGAAAAATCATTAGACAACCATTAGTCAGTAAAACTATTATTCACTGTCCAGATAAAAGAAGAATTTTAGTCAAATTCATATCATAACTATGTGAGTATTTAAACCCATGTTTCATTCTACTACAAATTGCTCATCGCAGTAAATGAAGGAAAGTTACGAGACAACTGTGGGTAACCAATGATGGTCTTGAAAGTGACGGACCAAATCTATAAAATTGTGAAAGAAATATGTAAATTTTAATGAAACCTACGTTCCGGAAGTTTGTGATAAAAACATTTACCACGTCACTAACAGTTGGAACTGGACACACTGTATTAACAGTAAGCATGTAGAGTTTTCTAAGAATGTTCTGATCACACACACAGGACTTAATCTCTACTTATTCATAAAAAATGATTTAAGAATACTGCAAAGTTTTTATACTTGTTTGCCCTCAACAAAATATTTCATGCTGATGATAATTTACTTAACACTTACGTCATTTCCGTCTAAGAACACCTGGTCATCATGCATGTCCACTTTCAATTTTCTTTCCTTCTTCTTCTTTTCATCATCTTTTTTCTTTTCATCATCCTGAAATGAAACCTTAAGAAATTAGTTCCTAGATATACATTTATGCCTGTCTTTTCATCATCCTGTCCTGAAATGAATCCTTAGGAAATCAGTTCCTAGATATACATTTATGTCTATAGCTATAATATTTGTTTACATCTACTCCTGAGACACTGATGTACCAATTTTACACTAAAACATTAACAGTAGATATTGAAATATATAATTACAGCATCAATGAAAGTATGTCTTTATGTACAGAAATATTTTATCATACATCCTCGATACTTCAGGAGTTACGATCAATACATTCCTGATTCTCAGGGTTTGCAATCAGTTTAATTCTCTGCATTCCTGGAACATGTCATTGAAAAAATTGAAAGCAAAAAGTAATTTGATTGGCTCCAGAAAGGAAAAACAGACCAATCACAGGCTAATATGCTCCTTTTGAAGATTACAGAGGAGCAACATTTAACAGGGTGTTCCCGATTTGCCCACTTTTTTTAAACAAAGAAAGGTGTTGTTTCAGGAAGACAATAGAAAACTAATTATAGCCAGTTTCAGATTAACTATAGATTTCACCTGAGTTCATTTACCTGTGTTTTTACCTGCGTGAGCTATTACCAGAGATTCTACCTGTAGTCTACACTAAGTACTTTTCATTACATTTTAATTACACACCAAAGCAGAAAGTTTATCATTTCTTATACGTATAAATACGATTAAACATACTTTTACATACCTTTTACATAGGTAAATTAATATGAAATAGACTATATTCCTTATCACAACATTCTTCTGCCCATGTCATTTTAAAACGTGGGCAAATCGGGATACGGCTCATTCAACTACAAAGCCATTACAATATACCATTATGCAACCTGAAGATTGATGTAGGTTGAAGAGGGGTGTTCCCGGAACGTATACATGTCCATGACAATAGGTAGAAACATCAAAGGGATGGTAATTATAATCTGTTTCATATAGGTACTGCATTTACCTGAGATATTTTACCTGTGGATCTACCTGTAATTTTTAGATATTACAGATATATCATTATAAATCAACAATTAAGTATTGATATTTTGCCTCTTAATACTTCAGTATTTCAGGCAGAAAGTACATGTATACATGCACATGTCCTTCTAAAAATTGAATCAAATTCTTACTCTGTCAAATTGATAAATGATATATATACGCACAACCATTTACATAATCATTTACCTTTCTCTGTGAGAAGACCTAATTCTGTATAAATGACCGTTACATGCTAAGTTGTTATCCCCTTTTCTATTCTGGATGAACTTAAAATCTAACTGAGCATTAGCCATGATTGATTTCTAACAATATCACTTAAGTGTCAGAACCTATTAATGAATGATGGAATTGGGGATTAATTCTGAATCTTATCTAGATAAATAAATATATTATTTTTTATCTATATAGATAAATATATAGTTTGGATAATCACCTCAAGGTGTCACATCAGATGTAGCTTGGTCAACGTTAGCACAGTATTAACACAGTTCATCATGTTTTAAAAGATTGAACTAGGATAAGTTTTCATATTAAAACATTTCACTGGAACAATATCATCTGAACCCAAAAAATATTATAACAAAAAATTATATAGTGGAAATGATATCACAATATTTTATATTATTTTGGAATATACAACAAAAATAATATAACATCATTAAAAATTGCATAATAATTACATGTACATTATGTACACAGCATAATAATACATGTACATTATGGCATAATAATTACATGTACATTATGTCACCATACACGGCATAATAATTACATGTACATTATGTCACCATACACGACATAATAATTACATGTACATTATGTCACCATACACAGCATAATAATTACATGTACATTATGTCACCATACACGGCAATAATTACATGTACATTATGTCACCATACACGGCATAATAATTACATGTACATTATGTCACCATACACGACATAATAATTACATGTACATTATGTCACCATACACGACATAATAATTACATGTACATTATGTCACCATACACGACATAATAATTACATGTACATTATGTCACCATACACGGCATAATAATTACATGTACATTATGTCACCATACACGACATAATAATTACATGTACATTATGTCACCATACACGACATAATAATTACATGTACATTATGTCACCATACACGGCATAATAATTACATGTACATTATGTCACCATACACGGCATAATAATTACATGTACATTATGTCACCATACACGACATAATAATTACATGTACATTATGTCACCATACACGGCATAATAATTACATGTACATTATGTCACCATACACGGCATAATAATTACATGTACATTATGTCACCATACACGGCATAATAATTACATGTACATTATGTCACCATACACAGCATAATAATTACATGTACATTATGTCACCATACACGACATAATAATTACATGTACATTATGTCACCATACACGGCATAATAATTACATGTACATTATGTCACCATACACGGCATAATAATTACATGTACATTATGTCACCATACACGACATAATAATTACATGTACATTATGTCACCATACACGACATAATAATTACATGTACATTATGTCACCATACACGGCATAATAATTACATGTACATTATGTCACCATACACGGCATAATAATTACATGTACATTATGTCACCATACACGACATAATAATTACATGTACATTATGTCACCATATATTTTTAATTATATTACGTCTTTAATTATTTTTATTTTATTTCCTTTTTTGGCTGAGTTTTTTTTATACATGTACAGGTGAGAACCACAGGTAAAAACACAGGTAAACCGAACTAACATTAATGATGTAGACTATAATCACTGTAAAAAAAAAATTTCTATGTAGATGTTTATAATATGTATGCATTCCGGGATACAGCCGTTGAAGAATCTCACTCACAATATCCAGTCACCCCTAGCATGGCACAACTCAAATACAGATTTCTATATCTGTAAAGTTCTGGAAAAATAGGTTTATACAGGATAGTTCTTATCATGCATATCTTTCAACTTTCATTAATTGAAATGCAGGATAAAAGCCATGAACAAAATTTTCAACACATGAAATCATGAATATCTATGAATACATGAATGATTTATCTCCTGTCACTTGCATAATCATATTTTTATATATATAATAGATCTGAAAAATACAAAAATGTGTTTATTTGTTTACATGGTGTATAACAAATAAGAAAGGTACAAAAAGAGGACATGATATTTTTTACCTTACAAACATGACCAGCTGAACTTTAGATTTCATGTCATATGACATCATACCTTTTTATCCTCTTGTTTATTTTTGTCATCACTTTTGTCTTCTTCTTTTTCATCTGTTTCTTTCTCCTCTATTGCTTTGTCTTTTTTACTTTTTTTGTCTTTTTTCGTGGACTTTTTATCCTTCAATACCAGAATGGCATATTTAATATCTCATGTACATCACTACAGACAGTACAAAAGTTTACATACAGTGAGCCAACTTACTCTGAGATCCTACAAACTGTTTACTCCAAACATCTAACTAAACAGAATATTGTCCATGTTGTATAGAAAAGAACTTTATCCTAATTGTCAAAAGTGTACCCGAGTGATAAGGAATTACCTGGTATCAATAACTATTGACAAAGACTTTCATAACAATACATCCTGTATGAGTGAGAACAATTTTATCTAAATAATGTCTTTGATAAAAATTGGAACCTCTCAAAGCTATTAGAAAATACTGATGATTGAAAATGAGCTTAATTACTTTTCTCATCTTTATGACTTACAACAAATACCTTTAAAATTTCAGTTTTTATATTTTAGGTTCTCATTCTCCTACTTTTGTGGACAATAATAATTAATTAAATGAAAAGAAAGTTGGAGTGAATTATCCCCAGTTTCTTGTTTAATTAATAATTTGAAGGGTGCAGATTTGCGAAAAAGTTCATAAAAACTTTTGTAAAACATCTTAAAATATTTTTGATAGCAATGATAACTTAATAATTCTATTTAACTGTAATAATTATTCGGTTAAATTTGGTCATACTTTGTAAAGAATACTGTTTTTTTATCAAAACTGATTAATTCTGTGCTAGGCACACTACTGAGTTAGGACCAATATACATCTACCCTGACTGTTTCGTCTTAGCTGATACCTTTTCTTCCTCTACTTCCTCTTCTGTCTTCTTCTTTTTCTTCTTTTTATCAAGAATTTTGTCTTTTCGTCTCTCTAACTTTAATGCTCTGTGTAACAACCCCTTTTGTAGTAATCTGAAAATGAAGGAACACTCTGAGGTACACATGAATACAGTTAACACCTTTATAAAAAAAAACCTGTTTTTTCTAAAAATAAAAATTCCATAACAGCTGTTTTCATAATAGTTGAATGGTTTTACACATCTCACAATTCTCTACAGTTTGTATAGAAATCAGAAAAGACTCTTTACGTGAAGCTTATTTCAATACACAAAATTTAACATGACTAACAGAATTTCCACATTTTTCATTTTAAAATGTTAAATGCTCTTTTTACAACATTAATATCATTTAGAATAGAAACCCTTGGCTCAAAACGTCAAGATGATTTATAATCCTGTTGTTTATAAGAGACCAAGAGAGAACACTGCAATGAAAGAAAATCAAGAAATGAAAATCGATTCAAATTGTAAATGAACCTATTACAACTTTGAACTCTAGTTCATATCAAGTTTCTCTCAATGTCACTTTTCTTTGAATGTAATGTTTCTTTTACTGTCACATCTATTATTTCAAGTTTTCCTCTTAAAATTGCTTCTTATCCATGTATCAGGCAATATCACAAAAAAATTTTTCCACATCCCTGAGAAAAATGCTGTCGATGTCACTTTTCTGTTAATATCATGTTTCTGTTAATGTCATATTTTAGTTAATGACAAATCTGTTATCTTCAAGTTTTTCCCAGAAATTCTAAACCTTCTGCTCCATATCAATATATCAGGCAATATCACAAAAAATTTTTAGCATCCCTGAGAAAAATGCTTTCAATATAATTTCTATTTCATCACATCACAATAACTTTACATACCTTTCACAGAACTTTTCACAAGATTTCCTATCTGACAACAAAATATCACTCTTGCTTGGCTTGGCCCATTTTGATTTCAGGAGCAGATCAATTGCATCTGATGCTGAAATAAATTAATTCTAACATCAGCTAAACAAATCTGGTTTTGAGAAAATTCTTACATTATAAAGAGGTTTGTAAATGCATTTTTTTGAAGCTTGAATTTTAAGCAAGTGCTTTATATCTTCCCAGATACAATTAAAAAAACTTGCAATTAAATATGACCAAAAACATTAATTAGTCAATATTCTATTTATCATACCCAATGCTTCTGACAATAAAATTTATTCTATACTGTGATTATCTAATTTTAAAGTTTTAAAAATTTGAGAATTATTGAGTGAATGACAGCCTTATCAGGAAGGATAAGTTAGAATGATCTACTCTAATGGTTGATTAAAATCCCTTTTCTTATTAAGAAGCTGTTTTAGCTTGACATCTACAGCTGTACAACATAATCAATAAAACCCAAACCAATCATTGTAGCTACAAATTTGCTATGTAACATATTTTTTTTTTTTTTTATTTTCTGCTGCAGACTGACACCATGCTCTATTTATTGGAAGTTTACAACTTCACCATGAGACTGTAACAGGTTATGGTTAGCTATGTGGTACAGTGGTAACACACTCTCCTTTCATCAGTGTACGGGGTTTAATTCCTGGAACAGGGTCACCTACCCGACCATGTGGGTTTTTCCACCCAAGTAAGACACCTCACTGCTTCCATCCAGGTCAACAAGAATGATTAATATATGCTTAAAGCTTGTTTTGCGTATTTTTATAAAATAAATAAAGTTTATATTATATCATATATTCTAATATGGCTATCTATACTATACTCTAAAAGATATTCTGTCACCAGAATAAATGTCATTTTGTTAAGATTCACCTTAATCTAGATTGTAACATGTTAATCTAGAATATAACACATGTTAATCTATCCGTAGGGGTATACAGCCAATGTCGTTCTTTTTGTAGTGTTCGTAAGTTCCGTGGTCCCTAGCTTGGATACCTCCAGGTATGTAGGGCGATTGAGTAATAATGGTAACTAAAGGGTAATATTCCTGAAGGAGCCCACATGTTCAGGCGAAACCAGTAGACAGATTGTAACAAATATACTCTTCTGGTACCCTGGACTTGTTGCGATTCAATATTACCCACATGTTAATCTAGATTTTAATACACGTTCATCTAGATTATAACACACATTAACCTATATAACAACACAAGGTAATCTAGACCTGATCAGTGTTGAGTTGATTCTTTATGTTTTGACAAAAGTTGGAAAATATTGATTTTTATATCAGAAAGAAAAATCAGTAAAGGGGCTGAGGGGTATCTAAAAAATAACTTTTGTTGTTGGCTAAATGTAGAAAAAAAATTTAACTTCAAATTACACATTACTGACATTGCTGCATGCAACTCAGCACATTAATATGTAATAACTAGTGTGATATGACAGGCTGAGAAAGCTAAGTCTTGCTCTCAGAGATATATTGTTTAAAGTGCCTTCAGGGTATATCTTATGTTGATCCACGTATAACATGATATACTATGTCTGTGTGATGTACCCTCAGGCTAATCGACAAACAGGTATAGATCAGTCGTGTGACAGCTTGTTAGTATTCATCCTAAGAAACAGCTACCAGCAGGTGCCAAGGGAGAGACACACCAGTATTGTTTAAATTGTAACACCATATGTGAATTGCATATTAATCATGAGTTTTGAGAAAATGACTTAAAAATTAAAAATATTTAACCTGTTCATATAATGCATAATGCTTTTTTTTGCTCTCTTAAATCTCACTATTTGTATGGACAATTGATGGAAAACACCAACAAGACAGAAATATCTAGTATAGTTAATTTGTAAACAAAACAATGTAAATACCAGATTAATCTAAACCTTACCAACAAATGTCTTGACAACAGTTCCCATAGGAATAAATTTGGCATCTCGAGTCGCACAGTTGAAACGTAGATGTTTAGCGATTGAATATTCCTCTTTACTACAAGGTTTTTCATTGTCCTGTAAAAGAGATATTTAAAAGTTTAAAACATCACTAATAATTAGGAGTCATGTCTTCAATCAAACATTACAAAAAAGCTCCAATTATTTATAAGAATTACCTTAGTTTCAGCCAGCACACTAAGTGGTATGGGTGTAACATTATTTCAACACAGGTTGGATCATTAATCAAATTAATATGAGCCACACTAATTTAAATATTTCCTTGCTCATCTATCTTATCATAACCTGACAAAGTCCAAAAGATATAAAACAGCTGTTTGTTTTTTCACTGGTTTCGGATAGAAGATATAAATTTTTTTATAGTGAATTCATACGGGGCCCATTATTCCCCTGTGAAGTCCTAAAAAAACACCCTGACTTCATGCCAGCAAACCATTTTATGTTTAAGATTATCTGCCTCTGATACTATATCTTATAACAGGATTTGTAATCTTATCTTGTATTTCTTGGTAGCATATAATTAACACTGTTATTAAACAGACATTAAATGCTAGCTTCTCTATATGCCACCAGTGTAAATATATCACGCTGAAATTAAAATGAAATTATCCCAACCTCCACTACTGAAATATATTCATTTTGTATGGATAACATTACTTTAGTGAAAAATAAGCCCAGAAAATTTAGTGAAGACTAAAGGACAGTTCATTCCACAAGGTGAAAATTGAAGGTGACTACCATTTGCGAAGTAACTAGCTACAGAGCATGAAGAAGGTACAGCCTTCAATTCTATACATCAATGATTAATGTGCTGTAAATAAAACCAGTATTCAGCCAGGTTGTAACATACAATTATATCTAATACTGACTATTACTTTTAGACAACATACAAGTGGTATTCACCTGCATGCCAACAACATTATCAATAACAATCTTTAGTACAGAATAATTTACCAGTAATTTAATCCTAAATCAAAACTAAACCTGTCTGCGGTTTATGTGTTCTACCTTCTTTCAGCTGAGTATTTATGTCCCTACACTGACTGTATTAAATTTCACACAAACTTTCATATTCAGCACATGTATTATTAAATCATTTATAAATATACAGATATCATCTGGGTTTGCATTGCAAATTGGCTACTTTATAATTTGGGTTCTTTCATGTTAAATGGAATCTTTCTAATATGTATACTTGCCTAAAACTCACAATCCATGGCACAAATCGCTAGCCAAGAAATTTAACAACTGTCTAACCAACTACGCTACCCCAACATAAAAAGAAAATATATGGTACATTGGTGTTTTTTTTTTTTAAATTTCTATGCTTCAAAATGCAATTGGGAGGTCTTAAACACAAAGTCTGAAGATGCTAGGTAGCTGAGGATTTCTGACAGACAGACTGATGATTTCTACAATAGATAATAGACAGACATATCTATGTAATACAGCTACATTGTGTTACATTCATAATAATGTTTTTCTTCTTCATTATATTAACATGTGTTGAAAAGTATAGAGGGTTTGAGTGAAGTGATTAATATACCCTGCGACCTAGAATTGCCAGGGTATTCAACTTTCCTTGTTATACCATACTTTGGTCATTTAACGGAGCAGGTCTCATGCATATAATCTAACTATGATTTTCACTTTCTACACATCAGCTGGTTTCTTCTTCACAAATTTGATATAAGACCTATTCCTGATGATGAAATTCCTAAATTGAAGTAAAACTCAACCTAAAATAAATATCATATAATGAAAAAGTACAGGCCAGGATTTATAAATTTTATAAAAATGGCATGTTTGGAATACTTAATCAAATTGTTTCTATTAGATTTTAGTTCTGTAATATGTGGTATATACCTTTGATGGTTCAAGTCATGATTTTTAACAATTATAATCAGGTATTTAAATATTAATGTTATTGTCAAACCTCCCAAATTCAAATCAAATATGTTCGTCCGTATTAAATATAAAGGGTAAAAATCCAATAATGAATATTTATAGTCAAGATATGAACCTTATAAAACTGGAAGGACTTTTCAATAGGACTACATAACAGGCCTATGATCGATTGGTAACTCCAGCATTCCCATTTACCTCCTGTAGATTGTTTTTTACCCAAAAAATTTCATCTTGTATCCTCTATTTTCTAGATTCTGTTTTGCAATGGGTTCAAATACCTCACAAAATATTAATTTTACTCAAAGTTTGAAGCTGCTCCTGGTAAGATATATGATCATTATACCAGGATTACTTTCTGTCAGTTTTCCTAGGGGATTGCGGAGTAAACTCGGAATGGCTTATATCACTATACCGAATGAGTGGGAATTTTCAAGCTGTCTAAAGTCAGTTTGTACTGTCAACTAGAAAAATTACATTTTTGATAAAATACCAATGAATAAATAATGATAATAACGAAAGGGCTTTTTATAAGTTATCCAAATTGTGCCCAATCCCATTCCAATTAATTAATAAAATTCCTGGCTAGCCATTGTATGACCAGGGGATAATGTTGTCTGAGTAGGATCAGAAGGAGGTACCAGTGTCAAGGGAGCGGGGTGCACAATACAGATAAAGAGAGTTCCGCGGTTCATTTGCCAGACCTGGTGCGAGTCAACAGATACAGGCCTGTAACTTATTACTGAACAATATTTCTGTCATTTATGGTCTTATAATGTCTGTTGTCTATCCGTAGCTATGTCGTTTTCTGTTGTCTATAATGTCCCCATCTTTGTCTATAATGCCTCTGTTGTCAATATACCAGGTATTTGGGTTATGGAGGGAGTGTGAAAAGTGTGGTGAATGAGTGTTTCTGCGGGACTTGTAAATAAAATCAATTGTGAACCTTATTCTATAGTTGGTTATTCTGTCAGACTATATGTCAGAGTAAACCCACGAAACTAAGGAGTGCTTGCCCGAGTAAAATTAGCCACTACACGAAAGCTTCAACATGAAGTTGGCAAGTACATGATAGAATGTGTAGGAGTAGAAACCACTAACAGCAAAATGATGCCTGGAGAGAGATTCCGAAATCACCACTGGCGATTAATCATTTTGCTACAGTACACCATGTTATCATTTGATCTAGGCGTGAAACCAAATGAGGATATCCAATATTTGTAACACACTTACTGAACTTTTGAGAACTTCCGTACAATATTTTGAAAAAATTACGAATATTTATATTAGTTATGATGTATGAATTGTTTTTGTTACGTGATGATCATGTTTTAAACCTTAAAATCACAGATAAATAGATATACCTTCTCTGTTCTCTTTCGCGTTCGTCGCTTGTCCGCCATGTTTACGTGGACTCCATGCAAACGTTTGAAAACAAAGCAGTTATGTGACTACGATCAAATCATTTTTCAGATGGCGATTTCGGCTTTTCCGGAAAAATTAGAAAAATCCTAATAGTTCGAGGCTTAGCAAGGACAGATATTAATTTTCAGTTTTCGTAATTTTCAATGAACATTTATATATTTTGCTACATTCGAACTTTGAAATTTGAACTGTGAATGCTGCATTTTCTTCAATTCGATTTCTTCAATTAACTTGCCGTTTGATGAAAATATGATAGAGGATACATAAGAAGTGGCCTTTAACATGTGTTTCTTACTTGGATAATGAACCAATAATTCACACCTTAACTTTATATTGTGTACAGTGTTACATGTCAAAAGTCAAATAGTCTGTCAGAAAACGTTGCTTCAGCTGTATATGTAAATTAATTTACAAATAGGCTTGTTAATCACTGTAAAAACCAAGAACTTTATTTAATTAGAAATCAACAATCGAATATTGACAATAAAGTACAAGACCCGATAAACGTATTGAAAAATTATTATTTGTTGTGTATAAGTCTGGTATAAAGGACTTTGATAAAGTCCTGCACTAGAATAAACTTACCTTGTTGTTGTGTTTATTTACACAGCCCTTTTGATAGACCATGATAACCCAACAATTAAGAATATCTTCTTATAACAACACTCATGCTAATCTTTGTTCCCGTTTTTTTGTCTTCCTTTGGGAATAGGACAGGACAGGGATTTTGTGTTGTCACAAGATAAACAATTTCGCGTTATTTATTCATTTATCTATTTCATTTTAACCCCCCCCCCACACACACACACACACACCCATCCCCCACCCCCACCCCCGCCGCTCTCTCTCTCCTCTCTCTCTTCTCCCCCCCCCCTCTCTCTCTCTCTCTCTCCCTCCCTCTCTCTCTCGCTTTACTGCCGTCTATAATGCCGCCGTCTCTATTGTCTATGTTATTCAGCGACGTATTTTTGTATCACTACACTCTTCCCTAGTCAGATGTACGTGTGATACGCATTCCAATTTTTAAGTTTTCTATTCCCCAAGTCTCAGTGGTGATGCCGTTATTTCAAACCTTTGAAAATATTATCTAACGAAAACAGAATACTGAATGACAGTTTCTATATAAAACGATTGGAACACATCTGTAGGTGGTTTTAGTCGAGGAGATAAGAAAAATGTGATGTATTGAATCAAATGTGTGTTCGATCATGGAAGACTACGGTGAAATGTTTGTCTAATTTCGGTCTCTTTGTTGCAGTACTAGTAAAAGTGTAATCAAAGGGGAAAATTTTATGAGAAAGTTACTCATGTGAATTTATATAGAAAAAAATAGGTGGAACATGAAGAAAGAAAAATATGCAAACATTTTGAAATTCGTGGTTGAACATTTGGGATATTCAAGTTAGAAAGACATATTACCTATTATTGAAAGAATATTTATAAGAAAGTTGTGTGTTACGTAAGGTACTAGATGAAGACAGTCTAAATTTAAAACGTCGTAGAAATTAATTTCGAAAGTATACAAAAAGGTATGTGAATTGAGAAATAGATGTGAAAAGAATGTTTCTTTCTTACGTCGTGATACTTATGGGGGACGGGGAGGGGGAGGGGGGCTGGGGGGAGGACGGGGGAACTGGATGGCGGTTATGGAAATAAGAAAAACCTATTTCATGGGGGAAAGGAGTCTTGCTCAAACTTAAAATACCGTGGTTTTTTTCACGCACGCATGAAAATTGTAAAATTATTCACGAAATGTTAATAACTTCGGAAGATATGGGTTTCACGGGGAAGGAAAGTTATGCGTAAATTTCGAACGTCGTGGAACTTTTTGTGGAAACTGTGTGGCTCTAAAAAGAGCCTTTCAGGGAAGTGCCCTGCAATACTAGCAGAATCAGAAATTCTAGATGAGATCGGTGACATCGTTTTCACCTTCGTAGCTCGAGGATCGATGATAATCGTCGTCGCTGCCGAATATCTCTGTTCTGAGTTTGGTGACTTGGATAGCCTGCCAATGAGCGTAGTCGTAGTACGTATTTCTCATCCCCTCTACAACGGCCAGTCTCAATCTCAGGGAGTAGCGGAAAGCACGGTTATTGGTCGCCTTGGCCAGGTTATATCTGTCTTGAAGTCCGTTCAATTTCGAGTTAAGTAGAACAATTTGCTCGCAGGCTCTTCGGAACTTCCTCTCGGCGTCGACCAGTGTGAATCGCATGTCCAGACGTCCGGGACTCTCTTCCATCAGGCTGTGAAGTCCGGCGGCGTACAAATCTCCGTTAATCTCTGAGTCCGACATTATCAATATTCAAATGCGAATGTCTGGTGAACTGTATATTGTTCAAAGATGCGAAGGAACTCGATATCTTCTGTATTATGTAGCGTAGTGGAAGAATATCTTGGGTAGTTGTGGTTGATAGAAAGGCAAATTGGAAATGATGACCTCATGGACTTTATTCCTGTATATATACCTACAAACATCTCATAAAATGTCAAAGATGTTCTGTGTGTCATGTAGATTTCTGCTAACTCCAAGTGTCACCCAAACTTAAAGGACCATATAATGGTCAGTCGTACTTGACCACTCAGTGACGGTCAATGACACACGCTGAGCGATGTTATTTGGGTCTTCGCCACGTGGTTGACACGTGCTAATGAAAACAATTGGTCGTTGCAATGGTCAGTCCGAGCTCTGTGAAAACAACATCCACGTTAATCTGTCCACTGTCACTACCGGAAAACACATCCGTGTAGATTAGCTTATCAATAGATCAACGATTTACCAGTATATCTATTGATACTTGTTCCGATAATACGACGTCTACTGCTATTTATTTATTTAAAATATTTATTTATTTATTTATTTATTTATTTATTTTTATTTATTTATTATCAGCCTTCAGTCATACAAGTATTATAAAAGCACATAATTAGATGTGTATTTTTTAAATTCTTTATTCGTTCATGACTTTAAGTCCTTGTTTTTATCTTTAAAAAAATACTTTTTTCATCGTTTTGTTTCTTTTCATGAAATATTTAAATCAAGATCCTTACGACACAAACCCAATTTCTCTATAAACAAATGTTGTGTTTTTATGTTATATAACGATGAACGAAAGTAGAAATAATTAGTGTTTATCTTAACTATTCAGTTTTTATCAGCGTATGTGTCAATTATCAATTGTGTGTTTTATTATATTTACATATAAACTACTTCATATCATACAATTAAAGGTCGAGAAAGTGCGAACGACGTAGTTCAAATGCCGACATTATGTGATTTGTCTGAGATGCATATCGTTGACTTAGAGGCGACCACCTCGATTTAGGTCGCCCACTTCTGTAACGTCACAAAAAAATACGAAAAATATTAAAATTGCCGAATTTCGATGGAACGGACTCTGAAAAATTGCATATCGAACCTTTTAAAAATAAATAATGCACATTTATGATTATACACCTGGCGAGGCTTTAAAGATGCTATGATACATGTATATGTAAGACACTGGGGTACACGGATATTTCAAATATCATTAATGTCTACTTCCCTCTTCTTTACTTGTGTTCCAAACATATTTCTAAAAACAAACAAAAAACAAAACAAAAACAAAAAAAAAAAACCAAGTTATTTGTGCGCGCATACTTTCCTTCATCATCCATCAAAAGTGACACATTTATATTATGTGTATTTCATGTATCAAATTCAAAATTTATTTACGTTAGTATAAATGAGACAATAGCTTATAATGAAAATAATATCCCTGTGGAATTTCCATTCTTATAAATGCTTCAGATATTCCAATTTAGTGTCTACATTTACAAGATTATCGAGACTCCACAGATATTCCCAGATATGGAGCAGTTAGCCGAACGAGCTTAGTTTGGGATACTCAAGTCTGTTGCTGTGTCATCTGCACACACCATGTTGTGGGAGTTATTTCCCTTTTGAAGTCTATACATACAATACTTCTAGTGTGTGCGTGTTTTTTTGTTTTTTGTTTTTTTTTTTGTTTCTAACGACTTATAATAATTGTTTTGAACCATCTTCTTCTTTTCTTTTTTTTTGATTCTCCTGACCCGATGGTCTACTTTTAATGCACTTCATATTAGTGTGTATTGTGTCAAATTTTATAATTTGCTATATGAGCATATAATGTTAATTACCAGGGATTACGACCACATTCGTTCTCTGGATTATTGAGGATGACTTTTTCTATTGTGACATTTGTGTGACAGGTGTCCATAATTATTCATGTAACCCTTAGAAAAGTCTTTTTGTCTGATATATCTTCATTACAAAAGTACTGAACATTATTGTTATGTATATAATGTAATGTTTTATACATATGTTTGGCGCAATAATATCACTGCTAATGTTTTATTATTTACAAGCCTCTTGACTCTCATGACTCTAAGTGTCTACCTTTACAAGACTAACAGAACACTACAGATATTCCAATTTAGTTTTCTAACTTTTCAAGACTAACGGGGCACTACAGATATTCCAATTTAGTTTTCTAACTTTTCAAGACTAACGGGGCACTACAGATATTCCAATTTAGTTTTCTAACTTTTTAAGACTAACGGGGCACTACAGATATTCCAGTTTAGTTTTCTAACTTTTCAAGACTAACGGGGCACTACAGATATTCCAGTTTAGTTTTCTAACTTTTTAAGACTAACGGGGCACTACAGATATTCCAATTTAGTTTTCTAACTTTTCAAGACTAACGGGGCACTACAGATATTCCAATTTAGTTTTCTAACTTTTCAAGACTAACGGGGCACTACAGATATTCCAATTTAGTTTTCTAACTTTTCAAGACTAACGGGGCACTACAGATATTCCAGTTTAGTTTTCTAACTTTTTAAGACTAACGGGGCACTACAGATATTCCAATTTAGTTTTCTAACTTTTCAAGACTAACGGGGCACTACAGATATTCCAATTTAGTTTTCTAACTTTTCAAGACTAACGGGACACTACAGATATTCCAATTTAGTTTTCTAACTTTTCAAGACTAACGGGACACTACAGATATTCCAATATTCGATGAAAGACATAAAATTATTATACAGTAATTGGTATTACGTAATTTTGATGATATTCACACCATACTTAATCATTTTTCTTATTCTCTATATATATTTATATCATTTTTTGTCATTTTACTTCACAATAAACAATTATATCGTCACACGTAAAATTACCTAGTAGATTAACATTACAATGTCCATCTACCGGAACGTAATCCTCGCGTGCTCACCTGGAGTGACAACTTAATGATTAACGCGGATGGTTGTTTTCACAGAGCTTTGATTGACCGTTAAACTGACCGATTGTTTTCATTAGCACGTGTCAACCACGTGACGATTAACAACATGTATTGAGTGTCGGGTGACCAAATCAAGCTGAGAGCGTCACTGACCATCACTAAGTGGTCAAGTACGACTGACCATTATATGATCCTTTGAGTTTGGGTGACACTTGGAGTTAGCAGAAATCTACATGACACACAGAACATCTTTGACATTTTGTGAGATGTTTGTAGGTATATATACAGGAAAGAAGTCTATCGGATCATCATTTCCAATTTGCCTTTCTATCAACCACAACTACCCAAGATATTCTTCCACTACGCTACATAATACAGAAGATATCGAGTTCCTTCGCATCTTTGAACAATATACAGTTCACCAGACATTCGCATTTGAATATTGATAATGTCGGACTCAGAGATTAACGGAGATTTGTACGCCGCCGGACTTCACAGCCTGATGGAAGAGAGTCCCGGACGTCTGGACATGCGATTCACACTGGTCGACGCCGAGAGGAAGTTCCGAAGAGCCTGCGAGCAAATCGTTCTACTTAACTCGAAATTGAACGGACTTCAAGACAGATATAACCTGGCCAAGGCGACCAATAACCGTGCTTTCCGCTACTCCCTGAGATTGAGACTGGCCGTTGTAGAGGGGATGAGAAATACGTACCACGACTACGCTCATTGGCAGGCTGTCCAAGTCACCAAACTCAGAACAGAGATATTCGGCAGCGACGACGATTATCATCGATCCTCGAGCTACGAAGGTGATAACGATGTCACCGATCTCATCTAGAATTTCTGATTCTGCTAGTACTACAGGGCACTCCCCTGAAAGGCTCTTTTTAGAGCCACACAGTTTCCACAAAAAGTTCCACGACGTTCGAAATTTACGCATAACTTTCTTTCCCCACCAGATACGTTTTTCATGTATGCACCTAACTCTGAATGAAATAGTACTTTCATGAATTTCTCAAAAAAAATCCACAACAATCTAAATTAACGCGCGCAACCATTCTGCACGAAACGCATGCATTTCCTATGACCATTTCGTTCTTGATATTTGTTCTTGAATTTTCCAAAAATTCCAAGACGTTCTAAATTTACATACGCCCCCCCCCCCTTTCCCCATGACACACGCATTTCCCTTGGTTCTTATTATATTTTACTTAATTTCTCGAAAAGCTCCGTGGTAATTCTTGTAACGTTTTACCCGTATTGACGGTTTTATGGGGATCTCGACTGAATGTCTTTATCATAAATTATCACAGATAAAATGTTTGTTTTATACCTATATATCTAAAACCTTTGTTGTATATCTTACCTATATATCTAAAATCTTTGTTGTATACTTATATATCTAAAACCTTTGTTGTATACCTATATATCTAAAACCTTTGTTTACCTATATATCTAAAACTTTGTTGTATATCGTATATATCTAAAACCTTTGTTGTATACATATATATCTAAAACCTTTGTTGTATACCTATATATCTAAAACCTTTGTTTATACCTATATATCTCAAACCCGTTGTTTTATATCTATTTCTCCAAAACCTTTCATGTATACCCAGGTGATTTGATAATGCTTATAAATTATCAATCCGTAATATTGTGAAGAACATGCCGGAATTTCGATCTGGTTGATAAGTAGAAATTTCAAAACAGAGTTTACCACTTTTCAAGTCCATTGTACCCTGTTAATGAATGGAATTTCATTTACGAGAAATATCAATGTCTTATCTTAAATAAAATGTAAGGAGTTTTAACCAAGATTATGTCCCTTAGTAGTATTCAGTATTCAAAATCACCCTCATCTTTGTGTAGTATTTGAATATTATATCATAAAGTATCGTAGTAATTGTGTTAAAATAGTTATGAAATATTATGTTATAATAGTATTACAATCTTGTGTTATGATATTGTTGTAGTATTATAACAGTATTGTAATATTATGTTATAATAGTGTTGTAGTATTACTATCTTGTGTTATGATAATGTTGTAGTATTATAACAGTATTGTAATATTATGTTATAATAGTGTTGTAGTATTACGATCTTGTGTTTTGATATTGTTGTAGTATTATAACAGTATTATAGTATTGTAATATCTTACGTAGACATCAATATGTCCTGTATGATGCAAAGAACTAGAACCATGTTGTTTCTAAAATGGACGTTTCTAAAAAATAAAACAACTTCCTGATGACAAGCACGACGACAACCTTGACATGAAATGACACCAAAAACTGCAAATTGAAGACAACAGGCCTGTGATGTGACATTAATCAACACATAATATAGCTACAGTGTACCGGATTGAGGTTTTGAAATATCAGTAAATAAATCATTGTCACATAAATGAGACTGAAATACCATTTTATATTAACATAATCGAAACCTCTTCGTTTCGGTCAATACACGGTTTTATCAATCAAGGAAAACACAACATTCTTGGTACTGAGACATGCTACAGGATATTGAAGTCCCTACGTGGATTGATACCTATTTCAAAATGGATGCTTCGTCCTCGGTAGATTTTTTTTCATGTCGATAAAACCACGTGTTGACCTCAGTAGCAGGCCATGAATGTAAAATAGACTTTAATCACAATGTTATGTGGACAAGTGGCTTTTCCTTACTGCATGTGGTTGTACATACTACACAGTTCTACTGATACTATGCGAGACTGAACAAGGGGAATAACTCTTCATACACAATATTTAAATTTACTATATCTATATATATAATGGTTATAATCAGTAATTTTTCATACGATTTCTCCCTAGGATTAACATTTTACTTACCTTAACTTGCTTTTTCCAGGTTAAAAAACTTTTCTTCTTTTTATTCCGCAGTTTTTGTTCGTTTTCGGCTACTTTTTTCTGGAAATACTCAAAATCATGATCATGAATTATGCAGCCTTCACCACCGTGACTGTGACCATGACCGTGACCGTGCCTGTGACCTTGACCTTGATCGTGACCGTGACTTTTGTGAGTGTGACTGTGACCTTCACTCTCGTGAGAATCACCAGCGGTTTGACCTTGACCATTTTGAGAATTCTCAACACCCTGCTCCTTAGAACCCTCATCTTTATGTTGTGTATTTTCCTTCACATCTCCGGAACCTTCGTCTGCACTTTCGTCACTTCCTTCCGACGAGGAAAAGTTTCGGATAAGTAAATTATATAATGGTCGGTTAGGGTCCCTATTCTCTTTCTTTTTTCTGATGAATCCCATGATTGAGATCTAAAACACTGTTAATACCAATTCTAGATCAGAAATGAAAGTTTTATAAACGATGTTCCAAAGTAAAACCAATTGCGAGTCTTTAAGGTGATGCTTTATCGGCCCAGATTGTCACAATGTCTCTCACACACATCTGTTTCTTTCACAAGCTCTCCTACGTGTGAAGGGAAGTTTTTGTCGTCATAGTATTAGGGTATAGTATACTTCCTGATCCTAGAAGCCCCGGGGTAAAACGTATCCGTTATAAGCCACATGTCAGCTCGCCCGTCCCCCTGGGCCAACTGTACACCTTTGACTCGAGGTAACATTGGAGAGTATAGTGTAATTCGTACTGTATTTATCATTAATTGTTATCGTGGGTCCTCCTGCTTTTTTATGAATCTTACTTCTCGTTTCCTTGCAACCATTTAATTTTCGATTGATGTTTCTATATTTAACAGGTTTGAGAAAATCATGATATCAACAACCAGGATAGGAATACGGCCATTCCAAAGAAAAAATGTGTCTTTTTATGTTATTATTTTTAAATTTAAAATTCTGGAAATTCAGTTTTCTACAAAAATTATTTCGGATCAATTTTTCATTGAGTAGGGAAAGGTCAGATTTTAACATTTATGTGCATGTATATCATATATATATATGTTTTATATTGTGGGCCGTGTTAAATGTACATCAATAGAGAAATATCTCAGGTGAGGTGCGTCCCGCGTACCCGATGTTGGTAGATACCACATACTACATTGTACAAAGAATTTCCGTCTCAAATTAATCTTGGTTGTTCAAGAGATGATAATCAATACTACATATATATTTCGTATTGATTTTCAAGAAGAAATCAACATTAAACTGAAAAGATCATTTTTTTTTATAATCTGTCGATCAATAGCTTGTCTCTTCAGGTATATTACAACACAACATATTCTAGCACAAAATGGATATTATGATAAAATCGATTCTAATGCCAGTGTTTTCCATTACGGGTTATAGGCGCTGTTAGTTGTTTCCGTCACAGTAAAAAAGATAATTGATTTTTTCCTCTCATAAATAGAAACAAACCCACTGGTTATAAGCAAAGGGCTTTTGTAGCCTTGAGCATGGTACGGCCCATGGAACACCAGAGTTTGTTTGTAATAGTCACACCCGACATAATCGTGACATCATGGAAAATTATCCTTACTAGTGTTAAATATGAGAAAATTGATCTTAAACACAGCTTGTTGTGTTGTAATATGTAAAAAAGCATATCAGAAAACCATTCATTGGTTTTTTCAGAACATGTTTGGTAGTTTAAAATAAAAAGAAAACCATTCTTCTTCTGGTTCAATTCGTTTTGAAAATTATAAAAAAAAATTTATTCGGAATCGAAAACTTGTCACCTAGTCGTGTGAATAAACATAACCTCAAAATTGATTTCCAGTTAATTTCTCACAGGATCAAAATTTCACAAAACATTGACGTTTTTGCTTTGATGACACGGCTGCCTTGCTGTGAAGGATTTCCATAATGAAAGGAGAACGCATCACAAGGTTACCGTGGTATGGTGATTATCGTTCGTGATCAATAATTTAGTTTCAGTACTCAGTAATCATCGGGTAGAACACCAAGGCAGTGAGTGTGTCGTTGGTGATTATGCTACCGACATCAATAAATACAAGACAGCCGTCAGGATTAGAGACAACACCCCAACCGCAAAGTGTATAATTGTGAATAGGACTGTTGTGGAAGAGGACCAGTGGAAAGAAGGTAAACAAAATGTTCAACATAGAGTTTGGACAGAGTCATTGCTATAGAGAAGGGTTGGGACAGCGTCATTGGTATAGAGAAGGGTTGGGACAGCGTCATTGGTATAGAGAAGGGTTGGGACAGCGTCATTGGTATAGGGTTGGGACAGAGTCAGTGATATAGGGTTGGGACAGAGTCAGTGATATAGGGTTGGGGCAGCGTCAGTGATATAGGGTTGGGACAGAGTCAATGATATAGGGTTGGGACAGAGTCAGTGATATAGGGTTGGGACAGTGTCATTGATATAGGGTTGGGACAGAGTCAATGATATAGGGTTGGGACAGAGTCAATGATATAGGGTTGGGATAGTGTCATTGATATAGGGTAGGGACGGAATCAGTGATATAGGGTTGGAACAGAGTCAGTGATATAGGGTTGGGACAGAGTCAGTGATAAAGTGGTTGGGACAGAATAAATGATATAGAGTTGGGACAGCGTCAATGATATAGGGTTGGGACAGTGTCATTGATATAGGGTGGGGACAGAGTCAGTGATATACGGTTGGGACAGAGTCAGTGATATAGGATTTGGACAGCGTCAGTGACATAGGGTTGTGACAACGTCAGTGATATAGGATTTGGACAGCGTCAGTGACATAGGGTTGGGACAGCGTCAGTGATATAGGGTGGGGACAGAGTCAGTGATATACGGTTGGGACAGAGTCAGTGATATAGGATTTGGACAGCGTCAGTGACATAGGGTTGTGACAACGTCAGTGATATAGGGTTGGGACAGAGTCAGTGGTATAGAGTAGGGACGGGATCAGTGATATAGGGTTGGGACAGCGTCAATGATACAGGATTGGGACAGCGTCATTGTTAAAGGATTGGGACAGAGTCAGTGATATACACTTGGGTTGGGACTGGTGGGACGGTGTCACTGATATACACTTTAGTTGGGACTGGTGGGACGGTGTTAGTGATATACACTTGGGTTGGGAGTGGTGGGACGGTGTCAGTGATATACACTTGGGTTGGGACTGGTAGGACGGTGTTAGTGATATACATTTGGGTTGGGACTGGTGGGACGGTGTCAGTGATATACACTTGGGTTGGGACTGGTGGGACGGTGTCAGTGATAAACACGTGGGTTGGGACTGGTAGGACGATGTCAGTGATATACACTTGGGTTGGGACTGGTGGGACGATGTCAGTGGTATACACTTGGGTTGGGACTGGTAGGACGGTGTTAGTGATAAACACAGTAATTCGTTTGAATTGAAAGGTCTCTTCGTTTGTACGTAAACCTCGTATTTGATTTGATGTCTATTATGAGTTGGAAGTCATCATACATTATAAAACAATGATTTAATCTTGAAGTAAAATGCTATGCATTCTTAGAAACTTATTTGCATTTTAAAATTTGATTAAAAGCTAATCTCTCTATATTTTTTCTTCAGGGAAAAGAAAGACAATAGGACAGCGGAACTGAAATCGAAATGGAGAGAAAGGCTTGGTTTTTTCTGGTTCTGTTATATGTCGGCATACACACCAACAACTGCCAGAACTATATCTCGTTCAATTACCAGACCGATAAAAGTCTGTCTCAGCCATTTTTTCTCAACTTCACTATACCCGACATGTTTTCCTGCTTTTCGCTCTGTCAGCAAATCATCAAGTAAGTTGTACATGTATCTACCTGAGGTAACCATGCCAAATCAAAGTCAAATGCACAGGGTAGAGTATACAGGGTTTGTGTACAGGGTGAGCTCACAGGGTTAGTGTACAAGGTCAGAGCTCACAGGATGAGTGTACAGGGTGAGCTCGCAGGTTGAGTGTACAGGATGAGCTCGCAGGTTGAGTGTACATGGTAAGTGTGCACGATGAGTGTTTAGGATGGGTTCGCAGGGTGAGTGCACAGGGTTAGTGTACAAGGTCAGAGCTCACAGGATGAGTGTACAGGGTGAGCTCGCAGGTTGAGTGTACAGGATGAGCTCGCAGGTTGAGTGTACATGGTAAATGTGCACGAGGAGTGTTTAGGATGAGCTCGCAGGTTGAGTGTACAGGGTGAAATCGCAGGGTGAGTGTACATGGTAAGTGTGCACGATGAGTGTTTAGGATGTGCTCGCAGGGTGAGTGTACAGGGTGAAATCGCAGGTTGAGTGTACAGGGTGAAATCGCAGGATGAGTGTACATGGTAAGTGTGCACGAGGAGTGTTTAGGATGAGCTCGCAGGTTGAGTGTACAGGGTGAAATCGCAGGGTGAGTGTACATGGTAAGTGTGCACGATGAGTGTTTAGGATGAGCTCGCAGGGTGAGTGTACAGGGTGAAATCGCAGGGTGAGTGTACATGGTAAGTGTGCACGATGAGTGTTTAGGATGTGCAGGTTAAGTGTACAGGATGCGTGTACAGGGTGAACTCACAGGGCTAGTGTACAGGATCAGAGCTCATAGATTCAGTTCACAAAGGAAGGGGTGGCAGAGGAATATACAGAGTCAACTCACTAATTTATAACTGCTTTTCAGTAGAGATTGGGGGTTACATTAGAAGTTGTGGGTTACAATACTAATGGACAAGGTTACAATAGAGGGCAGGGTTACAACAGAGGGCGGATTTATAGTAGAGACTGGGGTTACAAAATAGGGCGTTGTTACAATAGATGACGGCAAGGATAACATTAAGGTCACAATATATAGAGCTGGGTTGTAATAGAGGGCAGAGTTCAAGGGTGAGGTTACAATAGTAGATGAGGTTACAATAGTGGGTGAGATCACAATAGTGGTTGGGGTTACAATTGGGGATGGGGTTACAATAGTGGATTGGGTTGCTATAATGATGTTACAATAGTGGGTGTGGTTACAATAATAGGTGGGGTTACAATAGTGGGTGTGGTTACAATAGTAGATGGGGTTACAATAGTGGGTGTGGTTACAATAGTAGGTGGGGTTACAATAGTGGGTGTGGTTACAATAGTAGGTGGGGTTACAATAGTGAGTGGAGTTACAATAGTGGGTGTGGTTACAATAGTAGATGGGGTTACAATAGTGGGTGTGGTTATAATAGTAGGTGGGGTTACAATAGTGGGTGGGGTTTCTATCATAGATGGGGTTGCAATAGTGGGTGGGGTTACTATAGTGGGTGGGGTTTCTATAAGAGATGGGGTTGCAATAGTGAGTGTAATATTGGGTTTAGTTACAATAGAGATAGCAGTCGATTGATGGAGTTGAGGACCGTATAGGTTATTGGGAGAGAGTAAAATACATCATACGTCAGTTGTTGTTTTAGTGTCCCGAACTTTAGTCCGATTGTCTAGGGGAAAGGTATGTTTTAATTCATGATATAAATCATCCTACAGGGAAATTATTTGGTCCACCATTTTGTATATCAATTATTCCATCGATCTTCAGAGTCCTTGATCATTATAAACTTTCCATGCTGAATCATCCATGTCGGGTTAAGTGCTACTTTTATATTTATTTTGCTGTAAATAATTAATATTTATTTTTTACATCTTTGAAACAATCAATATATATCTCATTGCTACTTTCACATATCAAATATCATCTACAACTCGGGTTTTATCTTAAACTACATTTGTTCACTGATAATTAGATACTGCAAAAACCTAAATTTACGTGGTTGATTTATTTTCCTTATTTCTGTAGTTTCTTAATCCACGAACTTATATCTCCACGAACCGTTCAAATTAATGTTATTAGATTTACTGAGCTCTATTTATCAACAAAAGCAAGTGTCAATGAAATCGTAATTTTTCGAATAACCACGAAAATTGAGAACCACGAAAATATGGGATGTTACTGTAAAGGTAACACAACCTAACTATTCTAATAATTAGATAACGCAGAACAACTATGAATGTTTTAGGAGATGCGTTATACAAAATTTGGTCAAATGACCGACCAAGATAATTGTTTTCTAATACATAGAAATTGTGGGGAATTGATAACACAGTAGAATGTCATTGTCTTTTAATACAAATAGAAGTTAACTAGAATCACAGAAAATGTACACTGTATTATATATCAACTATACGAAATAACGAGTTTGACTCCATTTCCGGACCTGTTTCGACATGTGTTCCGTTGTATCTATTTCGACAGGTGTTCCGTTGTATCTGTTTCGACAGGTGTTCCGTTGTGTCTGTTTCGACATGTGTTCCGTTGTATCTGTTTCGACAGGTGTTCCGTTGTACGTGTTTCGACAGGTGTTCCGTTGTACGTGTTTCGACAGGTGTTCCGTTGTACATGTTTCGACAGGTGTTCCGTTGTACATGTTTCGACAGGTGTTCCGTTGTACCTGTTTCGACAGGTGTTCCGTTGTATCTGTTTCGACAGGTGTTCCGTTGTACCTGTTTCGACATGTGTTCCGTTGTACCTGTTTCGACAGGTGTTCCGTTGTATCTATTTCGACAGGTGTTCCGTTGTATCTATTTCGAAACAGGTGTTCCGTTGTACCTGTTTCGACATGTGTTCCATTGTACCTGTTTCGACAGGTGTTCCGTTGTATCTATTTCGACATGTGTTCCGTTGTACCTGTTTCGAAACAGGTGTTCCGTTGTACCTGTTTCGACATGTGTTCCGTTGTACCTGTTTCGACAGGTGTTCCGTTGTATCTATTTCGACATGTGTTCCGTTGTACCTGTTTCGACAGGTGTTCCGTTGTATCTATTTCGACATGTGTTCCGTTGTACATGTTTCGACAGGTGTTCCGTTGTACATGTTTCGACAGGTGTTCCGTTGTACATGTTTCGACAGGTGTTCCGTTGTACCTGTTTCGACAGGTGTTCCGTTGTATCTGTTTCGACAGGTGTTCCGTTGTACCTGTTTCGACATGTGTTCCGTTGTACCTGTTTCGACAGGTGTTCCGTTGTATCTATTTCGACAGGTGTTCCGTTGTATCTATTTCGAAACAGGTGTTCCGTTGTACCTGTTTCGACATGTGTTCCGTTGTACCTGTTTCGACAGGTGTTCCGTTGTATCTATTTCGACATGTGTTCAGTTGTACCTGTTTCGACAGGTGTTCCGTTGTATCTATTTCGACATGTGTTCCGTTGTATCTATTTCGAAACAGGTGTTCCGTTGTACCTGTTTCGACAGGTGTTCTGTTCGACATGTGTTCCGTTGTATCTGTTTCGACAGGTGTTCCGTTGTATCTGTTTCGACAGGTGTTCCGTTGTATCTGTTTCGACAGGTGTTCCGTTGTACCTGTTTCGACAGGTGTTCCGTTGTATCTATTTCGACAGGTGTTCCGTTGTATCTATTTCGAAACAGGTGTTCCGTTGTACCTGTTTCGACAGGTGTTCCATTGCATCTGTTTCGACAGGTGTTCCATTATTTTTGTTTCGACAGGTGTTTCATTGCCTCTGTTTCAACAGGTGTTCCATTATTTTTGTTTCGACAGGTGTGGTTCTGTCAGTTTTGATACAAGTAACAAGGTTTGCGAGATGAACGCAAAGAATTCAACCAGCGGATCGGTGACCGCCAGTTCCGGGTACCTGTTCACTGACGTCACTTCCTCAACGGTGAGTTATTCATCATCATGGTATGCGGACAAATATTAATGTACAGTATGTAAATTCAAAAACTCATCGGAAAGATTTTAGTTGTAATTAGTCGTCGTAATACCTACATCAGGGAAACAGTCGAAATAAGTAATGGTAGGGATGCTTTAGATCCAGTGTGTGCAGTTTATTTTCGTGCAAAATTGTAAAAGAAAATATACACCTCACCGCTTACAGTGTTGTTCATTCTTTGGTAGACATTTGCCGGTGGATGTGCTGACAGTAACTGTGAAGATACTGACATCTGTATCCTGGACCAGGATGGGAACAAAAGTGGATGTGCAAGTACAAGTAAGTATGCAATGCTTCTAAACTTCAGTCCGTATCTCATCCTAGCAAACGAAGGTATGAATAAAAAAAAACGACAAATAAGTCTATATCCGGTAATAAACCCACTTTCACACATGATGTTTTCATTGAAAATACCGGCAGTTCAGCGCTTATATCATTGTTTTTAAAGCAAATTTTCATCACAACTGGAGCTGGATGTCGTCAACTCCCGTACATATTAATATTATAATCTCGATTTTCATTCTGACCTCTCAGAGTTACTTCCCTTCGTTTCACACTACAGCCAATAGAGGACGAGAATGATCGATTTTAAAGTCACGTCTTGTTGAATATTCTGATACAGTTCCGATATCAATTCAGTTGAGCTGTTTTCGAAATAGGAACCAATTGGGGTGTGGTATATTACAAACATGAACGCATCAATGACATAAGATTTTATACAGAGCCATTATGACGTCATTATTGTGACAATAGGGATGACAATGGCACAATTCAAAATGTCGGAAATAAAACTTTTATGTAAGTTCAAATCGGGTTAGGATTTACAATTAACAATAGAATGTAAGAATTGTCTAATTGTGTGACAAAACTTGGCTGCAATGTTACTGTTGACATGAAATCGAACATAAATACCATGCAGCTTAATTCTGAAATATTCCCATAGTTCCAAGACGGAGTAATATTGAGTCATGTAAACTTACACTTATCTCGCCAAGATACCCTTCTCTGCTTCATTTCCACATTAAGTTGTGACACTTATTACAATACTTCGACGATTCCCCTATTCCTATTTCAGTGTCAAATTTTGTCAAATTTCTCACTTTCACTCTCGGCTCATGGAATTTAAGGATATCTATTAAGTGCCTTTTCTCGTTGTCTTTGTTATATTGTTATAAAATGCGATACAAGTGGCATTGTTCCTTTTCCTTTATTTACATAAAAAAACAACCATTTTGATACCTATTTTATACAATATATATATATAAATATTTTTTTTCTTCCTAAAATGTTTTTGTTTTCTTTTTTTTTCAGTATAATCGATCGCACGGACTTGCTTGCTGACCGCTGGTGTCCTTGTCTGGGTTTAGTATTGTGTGTATGTAGGGTAACGTAAACTTTATCATTAATTCTGTGTTAACTACGACAGAGACGCTGTAAATAGTGTTTAGATCTAGAATTGTAGAAAGTCCACATCATCTGATCCTATCATTAAATGATCTGAATAAAGCTGACAAAACAACGACGGTTTTTAGAGATGCGGATCCTGTTTACTGCGACCAGTGTTTAGTGAAGACAATTTGATGATACAGCCCACTTTCAATATTTAAATAGGATAATTCCTATGCATTTTTGTTAATCGCATTCCGTCCTGCTCATTGAGAACCTGACATTTTTGTATTTGACCTCACTTCACTAGCTAAGTGTTTTCGACGTAGCGGAAGACTCCTCCTCATCCGAAGAACGAAGTATTCGCTTGTGACCATAACTTAAGTCATATCTTACACCTGTCAGTTTGTGTATATTTCAAAGGTTTATTTTTGTTACTAGTCAACGAAATATATTTTTTCATTACGAAATATTTAAATGAATCCAGTTATACATATTTTTCATGCGATTGTCATGTTATTGATCACGTCGGATACATGAAGTATATGTGGAGGTGGTGCAATCGAGTGTGATGTCATAAAATGATAATGGAATGACGTAATTCACTTTCAGATTAATTATGACGTCATAAAAAGACAAGAAAAATTCAAATGTTCTTCAAAAACATGGTACAAGTTTCCTGCAATATTTTCACATGTGTTTGGTTCATTACAACACAGATGTGTTCGCTAAAATAGAGAATGCTAAAACTCTTTCTAAACGGAAGATTATAATTTCTTGGGATTACCATACAGCATAAATTGAACAAAACAATACATACATCGTTAAAATGAATCGATTATGTAGAGAATACATGGTCAGAGTCTTTAAATATAAATTGTATTTTGGCGAGCCTCTGCCGATATCAATGGGTCTACCTTGATTTTAGTTAAAGCTCATTACGTCTTCTAGAAGGTTGTGCATTCTTCGTTTACGTTTGGAAAGAAGTTTTTTTTTTCTTTTATTTTTTTTTTTTTTTGTTTCGTTTTAGTAATAAAAATTGAAATACGAGATTTTGCAGATGTGGTTTATTAACTGTTTCTGTGTGTGAATGTTTACAGTTATTTGTAGTGTATTCTATGGCATTTATACAGCTGTATGATGTAGCATCACCGCGACGAGTCTAGAAAGACGAAACAGCTGTATGATGTAGCATCACCGACGAGTCTAGAAGGACGGAACAGTTGTATGATGTAGCATCACCGACGAGTCTAGAAGGACGAAACAGTTGTATGATGTAACATCACCGACGAGTCTAAAAGGACGAAACAGTTGTATGATGTAGCATCACCGACGAGTCTAGAAGGACGGAACAGTTGTATGATGTAGCATCACCGACGAGTCTAGAAGGAAGGACGAAACAGTTGTATGATGTAACATCACCGACGAGTCTAGAAGGACGAAACAGTTGTATGATGTAGCATCACCGACGAGTCTAGAAGGACGAAACAGTTGTATGATGTAGCATCACCGCGAAGAGTCTAGAAGGACAAAACAGCTGTATGATGTAGCATCACCGACGAGTCTAGAAGGACGAAACAGTTGTATGATGTAGCATCACCGCGAAGAGTCTAGAAGGACGAAACAGCTGTATGATGTAGCATCACCGACGAGTCTAGAAGGACGAAACAGTTGTATGATGTAGCATCACCGCGAAGAGTCTAGAAGGACGAAACAGTTGTATAATGCAGATTGATTCATCTTTTTACACTTCCTTTTTTTAAAATCACTAAACGGTGACAATATCGTGGATGCGTTTGTACAATCCCTTTAAATGTTGTTTATTCTATCTAGCAGGAATATTTCGGCGTCGTTCTTACTATTCTATCACTGACACTCGTTTTTGTATTTATATATCAATATATGCATATATAATCTCTCCGTTGTTGATTAACAGGGGACACTTCCTGTTTGGAAATTTTCCAACAAGTTCGAATAATTTGTGAAAATGATAGACGCCATAAAATCATATTCTGCTTCTAACATATATGGTCAGTTACTGCTGGTGGGGATGAAGCCAATGACACCAAATATCTATACTTAATCTATCATTGACACTCGGCTTTATATATATTAATTTATAAATAATCTCTCCAGTTATATTATATATATAATCTTTACCACATAAGAACACCAGTAAAACAGGTGCTTTGCAGAATACTTAATATCACTCATGTATTGGTTTTAATAAATAAAATAATTCTTGTCCTAGGGTTACTATATGTGTGTATGCAATTGATCTAATCTATAACATCAAGGAGTTACTTCCCCTTAACCATCATTTTACTGTTTATATGTTGTAAGTCTCTTTCTTACTTTCCTTTTTCTGTATCATCCGTTGTCACTATTGATAGGCAATGCCTGATGTTCAATCCATTGATATTTGTTGTTTGTTTTGTCAACAATATTGGTTGAAATTGAATTTGATTATCATTTTTTTTATTCATGCTAAAACATCCCTGCATTCTAAACCTAAACTCGTAACACAGTGTTTCGAGAGATGAATGTAGATAGAGGTTATGGGGGAATATTTACTGTCGTCATAGTGACCACATTGAGAAAACTTGTATTTCATCCTGTAATACGAAGCTTGACATGTTTTGTATGCTCGTTAGTTTGCCGGGTGGTTCTATTAAATTTACCAAGATTTACAGGTGTTTTCAACTAAGCAGAAGGCGCTTACTCTTCCGAAACACCTGGTCTTATTTGTTTTTGTTTTGCAACAGCTTTATCGAATTATTAAGCTTAATTGTATGATATATATAATTACATCGAGTATGCTGAACCTGAAACGTGTTGTACAAACTAGTTTTAAAAATCACTACGTTCCCCTAGGTAGGTCTCGTCTTCAGCATGTTTTAATTACGAATATTCTAACAGCGATACAGTGGTATAAGGACTGTTGATGGCAATGTTAAGTCTAAGGTTTCACAATGAATCGCGAGGAAATGAATAAATACAGTTGATATTCATGTACATGTAGGTATGACAACAAGAAATGTTTACCACAGGTCAAACTAACAGGGGAAAATACCTCGGAGTTATTGGATTTAACCGCATTGTCAAAATTCAGTTAATATGTTATTGTTTGTTATGTTTTATACCTCTTTCCATTTTCTACCATATTACGGATTATTTCCATGACCTATATCTATCACACAATTGACCAGTTGTATCGTGTCGTAGAGTTTTGGTTGATTTTTTCCCATCCCTGTATGGTCAAATACTAATACATTAAGTCCAGTTAATTCTGGAATAATAACAGCACACAATTATCGATGGAATTCAATTTAATGCATAAATCTGCTGTATGAAATGTGGTTTTGCTTTAACATACAATACATACGTGACTAGACAATACAATATAGTACGGTTACTTGAGTTTATGTTTTACATTTTTACTGTAAAAATTAGTTATATATTCACGTACATTTCATCGTATACTGTAAAAATCATTAATTTCAGTGGAGGTTTATTTTCATCGATATCATAAGTGCTCTTAATTCACATACTGTTAGTGCAAGTAGATTTACTGACCTGTATTAATCTATGATAGCAAATGTCCAAATAAAGCACGCGAAAACTGAATCCCATGGAAATAAATGATTTAACACTAATAGTAGCGCCGAAAACCTTTAACAGTAGATAATATGATAACATGTCAGCAAGTTTTACTCTCAATTTCAACCCCCCCCCTCCCCCCGCAAAAAAAGAAAAAAAAAGAAAAAAAAAACTAAAACCGGAACACTTCTATCGGGTATAATAGACCTAAAAACGTTACACAAAATAATTTTTGATTTGTTAAAATCCATTTCAAAGCTTTCAACACTTCCCTAGACTGGTGTCTTTTTAGTCGTAAGCATATTTCGATCACAAAATTCTAACTTTGATACAACAAAAAATAATCCAAGTTGCACTAATTGAACCAAAGAAACCGATGCCCCTCTCAAGTAGAACACACTATGGAATTAGACAGTCTGTATTGACAGCAATTTCCAAAAGTTAATGCACATGTTAAATGAGAAACACCTTTTTAAATGTTTACACTACAGAGGGCTTGAAAAGGGATATAGCTAAGATGTTTATAAACCAAACATTTACATGTCTCAAAATTACAAATTATGGATTATTAGAATGTTTGACAGGTCCAAAACAATAATAAATATGCATATTATATATATATAAGATAAATATTGCTAAAAATAAATATTAAAATGAATAAATGTAGAAAAGAATTACCCTGCGTTTTCACATATTCCAAAAAGCGGATATCGACGCAACGCTTAATGTAATAACGGCGCTAATGTAATAATAGTTACATTAAGCGTTGCGACCGTTACGTTTAATGTAATAAACTTATCTTTATTGCATTAAGAGTTGCAATTGTAACGCTTAGAGTAATACAAAATAAATTATTACACTAAGCGTTATGGTTGTATCAGATATTCCTAAGGTGAATTACACAGCTGTATCAGTTTCTTTATTTTGTGACACAGGTTTCTGAACGTATCGATAATAGAAACACATCAGAATTGATCAGCTTGAGTTTCCAGGCTTACTTAGATCTCCTGCACCAGAGCCGGCCTTAGATAGTACGTCATTTACCTGAAATATATATAAAATGACCTACACATTAAAAAATACAATGTAGAATTAAAAAATAGAAAGGTTTGGCATGGAACTGACTTATTATTGTTAAATTTCTACATCAGTCCCCATAGCCCCACTGTTCCTAAAACAGCACCCACAGAACACTCACTATATGCTAATTGCCCTGCTTATACCACTGGAGACACTACACCTTGAGTTCAACCCACGTGTTGTAACCACAACAGGTATCCATGATGTGACGAAGGTGTTTAAGGGATATTCCACACAAGTTGTGATTTCATAAGATTTTTTGAAAAAAAATAATGTAAAAACTCATCTACATACATTCTTATGGAAATCGCACTCCTCAATATACCATTTAAACAAACGTGATATTTAATTTGCAGAAATTCTGTATAGATCTAGCAAGATCGATTTACAAACGTTCACTCGACCATGATGCGTCTTGACAGGTTTGCGTTGAATAAGCTGAATAGAATGGAATATTTATGTGATTTATAAAATCAAGAGAAAATCAGCTTAAAAAATTTGTAATCCCATCAGAAATGTTAATGAACAAATACAAAATAAAATCTATATGATCCAGTGACCTTTCAGTTCCGGATTTCCCTATGCCCGATACTTAGACGGTTTGGCTGGGAGTATTCCCACCATTTTCGCCTGTCCAAACTGACCACAACAGATGTATTTTGACGCTAACAACAATTTTAAGAGTCATTAGAATGAGTTATTAAAAAGTATAGAACAGCATGAAGTTTTGCAACTTGGACGGATTATCTCTTTAAAAGAACAGACATTTACTCAAGAACTTGAGATGAATGTGGCAGTTACTATCTCAATATATATCTTATGTTTTTAAACAAATTATTATCATTGTTAAATTGTGTCACGGATTATCTTCAGACTCCTTTAGTTTGCTAAGACTTCGGGAAGAAATTATATAACCAACTTTGCTGTAATCTGATGCAGCATTAAACATTTCAAATAGGCAAAATACTTTTAAACTTCGACTGATCAGAGGTTAAGGAGTAAAGTGACAGGAACACTTCAACATTTGGATAAAAAAGATAGATAAACAAAATCACAAACAAAATACTAATATGTCAACGGAATCTTAATCCAGTCTCTGATTCGATGAAACTAGGGCAATCTATGAACAAAGAAAAAAGATTTACATGGAGACTTCAAGGAGAATAAGACCATGTGTTCCAGAAGAGTAAGCGTCTTCTGTTTCATATATGACAACCACCATGAAAATCTGGTTTGATCAAAGTAATTAACGTCACGTTCCTGTATGAGAACAACGTATTATAAAATGGAATCTACAGACAACAAAATAAATTAAGAAGTTATTACACACTGATGATTTTGTTTGTTTGCGTTGGTTTAAATCATCGCGGTTTCACCCAACAGAAGAGAGAGAGACACGCAGATACATGGACGGACTTAGTATTGTGCTAACTTCAGTTTCAACACGACTTTGATGACAAATCCGTATGTTGATATACACGTATATATTATGTAGATATATATTCTGATATGATATATGTGTTGTTTGGAATGCTATTATATTGAAACTGGTTTAATGTTAAAATTTACGATTTGACTGTGTACAAAATCTTCTCTCACAAACTAGTTTCGATTTGGGAAACAACACTAATATACGTACCCAGCGAAAAAAGGACGTTGTAGCAGCACTGACAGAGCGGACTTTGTCTTCTGTGAAACCGTCAATATACCCACGTGCCTTGACAACTAGCTCCGGAGGAATGACACTAACATCGACTTCTTCCAATCTTTTTAATGATGAAGGGTCAGCAAGGAATCTTTTAACATATCTGAAATCCTACAATAACAAAAATAATATCAGTTATTATAGCTCAGTTTATAACAGACCGTGAAAGCTCAGTTGATAAAAGACCGCGATAGCTCAGTCAATAGGGGCCGCGATAGCTCGGTTAATAGGAGACCGCGATAGCTTAGTCAATAGGGGCCGCGATAGCTCAGTCAATAGGAGACGGCGATAGCTCAATCAATATGGGACCGCGATAGCTCAGTCAATAAGAGGACCGCGATAACTCTGACAATAAGAGGACCGCGTTAACTCAGTCAATAGGAGACCGCGATAGCTTAGTCAATAGGAGACCGCGATAGCTCAGTCAATATTGGATCGCGATAACTCAGTCAATAGGTGACCGCGATAACTCATTCAATAGGAGACCGCGATAGCTCAGTCAATAGGAGACCGCGATAACTGAGTCAATAGGAGACCGCGATAACTCAGTCAATAGGAGACCGCGATAGCTCAGTCAATATTGGATCGCGATAACTCAGTCAATAGGTGACCGCGATAACTCAGTCAATAGGAGACCGCGATAGCTCAGTCAATAGGAGACCGCGATAGCTCAGTCAATATAGACAGTTGTGCCTTGTAACCTCCGCTGAAGATCCAGAATGTTATATTCCACTCTCTCTACTTGTGGTTGTTTGCGGACTATGATATGATGTCAAGAAACTTCGCCCTTATTGCTTTTCGATGGACCTTCCGTTTTGTGTTTCCTTTTTGAGATAGCCACCAGCTGTCTAAATGAGATTCTGTATGATCCTGGTTGTTCACGTCACGATAAACCCGTTAAATGATAGAAATCAGAGGAGAATTCGGGGTAATTCTTGTCGGCTTCTACAAAATGTATGATCAGTTCCCGACCCAGTATAAACCAATGAAATATCGGATTCATATTATAGAACAGAGACAATAAGACAATCATCTGGTTTTATCGAAGAAATTAAATATATGTCTAACATTTTTTTTCAACAGTTCTGGTGGCTGCATCACCGAACAACATATGAGAGGCCCATAACAATCTATTCAATGCAATTAAAGTAAAAATGTTCTGTCCAAGAACACAACTACGACAGCACAGATGGCACTGTTAAGTCTAAGGTTACACAATGAATCGCGAGGAAAAAGATAGATACAGTTGATATTCATGTACACGTAGGTACGACAACAAGAAATGTTTACCACAGGTCAAACTAACAGGAAAAATCGAATCATTTTTCGCTAGACAGGAGAAAACAATATTTATGGTTTTATAAACATGTATATGAGGGATATCATGGTTTCAAATTGCGTTAAATGTTGCAGAATTGATTATACAAAGGATGGTTACCCAGCTCAACCTCTCTATCACAACTTACACCTACCCTCCAAACCCTACTTCTCCTCTCCCATCCCACCCCTCCCACACATCCACCCCTCCCACACACTCACCCCTCACCGATCCACTCCATAACACCCATCTCTCACCATCCCACCCGAACGGTCTGTTTCTCAACTGCGTGGACATATGATTTCGTGAATTAAGAACAAAAATAAATAATTGAAGGATATCATAACTGAAGACAAAGACTGAAGCTTTTCTCTGCAAAACAGACATAATCTTTATGACCCCTATTTTGACATGTTTATACAACACATACCACTTAATATTTCTATCGAGTTAGATGTTTATTCTATATATGTAATATCATCTATACCTCTACATTCTCTTCCTGAAGAAGTGTCATCGTTGCACTTAGAACATCTTTGACGAGTTGCGGAGGATTTGCTAAACTTTTGATCTCTGTCAAGTCACCCTTTTTAACAGCAGTCATGATCAACACTGATTGAGTGTAGTATTTAAGAACACACTGTTACACTGCTCACCGAGTTGGTCCGTCTTTGTCGGGGCGAAGGTTTATATATACACAGTCTATATTGGGAACACCTACTAATGGTAGTGTGTGGAAAGGACCAGAAATAGGCTAGTGTGATTGCCAGCGTACCCTGGATACACCCAAATAACACATACCGGTATTTGACCCCGTATTGGGGTGAACTCTTTCGCTAGATAATGTCAGCCAATCGATAGACAGAATGTATGACACTTATGAAGATCTAATTCTGCTACGTCAATTGGTATTCACGATAGAAAACACCCTAGGGATTCTCGTTGAGAAATCACCTTGTGGCAAACAGTGGAAATTCCGCGAAGAAGCAAGCCTGCTTATGATAATCGTGTAATGTAGTTAAATCCTAAATATGATTGTTATTAAAATGCTACTTATAATACTTTATCTACTAAATACCACTATTGTTTGTATCAATTGTAAAGAACAGTAGTATAATCTTAATCACGAATTATTAATTCGAGGTAGTCACGAGACACTTCTGTTTAAGTTCAAGGATACATTACCAAACATGTTATACTATGTTAGACTTTAACGATTTTTTCCTATGTCTTTGCTATATTGAATATAGCGATGCTTTGATTTTAATTAAATTGATATAAGTGAGTCATCAACTGAATTGTGTCAATGGCCACGATTAATTTGTAAGATTTTGAAGTTTTTGGTACAGATATTTGTTGTTTAAGCACCATATCTATATAAAATAAAATACGACACTGATAACTCCCGTTTCCTTAAATGATACATAGAGGCCAAACATAATCGGAGGGGGGGTGGGGGGTGGCAATAATTGGTCTTGCTTGCTTATTGGTTATATTTATGCGTTATTAAGATGTTAGAAAAAACACCCAGACCTATCGAAAACAACACGTTTAGTTTCAATCATTTACACAACAGTGGTCAGTGGTGTAGCAATTGTTTTTTAGGAGTGAGTGCTTTCAAAAGAGGGTACTGGGGCGAAGCCTGAAGATGTCGGATTTTAAGCTAATCAGAAATATCTTTTCTATTCACACCAACACATTTTATTCAACGAAAATGACAAAATTCAGTAACAATTTTTGTTAACAATAATCGCTGTTTCCAGTGTAAGCTTAGCATACTTTGCCTTGTCGTGTAATGTCATATCTCTTTAACACTGACATACATTCAAACCTAAAACAACAATATATTCATGCGCAAGCAATAACTCACCGCTTTGATTAAATCAAGCAAAATATAAAATGCAAATAATTGAAAATGGCTGCACTTGGTTTCCCACGCCGTACATTTTCTATTCTAATAAATTATACTTTTGCTAATAAGACCATATTCCGCGTTCCTTACAAACCAGTTATACAGCTTGTCTCACATTTCTTACTTAGCGAGTATCCAGCCTTAGGTCTACTGTAACAATTGATTGATTGTTGATATAAATTTCCGCTCTCGTGAATGTAATTCTGTAATTACCTCGATGTTTCCCTATGAATACATTATATCTCTTTAAATACTTGACCCATTTCTGCCAATAAAGTTTTCATATCAATACAAGGCGACAGAATTGTGCTAGGTCGCTTTTGTGTTTGCGGTTGAAACGATTGGATCCGTTCAACCTGAAAGAAAAACGCCGGGTACAGACCGGGACCGAGGCTGGACTGCGGAATATTTAGTCATGCAGATTGAGGGGTCCAAACGTACCTGTTCGAATCTAACTTGCTGAATCTAATCAATTTTCATAATTTTACCATAAAGTATGATCAGTGCACTTAAATATTCCCGGATACATTTTGCGATTAAGTGTGAGTGGAATGGATTCTCTCTTAATTTCAGTTCATTATTTTATTGCTTGACAGGAAATTACGGTACAGTGTATTTTAAAACGTTGCATATATCGGGTAAAAGATCCAGTACATATGCTTCGTGTATAGTGGTCCAACCGGATTACGTGAAAGCGCCCCCAAGTGTGTATAATGCGCCGTTCAGTATACCTCGGGAATACCCGTCTGAATATATGCGTCTCCCGCAGCATGGAAATCCCGTTCTAAAAACACCCATACCTGTACCGTTGAATTCCCTGTTTATAGTGTCGTCTGGTCGTGTGTGGTAGAAACACTCATGGTTGTTATCGTTGTAACATTTCTGGTCCCACTTGTATAAAACATCTCAACTTGAGATTTCCTCAAGTCAAGATTTTCCTCAGCTGATATCTCCTTGAAAACATCTGGTATGAAAATTCCTCAAGGAATTTCAGGACATCCTAGCCGAGGACTTCCTCCTGTTCCTTGAGAAAATTTTATACAAGCCGTTTTTGAGGAGATATCAGCAGAGGAAAATTTCGAATTGAGGAAGTCTTAAGTTGAGATGTTTTATACAAGTGGGGCCAGTAGGCCTATTTCCGTCGTAACAACCGATTGTTATTGAACATAGAAGCAAACCAAAAGGACATGAAAAGCTTATAATGCAAACATGTCTATTTATATATTTTATTAACAAATTCAAACAAAATTCTCCAGTTCCAGTCGGTAATTTGTGAATTTACACGATAACGCTAAAATGTATTCGTCAGCGTTTTTTAAACTACGCTGTGGGACGATATTACAAAATTAGTTGCCAGTGAGTATGTGTGTTGATTTAAATCTATATTTGTCAATACATCATGCTGACGAACGGTAAACGAATTTAGTATAGAACATTTGTTTGCAGTATCGTATACATGTATACCTTTGACTGTTGACAACTTGTCATTGCCTTCTTCCACAATTTATACAATGTATCAAGCCAAATAAATTATCTGATATTTGAAATTTATTTAATTATGGAGTTGCTGCATATCCCGTATGCAAAAACTTGGGGACCAAATGAAAAACTAGTCTATGTTGCCAATGTTTATTTCTTACTGTTTGTTTCTATATATTTTTTATGGACTAGGGACCTGGTTTGTGGGGACTATACTGGCCCAACTTACCAGACCTCTGGGCCATTTTAATTTATAACCATTAGTGCTTTCATAACTTAAATATGCTGTATCTTTATGTACATTTTAATCAATGGAAATCCCGTAATTAATATCTCGAGTTACTACTCTGTGCATGTTTTATGTCCATACACGTATGTTTCACATTTTGTTTTTTTTCCTTTTATATTGATATGTTTTGTCGTAATAATAGCTCCTCTGAGCTAATGTTGACTTTGTTTATCATATACGACACAAAATAAAGCGTATTGTATTGTTGTATTGTATAGTCTGGTCCTTTGATGTACATCAAATGAATCTCAAAGTCGCATACCGATATGTTTCAATTGTCTTGATGTTGGGTGTCGCTCTTCGTAATTTTTAAAATAATTACTTCCCTTGTACCTTAAATAATGCCATGACATGTTCCAGGGGTGCTGAGAGCCAAATTGATCGTAACCCTTGTAATATCGAGGATGCAAAGGAGTGCAACAGACCAAATTTTGTCCCTTCAATGTCTCCTTTGTAGATGACACGGAAGAAAACCCATCTGGACCCTCTGATGTCTCCTTATCCGGAGACGTCAGAAAACCATCTCCAATCTGCAAAAATAGGTCCACAGTCAGTTACGTCTTCTTTAATGAGACACAGGGCGCTAATTGTTTCCCAATTTCCAGTTGCAAGTTACAGGGTTAGCAGCTACATCATGTATGGATACTTTCATGAAGTACCTGTATAGTCGTTTCCAAAATTATCAGCTGATAAATCTACTTCTTAAATATAGGTGCATTATGCAAAAAGATTTTGTTAATCAGTGGATGGAATAACCAAAAGGATTTAGCCTTTAACGCAAGTTTGGTAGAGGTCTGGTGTCAGATTATAACAAAACAGAAGTCTGGTGTCAGATTATAACATAAGGCAGACGTCTGGTGTCAGATTATAACATTTGACAGGTCTGGTGTCAGATTATAACATAAGGCAGACGTCTGGTGTCAGATTATAACATTTGACAGGTCAGGTGTCAGATTATAACATAGACAAGTCTGGTGTCAGATTGTAATATAAGACAGGTATGGTATCAGATTGTAACATAGACAGTTCAGGTGTCAGATTATAACATAGACAGGTCTGGAGTCAGATTATAACATTTGACAGGCCTGGTGTCAGATTACAATATAAAACAGAAGTCTGGTGTCAGATTATAACAAAACAGAAGTCTGGTGTCAGATTATAACATAAGACAGGTCAGGTGTCAGATTATAACAAAACAGAAGTCTGGTGTCAGATTATAACATAAGACAGGTCAGGTCAGATTGTAACATATGCCAGGCCTGATGTCAGATTATAACATAGACAGGTCTGGTGTTAGATTATAACATAGACAGGTCTGGTGTTAGATTATAACATAGACAGGTCTGGTGTCAGATTATAACATAGACAGGTCTGGTGTTAGATTATAACATAGACAGGTCTGGTGTTAGATTATAACATATGCCAGGCCTGATGTCAGATTATAACATAGACAGGTCTGGTGTCAGATTATAACATAGACAGGTCTGGTGTCAGATTATAACATATGACAAGTCTGGTGTCAGATTATAACAAAACAGAAGCCTGGTGTCAGATTATACATATGACAGGTCTGGTGTCAGATTATAACAAAACAGAAGCCTGGTGTCAGATAATACATATAGTAGGTCTGGTGTCATTTTACACTTTGACAGATGTCTGGTGATGGATTATAACATAGATAGGTATGGTGTCAGATTATAACATAGACAGGTCTGGTGTCAGATTATAACATAGACAGGTCTGGTGTCAGATTATAACATTTGACAGGTCAGGTGTCAGATTATAACATAGACAGGTCTGGTGTTAGATTATAACATAGACAGGTATGGTGTCAGATTATAACATAGACAGACCTTGTGTCAGATTATAACATAGACAGGTTAGGTGTCAGATTATAACATAGACAGGTCTGGTGTCAGATTATAACATAGACAGGTTAGGTGTCAGATTATAACATAGACAGGTCTGGTGTCAGATTATAACATTTGACAGGTCAGGTGTCAGATTATAACATATGACAGGTCAGGTGTCAGATTATAACATATGACAGGTCTGGTGTCAGATTATAACAAAACAGAAGTCTGGTATCAGATTATAACAAAACAGAAGTCTGGTGTCAGATTATAACATAAGACAGGTCAGGTGTCAGATTGTAACATATGCCAGGCCTGATGTCAGATTATAACATAGACAGCTCAGGTGTCAGATTATAACATAGACAGGTCTGGTGTTAGATAACATAGACAGGTTTGTGTCAGATTATAACATAGACAGGTCTGGTGTCAGATTATACATATAGCAGGTCTGGTGTCAGATTATACATATAGCAGGTCTGGTGTCATTTTACACTTTGACAGATGTCTGGTGATGGATCATAATAGATAGGTATGGTGTCAGATTATAACATAGATAGGTATGGTGTCAGATTATAACATAGACAGATGTCTGGTGTCAGATTATAACATATGACAGGTCTGGTGTTTTACACTTTGACAGATGTCTGGTGATATAACATATATAGGTATGGTGTCAGATTGTAACATAGACAGGTCAGGTGTCAGATTATAACATAGACAGGTCTGGTGTCAGATAATACATATAGCAGGTCTGGTGTCATTTTACACTTTGACAGATGTCAGGTGACGAATTATAACATAGATAGGTATGGTGTCAGATTATAACATAGACAGACCTTGTGTCAGATTATAACATAGACAGACCTTGTGTCAGATTATAACATTTGACAGGTCTAGTGTCAGATTATAATATAGACTGGTCTGGTTTGACATATGACATATGACAGGTTTGGTGTCAGTTTATAACATATGACAGGTCTGGTGTCAGTTTATAACATATGACAGGTCTGATGTCAGTTTATAACATATGACAGGTTTTAGTGTCAGATTATAACATAGACAGGTGTGGTGTCAGTTTATAACAGAAGACAAATGTCTGGTGTCAGATTTTTATTCCATACCATCTATTACAGACATTCAGCAAGCTTTCTTTAACAAGAGTGAATACATGTAAATAATGTTGTGAATTAAGACAACTGAATGAATTAAGAAGGCTGGAGACCAGTCCATGGTCTATTACAGTAGACCTAAGGCTGGAGACCAGTCTATGGTCTATTACAGTAGACCTAAGGCTGGAGGCCAGTCCATGGTCTGTTACAGTAGACCTGAGGCTGGAGACCAGTCCATGGTCTATTACAGTAGATCTGAGGCTGGACACCAGTCCATGGTCTGTTACAGTAGACCTAAGGCTGGAGACCAGTCCATGGTCTATTACCTAAGGCTGGAGACCAGTCCATGGTCTATTACAGTAAACCTAAGGCTGGAGACCAGTCCATGGTCTATTACAGTAGACCTGAGGCTGGAGACCAGTCCATGGTCTATTACAGTAGACCTAAGGCTGGAGACCAGTCCATGGACTATTACAGTAGACCTAAGGCTGGAGACCAGTCCATGGTCTATTACCTAAGGCTGGAGACCAGTCCATGGTCTATTACAGTAGACCTAAGGCTGGAGACCAGTCCATGGTCTATTACAGTAGACCTGAGGCTGGAGACCAGTCCATGGTCTATTACAGTAGACCTGAGGCTGGAGACCAGTCCATGGCCTATTACAGTAGACCTGAGGCTGGAGACCAGTCCATGGTCTATTACAGTAGACCTGAGGCTGGAGACCAGTCCATGGTCTGTTACAGTAGACCTGAGGCTGGAGACCAGTCCATGGTCTGTTACAGTAGACCTGAGGCTGGAGACCAGTCCATGGTCTGTTACAGTAGACCTGAGGCTGGAGACCAGTCAATGGTCTATTACAGTAGACCCAAGGCTGGAGACCAGTCCATGGTCTATTACAGTAGACCCAAGGCTGAAGACCAGTCCATGGCCTATTACAGTAGACCTAAGGCTGGAGACCAGTCCATGGCCTATTACAGTAGACCTGAGGCTGGAGACCAGTCCATGGCCTATTACAGTAGACCTAAGGCTGGAGACCAGTCCATGGCCTATTACAGTAGACCTAAGGCTGGAGACCAGTCCATAGTCTATTACAGTAGACCTAAGGCTGGGGACCAGTCCATGGTCTGTTACAGTAGACCGAAGACTGGAGACCAGTCTATTACAATAGACCTAAGGCTGGAGACCAGTCCATAGTCTATTACAGTAGACCGAAGACTGGAGTCCATGGTCTATTACAGTAGACCTAAGACTGGAGACCAGTCCATGGTCTATTAAAGTAGACCAATGGTTGGAGACCAGACCATGGTCTATTACAGTAGACCTAAGACTGGAGACCAGTCCATGGTCTATTAAAGGAGACCTAAGTTTCAAGACCAGTCTATGGTCTGTTACGGTAGACCTAAGAATCGGTAGAGTTAACAGATGATCTCAGCATCCCTTGACACTGTAACCTGTAGGACAAACATTTGTGTCAGTACCAGTTAATACTAAGGATGTACAATGTATTAGTAAAACGAAAGTATAGTTACTGTAATAGTAGGTTTTCTGCATTTGTAAATTATAATCCTGTGATGTTAGAGATCTGGTCCTATATTTGATCATAGAATGCCTTCTTTCTTCATGGACACTTTAACAACATGTGGCATAATAATATTGATAGTTTGTTATATGACATTTTTATAATCATTGTCTACTCTGGTGATTAGTGGAGCCACATAATACTCGGGTGTTGAAATATTACTCTTTTTGTTTCCATACAATTCATATATGTTACATTTAGCCCCGAAACCTGATTGTCGATTAATTTCTACAGCACATCTTTAAATACTGCCACTTTAAGTTTTGATAAAAATATTTCTAAAACCTAAAAATGAGTAACATATAGTAGTATATAATTTTTTACTTAAAGACATGTGACTTTTGAAAAATTGAATAGATATATGATAAGCTGAAGATACTGGTGTAATAGTAGAAATTAAATGGCAAACTGCTTGTCATCCCTTAAGTATCCAAGCATGGATACGCGATCCCCTAAGTTTTATTTTCAGATTCAAACTTCCACAATTGTCATCAAGGATCAAAAGTAAGGATGTCAATGAATATTCATAAATTTGTTCAGTAGGACAGTACTGAAATAGGAAAATGATGTTGGATATTTGTTTCCACAATTTAATATATTGACGTTCGGAATATTGCTAAAATTAATCTGTTCACTGCCGAAGAATTGTCCAATTTTCATTCTGAAGTGAATTTTACGAGCTAAACTATTCAGGCATTACTAGTGTTCAAAGTTTTACACCTGTACAATCCATCATGACATCAATTATTCTATCAGTGGAGGGCCTAAAGTCATCCCTATCCAGGTAAGTTTTGGTAATTAAAGTATAATAGTTAAAACATCTTATACATTTATATTATTTGTAACAAAATCACATTTTCCTTTGATGTAAAAAGTTTTAAATAATATTTTTTTGTGTAAATAATATGTAAAACAGACAGGAAATCTTATATTTAGAATTCTATACTTTGCCATTTGTATATTGTGCACAGGTACAAAAAAAAATGAGATTTTATGTAATTTGTTCGACAATTCCCTCCGAATCTATCCCAAGAAATCATCGTCCACTTTGGGATATTTAGATATAAGTTACAAATAGGATACAACATGGCCTGATGGATCACAACCTTCAATTTAGTAAATGTGGTTGTTTCCACCGGGATTTGCCATGAATTCCCTACCCACAATCCACGTTATATATGGACTGTGAGTCGGGAATTTGTGCACAATCCCTGTGGTTGTTTCTACATTACTGTCCAAATCAAACGAATACTACAGATAAAAAATTGGAGAACAAATCCCAAATTCAAAGTGAAACAATAGAAAAATGTGAGTCTCATCATCTTGAGCTTGAACAATTCAGCAACTTCACAAAGATGCATACATGATCATTACACTCGCCATCAACCACTCAAAGCACCAAAGGTCAAGGTTGTCACCTTAATAAGGTCACAACCTATAACACAAGGCAATACTTTAACAATCAGAAATAACAGGGACAAGTGTACAAATCTCAGTAAGGTGTTAGCAGGACATCACTTCACAATACAGCCTCCCTTCAGAGGGGAAACCCCGGATAAAAATTGGGCTATTTATAGTACGATATGGCCTACCATTGAAATGTAGGCTATTTGGTCGATACATATTCTCTATTCATTTAACCATAAGTATGAGGAAATGTGAGGAAGTATAAAACGTGAAAACATATGTAAAATGTGTAATATCTACTGGTTCGATTTGGCTTGAAACAAAAACTTACAAATTTTTTTTTTTTGATGTATAAATGTAATATTTTCTTTAAAAAGTCTCTGCTCTACATATTTTATTCATAACAGATTTAGAATCTGATTTCAATAAACAATTGATTTTCGCACTAACCAAAAAAGCACCAACAACGACTACAGTCAGTGCTCAAGGTATCACATCCAACAGCGCCTACATACAAATGCATAGAAGTGCTTACTAATCACAACTTGTACTGATTTATCACAACGCAAAGCACCACAAAGTTACAGCACAGTTACTGTAAATTACAGCACTGGTCCCTGTACAATCTTAAGTAAAATCATCACAATATGACAAGAGCATTATTACATCATACAGCACGGTTCACAGTAATTACAGATAGGCCCTGTCAAATTTTCAATATAATTGTCAAAATATTTTACTAATCCTCAGTATTGTTTAAAATCTGAACGATGACATCACAGGACAATTTCTTGATTATTATTATTATTATTATTCATTAAATAAGATGTAACAGTGGATACCATGGTAACCTACTGTTTATCACTGCTCCTAGAGGTGTTCTTCAAGGTGTACTCCTAATCCAGCTTTATTTTATTTTTTATTCTAAGACATAATTAACGCTTAAGTTTTGTGATAAAATAGAAATGCATATACCATAGTAATATTCCTAGATATTAATTATAGAATTAATATCTAATTATAGAATATCAAAACCACCTAAATCACACGAAGAATTCACGAATGATAACGAATGATCAACATGTAAATTTCAAAGTGAATATGACGATAACAAAACATATGCAAATTTGAGAAAATTGAACAGATCTAACAGAGAGGACTTACTGAAGTGTCTGTAGATAGACCTACAAAGGGATACATAATATAATACAATCTGATACATAAATCACAACCTCGTTTAACATACAGTAATTAATACAAAAAAAGTTATAAATTCTAAATTATTGTTGATATGCAAACACAAATTAGGCTTGATCTTATAACAGAGAACAAATACAGGCAAAAATAGTCTTTGTACAAGTTGGACACAATAAGTAAAATTCTAAATTATCAAACAAAGATGGGATTCTTCCATTTTTGTTTAAACAAATATACAAATTATGCAAATATTATAATTAGGCTCATGAATATTCAATGGAATAAGTGTTTTATGCATGAGGAATGCTGAATGTTATGATTGCACATCAGACAAAACTACTCGATAATAATAGTATCAATTTGTCAGAGTGTGAAAATGTCTATCAGGCTCAACTACTCGATAGCGTCAAGTATCATCAAGTATCATCAAGCAATAAGAACAAAATCTATACAAAAATTTCTGAACAGGGTAAACAATGACTGGTGTCGTTAAGAACAGGTGAGAACTACTTCACAGACCCAGCAAAGTGGTCCAGAGTAGCATACCTAGTTAAAGGTCAATATTAATGTACAATTCATTTAAGTTTTATGTCAAACTCTCTCTATCAAAGACCCACTGTCTCCATTAACAAAGCCTGAAAACCTGAGTCTTGACAGACCAAGTATCTTTGCTAGAGTGAGTTCTACAGTCTACATCAAAGTGTACACTAGCTAATGTATGTAGTCTATATCTACAGTGTACCCTGGCTTCTGTATGTAGTCTATATCTACAGTGTATCCAGGCTTCTGTATGTAGAGTCTATGTCTACAGTGTGCACAGACTTCTGTATGTAGAGTCTATATCTACAGTGTACCCAGACATCTGTATGTAGAGTCTACTTCTACAGTGTACCCAGACTTCTGTATGTAGAGTCTATGTCTACAGTGTACCTAGGCTTCTGTATGTAGAGTCTATGTCTACAGTGTACCCAGACTTCTGTATGTAGAGTCTATGTCTACAGTGTACCCAGACTTCTGTATGTAGAGTCTATATCTACAGTGTACCCAGACTTCTGTATGTAGAGCCTATGTCTACAGTGTACCCAGGCTTCTGTATGTAGAGTCTATATCTACAGTGTACATAGGCTTCTGTATGTAGAGTCTATGTCTACAGTGTACACAGGCTTCTGTATGTAGAGTCTATATGTAGAGTCTACATTACAGCCTCTTATTTTTGATTACTGTTTGACTAGTTAAGTTTGGAATGAACTTTGGAATTTTTAACATAAATATTGTAGTATATACCTATTACACTAACCAGTTATCAAATGTCTATGATGCGTAGAAACACATATAAATACAGATTATAAGGCAAGAACAAAGGAACCCAACGTCGGTGTGTTGGCAAGGAAGTGGAGGACAAGTATACAGGCTCTGGAAGAAATGCCAACAACACAGTTATCAAATAACACTGAATAATGTACTATGTTTATGGGTTCATGGTTACTTGTCACCTTGGTAACAGAGTAGAAGTTATAGGTTACCATGGTAAAAGACTTTAAATAATGTGTTGTTATGACAACAGAGCTGATATGGTATGTTCAGGATAACAACAAATGGTTACACTTCGGACACAAGGTGTTCTTAAACCTGAGGTATTTGTTCCCCTTATACACAGTCTGGTCCTACAGCTAGTTAATGTGTTAATGATAAGTAAAATGTTTGATATCCATATACATTAAATGCATTGTAAATTTCAAGATGATATAATGATTGACACAGTGTGCAATCTATATTGGCCAGTAGAAACTATCTCCACCTTTACTGATACTTTTGTTCCACATCGGCTAATGATTGAGATGGAAATTAATCTTGACTTATAATCTCGTACTAACTTTGATCTTGACAATGACAGCTACAGCAGTGCTTCATGGACAACATGTTACAACAAAGTCACATAGCAACACATTTGAGAGCTACCCAGGCTTCTGAATCAGCTTTTTAAGTTTGGGTGTAATATCCCAACACCATCACCGGCAACACACACTATTCTATATCACCTGAAGTGTGATAAACATACACCATCCTCAATTAATCAAATCTCCTTTTTCTGGGTATTTTGTATATATAAGATCTGGACCGCCAGTTATCTTTAAGTCTGGAGACCATGAAGATCCCATTAAGTCTCTGAAGAACAAAATCCTTCACAAATAAAACTTTCAGATCATCAAATTCAAAAATTTCCATTGCATAGGAATATATGTAAAGCTATATTTGAACTACCTGACAACAGCAATTTTTTGTTTGATTCTGTCATTCTCATACTACATGTACTTTGGATGTAGATCTAAACCAAGAACCAAGCTTGAACATTTTACGTAATTGTCAACAGAGTTGGCCTGGCTCTTTGGCAGAATAAAGTCATCAGCATTTCTGTTGGTCTGTTTAAGAATAAAGTCAGGGTCAACATCATTACTATCAAGGTCATGTAATAAATCTTATAAAAAAGAAGGTCATGGTCAAAGACATTACTGTCAAAGTCATTTACAGAGTGTTATGGAATAAGGTCAAGGTCAAGGACATTGCTGTCAAAGTCATTTATAGAGTGTTATGGAATAAGGTCAAGTCAAGGACATTGCTGTCAAAGTCATTTATAGAGAGTTATGGAATAAGGTCATGGTTGGAGGCATTGCTGTCAAGTTATTGTCCATGGAGTCTGTTTATTAAGTCTGTTACAAAATCAGATCAGGCTTGGAGACATTGCTGTCAAGACCACTAACCTCCTCTGTAACACAATAAGGTGTGGGTTAGAGAAATTGCTGTCAAGTTTATCCAAAGAATTAGGTCAAGGTCAGGGACGTTGCTCTCAAAATTATTGTCTCAGTTTGTTTTGATATAATGGTGATAATAAATTTTCATCAGTTTGAACAGTAATTTGTTATTATGTTATTTGAAATAACATTTCGTTATTTAGGGTCCCTTGGAATTCATTATAATCATAATTTACCACTGAATATTGATAACACTTGACGCAGCTGTAACCTTGACCCTGACATTATGACCTTAACCTAAGTATACTACAATATATTTTGATAAAATATTAATCACTTATGTCATTGACTGTTTTCAGCAAGTGTAAATATCATACTGTAAATCACTTACATTTCACATAGGATTTATTTTCGTGTCAATATGTGAGGGAGAATCAATCATGATTTCAAATCCCTCACGATTATTTGTAGGAAAACAACTCATGTTGATCCTGTTATCAACATCGGAGTCTGTAGAGTCCAAGTCTCTATGAACTCATTACTTGCGAATTTAAAGTCAATTCTAGATCAGCATTTGTGAAACTATGTATTCCCAAATATGTCTGAACAGGTAAGTTTGCAAAATAAAGTATTTGCAAAATCTAAGTGGTTTACAGTAATGCTTTTAAACTGCAATGGAAACATGTAAGTATATCACTGCTGAAGGCCAAGAACGCTCAGAGAAAGTCTGTGCAATAATCAACTCCTAATCATCTTGATCTTGATGTGCTTATTTCTGTCGCTACAGAAAACAAATTTCCTGACATCACGACCAAATCAAATACATATAAGAAGCATAATTGAAGTAGATGAAATTTTGGCAACAGTACTAGAGGCAATTTGCTGATACATTGATAAGTTTTTATGAGGTCGATGTTATCTGTCCTGGGATTCGCCATCCTTCAATAAACCAGAACATCCCCGACTTCTTCGGTCCTCCATTAAACTTGGGTAACATCATGCTGTAGTCAAGCACTAAGCTATGAGAGTCATCGTGAGAACCATTACACGCAATCCTCCATAGACATAAGCAGTGGGTTTACATACTCAAAACCATCAAACTCAGACTGATCAATCTTGTCAATGACTTTCCTACAAGATAAACAATATATCTGAAGATTAGGTTTAATACAGAGGTTTGGTAAGGTGCTCAAAATCATTAACGTTTTAGTCATTGGTATTTACTAAATAAAAGAAGATAACAAATTTATTGCTGACCCATATTCAATTTTCAAGTCTATGGCTGTACAATCTTTTATATTTCACATGGATAAAACACCAAAATTCTATCATTCCTTCCTTTAGAACATATGGTTAAATGAAAAAACCTGTTATTTGAAGAGGTAACTATGAGAAGGTGTGTACAAATCTCATGTCAGTCTCAAGATACTGTATTTTAGGAGTTCTCGTTAATTCTTGAGAATTAAAACCACTTCAATTTCCTATGACCTTAATTTAATTCAAATTTGTTTGTAAATAAAATTTCATTTTTTGAGATATTGAGCTAAGGAATTGTTCATGTTAATGTGAATATCGATGCAGATCGCTTATAAACAGCTACGTTGTGATTTTGGGCCATCGTTTGGTCAATAATAATAATAAACAACTTTATTTTCTGAGGATTACATATTTAGCCAACGGCTAATCTTCCATATGGTCCTCGGTCAACACAAACTACAGAGTAACAGCAGTTGTTAAAGACTTACGGGTCGTCAGGTGTGAGGCGGACTGGCTCATCTGTAAATGCAGGGTCGAAGTGCTCAAGATCACGGTCTGACTTCAGCTGGGGTTTGTATGGAGGAGGAATCTGTTTCTGCTCCAGTGACTCCCAGCTTATAGAGCGGTAAAATGGGTGTGACTGAATATCAGAGAAACCCGTCTGGGGATGGCAGCCGAGGCGCTCCACAGGGCTCTGTGTGGTGAAAGGTCAAGGTGATTCGTGTTGCATATGTTACATTAATATAGTCTAATTTAGTCCCCTTAATAAAAAAGTATTTATGAACATGAAATGATTAATTTCAAGAATCTTTTACAAGGGTTATACAGTAATCTGGGCACTTCATAAGGTTCTGTCTAGAGAAATATCAAGATTATTTAACTTCAAAGTAGTTAGAAATATATGTGAATACCTGCAGATACAATAATCTCCCAAGAATTTTAAACATTGAACACGATCAAATCTCGGAAACGAAACAGCAGACTGGATTGTTGTGGTGTATAGTTTATAAAAGTCGGAAGCAGGGCTACTTTACCTTGTTGAGAAATCCCTTTAATATGGATGCTGCTTTCACAGATAAAGATCTTGGAATTCTTATAGTTTTCTCCAAGATAACTGGAAGAGAAACCAGCACTTAGTGTATTCTGATTATACTTAGATGGTCATTATACCAAGCAGTTAATTTTTAAAATAAATCTGAAAACATCGTATTCTGGTGATTTATTTACAAACAGCTATTCCATTTCCTGATGCTGAACCATCATGCATGTAACTGCCAGAAAATTAAAATTTATAAGGAAAAGTAAATCTTGTAACAAGCCAACTTGCATATTTTTTATTCAAATTTAAGTTAAACATGCAAAGACCAGACTTAAAAACTGCATTTACTTTGAAGTGCAAGTGAGATAATTAGTATTATTTGGCAGAAAATAAAAGGGAGGTAACTTGTACTTACCTTGGAAGAGGTAGTCTTCAGTGTTCTGATCAGGATTGTCTGCTGCTCCTACCACATCGAACGGAGACCTGCCCGCCAGCATCTCAAACATCAGTACTCCTAGGGCCCACCAATCCACACTGAAATCTGTACAATATATCAATGTTACCACTACATAGCAGGACTACAGGCAAACACACTAGACAACACTGTAATGTAGGTATAGACAGGGTACCATTAAAGGGAGCCCTGAGGTAGATGTATACCAAGGACCACTAGAGGAAGCCCTAATGTAGATATATACAAAGGACCACTAGAGGGAGCCCTGATGTAGATATATACCAAGGACCACAAGAGGGAGCCCTAATATAGATATGTACCAAGGACCACTAGAGGGAGCCCTAATGTAGATATATACAAAGGACCACTAGGAAGAGCCCTGATGTAGATATATACTGAGGACAACTAGGAAGAGCCCTGATGTAGATATATACCAAGGACAACTAGGAAGAGCCCTGATGTAGATATATACTGAGGACAACTAGGAAGAGCCCTGATGTAGATATATACCGAGGACAACTAGGAAGAGCCCTGATGTAGATATATACTGAGGACAACTAGGAAGAGCCCTGATGTAGATATATACTGAGAACAACTAGGAAGAGCCCTATGTAGATATATACCGAGGACAACTAGGAAGTGCCCTGATGTAGATATATACCAAGGACAACTAGGAAGAGCCCTGATGTAGATATATACTGAGAACAACTAGGAAGAGCCCTGATGTAGATATATACCAAGGACAACTAGGAAGAGCCCTGATGTAGATATATACTGAGGACAACTAGGAAGAGCCCTGATGTAGATATATACTGAGGACAACTAGGAAGAGCCCTGATGTAGATATATACTGAGGACAACTAGGAAGAGCCCTGATGTAGATATATACTGAGGACAACTAGGAAGAGCCCTGATGTAGATATATACAAGGACAACTAGGAAGAGCCCTGATGTAGGAAGAGCCCTGATGTAGATATATACTGAGGACAACTAGGAAGAGCCCTGATGTAGATATATACTGAGGACAACTAGGAAGAGCCCTGATGTAGATATATAACAAGGACAACTAGGAAGAGCCCTGATGTAGAGCCCTGATGTAGATATATAACAAGGACAACTAGGAAGAGCCCTGATGTAGATATATACTGAGGACAACTAGGAAGAGCCCTGATGTAGATATATATACTGAGGACAACTAGGAAGAGCCCTGATGTAGATATATACTGAGGACAACTAGGAAGAGCCCTGATGTAGATATATACTGAGGACAACTAGGAAGAGCCCTGATGTAGATATATACTGAGGACAACTAGGAAGAGCCCTGATGTAGATATATACTGAGGACAACTAGAGGGAGCCCTGATGTAGATATATACTGAGGACAACTAGGAAGAGCCCTGATGTAGATATATACTGAGGACAACTAGGAAGAGCCCTGATGTAGATATATATATAGCCCTGATGTAGATATACAAGATATATACAACTAGGAAGAGCCCTGATGTAGATATATACTGAGGATAACTAGGAAGAGCCCTGATGTAGATATATACTGAGGACAACTAGGAAGAACCCTGATGTAGATATATACCGAGGACAACTAGGAAGAGCCCTGATGTAGATATATACTGAGGATAACTAGGAAGAGCCCTGATGTAGATATATACTGAGGACAACTAGGAAGAGCCCTGATGTAGATATATACTGAGGACAACTAGGAAGAGCCCTGATGTAGATATATACTGAGGACAACTAGGAAGAGCCCTGATGTAGATATATACTGAGGACAACTAGGAAGAGCCCTGATGTAGATATATACTGAGGATAATTAGGAAGAGCCCTGATGTAGATATATACTGAGGACCACTAGGAAGAGCCCTGATGTAGATATATACTGAGGACAACTAGGAAGAGCCCTATGTAGATATATACTGAGGACAACTAGGAAGAGCCCTGATGTAGATATATACTGAGGACAACTAGGAAGAGCCCTGATGTAGATATATACTAGGAAGAGCCCTGATGTAGATATATACTGAGGACAACTAGGAAGAGCCCTGATGTAGATATATACTGAGGACAACTGATGTAGATATATACTGAGGACAAAGAAGAGCCCTGATGTAGATATATACTGAGGACAACTAGGAAGAGCCCTGATGTAGATATATACTGAGGACAACTAGGAAGAGCCCTGATGTAGATATATACTGAGGACAACTAGGAAGAGCCCTGATGTAGATATATATGAGGATAACTAGGAAGAGCCCTGAGGATATATACTGAGATATATAGGACAACTAGGAAGAGCCCTGATGTAGATATATATATATAGCCCTGATGTAGATATATACTGAGGACAACTAGGAAGAGCCCTGATGTAGATATATACTGAGGACAACTAGGAAGAGCCCTGATGTAGATATATACTGAGGATAACTAGGAAGAGCCCTGATGTAGATATATACTGAGGACAACTAGGAAGAGCCCTGATGTAGATATATACTGAGGATAACTAGGAAGAGCCCTGATGTAGATATATACTGAGGACAACTAGGAAGAGCCCTGATGTAGATATATACTGAGGATAAGTAGGAAGAGCCCTGATGTAGATATATACTGAGGATAACTAGGAAGAGCCCTGATGTAGATATATACTGAGGACAACTAGGAAGAGCCCTGATGTAGATATATACTGAGGATAACTAGGAAGAGCCCTGATGTAGATATATATACTAGGCCCTGATGTAGATATATAAGAGCCCTGATGTAGATATATACTGAGGACAACTAGGAAGAGCCCTGATGTAGATATATACCGAGGACAACTAGGAAGAGCCCTGATGTAGATATATACTGAGGATAACCAGGAAGAGCCCTGATGTAGATATATACTGAGGACAACTAGGAAGAGCCCTGATGTAGATATATACTGAGGACAACTAGGAAGAGCCCTGATGTAGATATATACTGAGGACAACTAGGAAGAGCCCTGATGTAGATATATACCAAGGACAACTAGGAAGAGCCCTGATGTAGATATATACCAAGGACAACTAGGAAGAGCCCTGATGTAGATATATACTGAGGATAACTAGGAAGAGCCCTGATGTAGATATATACTGAGGACAACTAGGAAGAGCCCTGATGTAGATATATACCAAGGACAACTAGGAAGAGCCCTGATGTAGATATATACCAAGGACAACTAGGAAGAGCCCTGATGTAGATATATACCAAGGACAACTAGGAAGAGCCCTGATGTAGATATATACCAAGGACAACTAGGAAGAGCCCTGATGTAGATATATACCAAGGACAACTAGGAAGAGCCCTGATGTAGATATATACTGAGGACAACTAGGAAGAGCCCTGATGTAGATATATACCAAGGACAACTAGGAAGAGCCCTGATGTAGATATATACCAAGGACAACTAGGAAGAGCCCTGATGTAGATATATACCAAGGACAACTAGGAAGAGCCCTGATGTAGATATATACCAAGGACAACTAGGAAGAGCCCTGATGTAGATATATACTGAGGACAACTAGGAAGAGCCCTGATGTAGATATATACCAAGGACAACTAGGAAGAGCCCTGATGTAGATATATACTGAGGACAACTAGGAAGAGCCCTGATGTAGATATATACTGAGGAAGAGCCCTGATGTAGATATATACTGAGGATAACTAGGAAGAGCCCTGATGTAGATATATAACAAGGACAACTAGGAAGAGCCCTGATGTAGATATATACTGAGGATAACTAGGAAGAGCCCTGATGTAGATATATACTGAGGATAACTAGGAAGAGCCCTGATGTAGATATATACTGAGGACAACTAGGAAGAGCCCTGATGTAGATATATACCAAGGACAACTAGGAAGAGCCCTGATGTAGATATATACTGAGGATAACTAGGAAGAGCCCTGATGTAGATATATACTGAGGATAACTAGGAAGAGCCCTGATGTAGATATATACTGAGGACAACTAGGAAGAGCCCTGATGTAGATATATACTGAGGATAACTAGGAAGAGCCCTGATGTAGATATATACTGAGGATAACTAGGAAGAGCCCTGATGTAGATATATACTGAGGATAACTAGGAAGAGCCCTGATGTAGATATATACTGAGGATAACTAGGAAGAGCCCTGATGTAGATATATACTGAGGACAACTAGGAAGAGCCCTGATGTAGATATATAACAAGGACAACTAGGAAGAGCCCTGATGTAGATATATACTGAGGACAACTAGGAAGAGCCCTGATGTAGATATATACTGAGGATAACTAGGAAGAGCCCTGATGTAGATATATACTGAGGACAACTAGGAAGAGCCCTGATGTAGATATATACTGAGGACAACCAGGAAGAGCCCTGATGTAGATATATACCGAGGACAACTAGGAAGAGACCTGATGTAGATATATACTGAGGATAACTAGGAAGAGCCCTGATGTATATACTTTGTTCTCTAGAACTTATCATCTCAAAGATATCTCATCTCAATATCTTTTCATTTCATACACACCTCATTCTCAGTAACTTTTTATCTCAAAGATACCTTGTTCTAAATATTTTTTCAACTCCAAGACACCTTATTCTCAATAACTCTTCATTGCAAAGATACTCAATTCTCAATAATACTTGAATTTCAATAATTCTATGTTTAAAAGATAAAAGAGATAGCTTGTACCTATTACACACAGTGCATAAAATAACAACAAGATTAAGTTTTCCTCCAATGCTAATATTATACATTAATGTATCATACAAATATTTACATATCAATGATCATACACAGTCATATATTACAAATGTTAATACAGCATACAACACAAGTACAAAACATCACAGATAACACCACAATGTGAACTCTTTCTGCAATGATTTTCTTGGTTCTGGAGGCTTCCTTTAAGCAAACAAAACAGAGTGTATCCTCACCTTAGACTCAAAACTTGGTGGGACAAGTGGGTTTATGAGAGTACAATAGTAGTTATTAGATATTTAAACAGAACAGCAATTGATATGGGTGGGCTTATTACCGGGCATGCAGTTATTGCAGTACAATACAGTAAATTTTACCAACATCATGACAAACATCATCTAACTTTTACTTTTATATCATTGTACTCTAAATACAAGAAAGATAACTCTATTTAGCATATAAAGTAGCACATAAGGTAGCACACCACAATTTTGACGAGTGTAAATGGGTTTCTGTGTATGGTGATGCAACTCAAGACTCGCAAGCAGACAATGAGGCTACATATGGAGTCACCATTAATTCTTTTAATAAATATAATTTGTTTAATTTGTGAGTTAGAAATCTGTTTAGTTTTTGGAGTTATTTTTTACATGCCATTTCACATTATTTTATTCAAAATAAAATTGTAAAGTATCATATATATTTTCATGCATTTTCTTTAAATCTAACTTTTTAAAGATATTATTTTTTGACAAGGTAAAATAAAATTTGTTTGATATTTAAACATTCGTTACTGACCATTTTCTACTGACACTTTACTCTCTTTGTTCCAATTTTGTTGACTATATACAATATAATCACCCAAGTACAAACAGCTGTGAAAAAACCTTCGATGACTTAATAATGATTGCAGGTATAGCAGCCCCATACAAATCCCTCAAGTCAAATACAGTGATTATGACTGATTTTATAGAAATATTGTGAAGGCAATGCAGCAGGAGTCTCTGGAGTACATGATATAAAAGCACACAAGTGGTTATGTGTGGGACATGGATAGAGGTTACAAGTGAGTGCTCAAATTATTATACAAAATTTTAATTTCTTAGGATAACAGAATGAGTGTTTTAATTACACTTGCAAATTAAGTGGCAAAGTGTTACTGTCATACATCAATATAAAAATTTATTTTCTGAAGATGAAAGACAGTTTTCTAATTAACAAATTCTGTGACAACCAAATAACACTTACTTAATTATCATTTTCATATATCAAGACAAAAATCATTGTAGATTGAGAGAGAAAGCGCTGTCTAATAGAAGCTCTTTGATACCAGCTCGACATACTCAGTACTGTAGCCCAACTTTCTATCGCAGCTATCTAATTCTTGACTTTTGCAATAATACAAGTTTGCAGTGATAAATTTTCACAAATTCTGAAATACCATTGTAAAATTTAGCTGTAAAAACAATTTACAGTAATTTATTTTCATGAATTCAGAACCACTATTGTAAAATTCAAGGAGAACTGTCTCGATAAAATCCTATTATTGAGCCAGATTTCTAAACTCTGATTGGCTGAGACAGGTAATTTTCCAATAAGGCATGTATGATATAGTACATGGATTGGAAGACCAGATTGTAGAGCATTAACACATTAACACAGAACATTAAGTAGCCATGTATTATATAAAAATCACCAAAGTTTTGCTATGAAAATTGATGTATATCATCTACATCTTAATTCAAAGTATATATATTTTTTGGTGATTAGCTTCAATTTACGAAATGTGTGAAGTAAAAATCAAATGTGAAAGGAAGATGGGTTACAGTGACTGATTATAATATATTTGTTGTGTGTTTATGTATAGTACATATAGTATATAGTATATAGTATGAGGGATGAAGTTTAATAATATTCACAATATTTCACCACAAATAGATGGTTTGAGGAATAATATTAATAACTTCAAGGCCTATTAATGATCCATGGAACAGACATTTTGGAAAGTTTTTATTATAAAAAATAATTTTAACACAGCCTAAGTAATTATCTTTCACCTAAAAAAATGAGAAACATCTGGCAGGATGGTGATTCAACACCATTTTGTAAACAATACATGTTTTTGTTTTTCTGAAGTGGACACAAGGACACCCAACATATTTCACAATTAGTATCCAGAAATTTCACCATGTTTATAGTGGACTTACATAGCCTTGTTTCTAATTCTCCAGACCCTTTACCAAGTTGGAAGTGGACTTACATAGCCTTGTTTCTAATTCTCCAGACCCTTTACCAAGTTGGAAGTGGACTTACATAGCCTTGTTTCTAATTCTCCAGACCCTTTACCAAGTTGGAAGTGGACTTATGTAGCCTTGTTTCTAATTCTCCAGACCCTTTACCAAGTTGGAAGTGGACTGATGTAGCCTTGTTTCTAATTCTCCAGACCCTTTACCAAGTTGGAAGTGGACTGATGTAGCCTTGTTTCTAATTCTCCAGACCCTTTACCAAGTTGGAAGTGGACTTATGTAGCCTTGTTTCTAATTCTCCAGACCCTTTACCAATTGGAAGTGGAAGTGCCTTGTTTCTAATTCTGATGTAGCCTTGTTTCTAATTCTCCAGACCCTTTACCAAGTTTGAAGTGGACTTACGTAGCCTTGTTTCTAATTCTCCAGACCCTTTACCAAGTTTGAAGTGGACTTATGTAGCCTTGTTTCTAATTCTCCAGACCCTTTACCAAGTTGGAAGTGGACTTATGTAGCCTTGTTTCTAATTCTCCAGACCCTTTACCAAGTTGGAAGTGGACTTATGTAGCCTCATCTTTAATTCCATGGCTTAATTACTGTTTCTATAATTTTATGCCTCAGATCACTAAATGAACATCTGTGTTTAAACTCTGTGACATGAAGGGATCAGGTTGAGTGAAAGCTTGACATGCATGAAACATTTTCTAGAGTTCTCTTTGACCGAAGAATGTAGGTATGTCTTCAGAAATGCATAATGGTGACATGAACACACATATCGCTGATAACGTACACGAATATCAGTGATACAAGTAATGTACACACAGATTTGTGACAATGTACACGCATATCTGTGACCATGAACATGCATGTACACATCATCTGTGATGATGTAAATGCATATCTGTACATGCATATCTGACACAGGATGTATACCATAATCCTCTCCTCGGAGGACCTCTGGAGCGATGTAATTTGGAGTTCCACAGAACGTGTTAGTCCGGTCTCCTATCAACAATCCCTCCTGTTAAACAACGTGGCAGACAATTGGTTACATATACAAGTCACAAAAATAAAAATGTTATTTTCTCCATCTGATTCAGCAAAGGTACTCGAAATTGTCTGAAATCTTGTACTCCAAAATATTTCTTTAATGAGTATATAATTTTCTTACAAAAACACCTTCCATACTCAAAATGTTTGATTTTCGTAAGTTTTAGCAGGCAATCGAGTATGACATTTGCTGATTCAAAGTGACCTAAGCAAGATCTTACATCTAGTTATCTCCCCTTAGTTACCTCCCTTCTTTCTTAATTGTTAGTTCTTTCAAAGTTTTTTTATGCAAAGCAATATGCAATGTATGCTTCAAAAATAGAATGAAATGACTGCAGAAAATCAAGAAAGGGGAGACAACCAAATGCATGCTTCCTTGCAATAGGCCTGAAGTTTGGAGGTTAAAACACCCTGAAAAGAAGCTGTTGATATTAGTGACAGGTAAAACATTGATAGAGTGTCCACACTGTGTACCACCACCCAACAGATGTTCACTGTCAGAACAGCTACATGGTGATGGGTTGAAAACCTACCATAGTCTTCGCCGCGGAGAATTTCGGGGGCTATGTAATTTGGGGTACCACAGAATGTACTGGTCAAGTCTCCATTCCGCAATCCTTCCTAAGTGGTCAACAATAAGAGTAAAATCATGGCCTACTTGTCCTCAGCAAAGCAAGGTTATAGCATAACTTCAGAGAAATAAGCTATCATATTTTTCAGATCATAAGCCGCAGTTTTTTACCTCAGCAGTCCGTCGTGCAGCTTATATGTGGACAAGAAACAAAACTGGCAGGAAGGGAAACAAAATGCATGCCTAACATACCAGTATGAGACATGATAAATTGGTTTTTACCAGTACCACATATTTGTAACTGAAACAAACCCTGTAAAACCAATTGCAATTGTATACTAATGATTTGAAGATTGCAATTGAACAATATATCTGTGGATTTAATTAATCAAACTTGTTAATATAAAACACAATTATATATTCTTGACTTTCATGGTTTCTTTACAGCAGTACATGCAGGAAAGCATAGCGGATGTTTACAGTAGACTATTGCATCCTGGGATTGATAGGTTGAGGGCCCGACTGGGGCAACAACCAAAAATTATATATGTGTGTATAATATTACTTAAACTTTTGGGTAGCACAATACATGTGCATATATAGGCATATTTCTACATAGTGTAAAAATATATTGCAGAATTATAGGAACTTTATCAACATGATATAGCCTTTGTTAATATTTAAAGTACAAACACTGGTGGAGAGACTGTAATACTGTATGTATCATCAGTCAAGTTTGATATTTTCTGTATTTTAAAAACCAACAGAATTTAAAAATACATCCAAAAAATAAAGGATTATTTGTGCAAAATTCATTAGTAAACTTTTTTTTAAATGTTACACTGACGAACTTGATAAATTACGTTCCGCTATCTATCACCGGTATATCAAATATCAACAATAATGGTCACTATATCGAAAGGAAGGGTGCGGTTTACATGTGGATAAAATTTGAAAAAAAAATCGCTAAAAACTGTCCCTGCCACTTAAGTACCAGTGCAGCTTATAACCCAGAAAATATGGAAATCATATTTTCTGTTCCTTTTGTTTACGGTGAATAATTTTAAAATCCTCACAACTAAATTTTTGTATTTTTTCTTTAAATTAGGATATAATCTTTCAATGAAATAAAAATCCATGTCACTGAAGGCCCAGAAGCCTAATGTTCACAATCTATAAGGATATTTGTGAAATCACGAATTCAGGCCTCAATTGTTTAAAGCTTGATTCAAACTCATCAGTACTTAATGGAAAATCTAAATCATTGCCACTGAAAATGAAGACTTTCAAAGTGAAACTGACCCTCCTACAGAAGATCACAAAGGGATCTTGCTGCCCCACCATTGTTACAACTTTATTGTTCTTTTAAAAGTTTAATCTTTCCCTTCTTTTCTTTCATTTCCTGTTCTTGTTCCTAACTAACAGGTATATGATTTTTGAAAATTCTTTAAATGCTAAATCTAAAATGGCACCTGTCAGTCATTTTATTTCTGATCAGTCGTTATATCAAAAAGCAAAACTAGGACCAAGGGGCACTTTCATATGAAATTTGAGAATGATTCATATAAAAGGTAGTAACAGTGATAACAAGGATTATTTATTTACTGACAATCCACAGACCTTGAATGAAGGGAAATTTGAAAAGCCCATGATCTGATGATGATGGGTTCATAAAAGACATAAAAATCAATGTGATGTGTACAAAATACAAAGAAAACAACAAATGTTTCATTTATAGTAAGCTGATTTAGAGAACTTATGAAGAAAATTGGAAAGAACTGAAACTTTCAAATTACAGGAAAGAGGAAGTAGTGAGCCTTCATTGTCAATACAAAATGTTTATTACATCATTGTTATAATACACAATTCTAGTTTTGTTGATTCATAAATTATTCTTAAATTATCTTTTTTTTTTACTGGTATAATTTATGGTCTCCGTTCCTGATTGCAGGGAAATATGAAGGCTTGTTTACCCCCAGATGCACTCGGGACATACGATACCTACATAAAAAGGGAAACAGATCTTCATATTTCCATGCAACCAGGGCCATAAATGTATAATAAGCTACATCCTTACGCAATGCAAAGACTGAAGAAGGGTTTGATGCTATTTAGTCTAACATGTGTATTCTTTCCTTGGTTCATACTTTGAGTACATGATATCACTTATATTACACTTGGATTTAATATACACTGATAATGTTGATGAAGCAGAAAATGCTCAGCCTTACAAATCATCATCTATACAACTGTACCTTTTCAAAGGTCTAATCAAAATTTCTCTTCAGTACATGACATTTTATTTCTATTTGATTTTTTAAACGAGTTTGTAAAAGATACCTTACCTTACACATGCCATAGTCAGTGAGTTTGACGTGGCCTTCCTGGTCAAGTAATACATTGTCCAACTTCAGATCTCGATACACAATACCTGTGACGAAAAAAAAACATTACTCGAGATCCATATTTATATGGCATTATCGATAATGTTAAAATGTCTAATTTAGATATCTGTACACAATGTGACCGTGAAAAACATCAGTCTGGATCTACATACACATGGAAATACTGATAATGGCGTTCTTGCTTAGGTCCAAATGTACTTATATGGACTGTATTCATGTGACTTTGTTGTGGTGTCAACTCTGATTTTAGACCAGATGACACCTATGCAAAAAGCATTCCTTGCAAATCATTGTATCTTACAAGAAAGGCCATTTGCATGGCGATATCTGGCCAGAAAATCACTCAAAAACCAAAGCTTGATAAATATCGTGAAGTATGAATGAGAGGCCAAGTGTTGTATTGGTAGGTGGTGTGTTTGTTTATATCAGTACAAGCAAGTTGAGTTATAGTCCATTTCCTTAATAGTACAACTTACCTCGTTCATGGAGGAAATTCAGGGCTAAACATATCTCCGCACCATAAAACCTGGCATGTTCTTCAGGCAGTCGCCTCTGTCTCTGCATGTGGAACATCAGATCTCCACCACTTACAAATTCTATCACAAAGAACAACCTGCAATCGCAAAAGAACAATGTTTGTACACATCACAGACAAGGGGCACAACTCTTTCAAAGAAAGTCAGAGGGCAAAACTGTAACTCAGATGGGGAGACAATTTGATCGTTTATCATGGACATGGGAGACAACTTTATCACACAATTAAGCACTTGGTAGGGATCTAATGAAGAACTAGAGCACTGACAGGTCAGCAAGGGACTCTCTATGTGGCTGGAAATCCCCCCACCAACCCACCCATAGACACACACCCTAGATTCACAGATCACTGGCAAGACCTTAAATACACTCAGCCACAAAAAACAAGAAAAACTTTTGCAAAAAAGCCCAACATAAAAACAAATACATTAAACAACCTGATATTCTGAATTTTTAATTGATTTTAACAAGACGATGACCTTATAACTTAGGATATAGCACTATCCCAAGCAAGCACTTTTGGCAAGAAAGTGTTGTATGAAGTTAGATTTAGACTGAACAAAGCAAACTCAAGTTATTGCATGGAAACTGATTTTAACTTAGAGTTATAGTGATCTATGACCTTTGGACCTGAATAGCAATCTATCTAAAAAAACACTTTTGGTTAACATGTGTTGCATCAAGTCTGAGTAAGATTGGCTACAGCAAACTCGAGTTATTCCACAAAATGGATTTCCCATTATAGCAATAAATACCTTTGACTTCTGGGACTGAAAAAAGTAAACCCCAGCAAGCACCTTCAGTAAGAAAGCAATGTATAAAGTTTGAGTTTGACTACCCCAAAGGAACCCAAGTTATATCACTGAAACCAATTTTCTACTTAGAGTAACAGTAATCTGGACCACTGACCCAGGGCCCTGAAAAGCATTTAAAAGCAAGCTATTTTAGTAAGGAAGCGTTGTAAAAGGTTTGAGTTTGATTGGTCAAAGCAAACTTTAGTGATCGCAGGGAACTGATTTTTCTATTTATAGTAACAGTGACCGTGACTTTTGACCTTTGAAACTGAAAAGCAATCCCAAGCATGCACTTTCAATATGGAAGCACTAAAGTTTGAGTTTGATCAGCCAAAGGAAACTCAATTTATCGCACGGAAACACAAGTGCTAACGGACAGAAGGATGGACAAATGGACGGATGGACAGACATTGTGATTACTACAGGGCACCTGCACTTTTTTGTGGGGCCCTAATAACCGACAAACTCACTTAGTAATGGCGTGAAAACAATAACTCACCTACTTTGTGTCTAGAGAAAACAAAGACTCAATAACTTACCTACTTGGAGTCTGGAAACAGGAATGTAGACCTACAAGGAATGGGTAATTAGTGGCTGTCTCAAAAACATGTTTCTCTGTCTGGACCCAGTCAATGTCCTGTAAAAAGATACAAAGTTGATAGGTCAGCTATATGATCATTCATTTAGGAAGAGTTGGTAGTTGGTTAAAAGGGAAGAGCAAGGATGAGGAGATTTGGCAATTAAAGAAGACATAATATTAAAACAAAGGTAAATATATATTGATGTAAACTTGATAGGCTAGGTCTGTGTAAACTAACAAACAGGCTAGGCTGGTATAAAATAGACAGGTACAGCCAGCTAAACTAACAAATAGGCTAGGGTTGTGTGTAAAATAGACAGATACAGCCAGGTAAACTAACAATCAGGCTAGGGTTGTGTAAAATAGACAAATACAGCCGGATAAACAAACAAATAGACTAGGGATGGGTAAAATAGACAGATACAGTCAGGTAAACTAACAAATAGGCTAGGCTGGTATAAAATAGACAGGTACAGCCAGGTAAACTAACAATCAGGCTAGGCTGGTATAAAATAGACAGGTACAGCCAGGTAAACTGACAATCAGGCTAGGCTGGTATAAAATAGACAGGTACAGCCAGGTAAACTGACAATCAGGCTAGGGTTGTGTAAAATAGACAGATACAGCCAGCTAAACTAACAAATAGGCTAAGGTTGTGTGTAAAATAGACAGATACAGTCAGGTAAACTAACAAATAGACTAGGGATGTGTAAAATAGACAGATACAGCCGGATAAACTAACAAACAGGCTAGGGTTGTGTAAAATAGACAGACACGGCCAGGTAAACTAATAAATAGGCTAGGGATGTGTAAAATAGACAGACACAGCCAGGTAAACTGACAATCAGGCTAGGCTGGTATAAAATAGACAGGTACAGCCAGGTAAACTGACAATCAGGCTAGGGTTGTGTAAAATAGACAGATACAGCCAGCTAAACTAACAAATAGGCTAAGGTTGTGTGTAAAATAGACAGATACAGTCAGGTAAACTAACAAATAGACTAGGGATGTGTAAAATAGACAGATACAGCCAGGTAGACTAATAAATAGGCTAAGGTTGTGTAAAATAGACAGGTACAGTCAGGTAAACTAATAAATAGGCTAGGGATGTGTAAAATAGACAGACACAGCCAGGTAAACTAATAAATAGGCTAGGGATGTGTAAAATAGACAGACACAGCCAGCTAAACTAACAAACAGGCTAGGGTTGTGTAAAACAGACAGATACAGACAGGTATACTCATAAATAGGCTAAGGTTGTGTAAAATAGACACATACTGCTAGATAAACTAACAAAAAGGCTAGGGTTGTGTAAAATAGACAGATTCAGCCAGGTAAACTGACAAACAGGCTAGGGTTGTGTAAAATAGATAGATACAGCTGGGTAAACTAATAAATAGGCTAGGGATGTGTAAAATAGATACATACAGCCAGGTAAACTAATTAATAGGCTAGGGTTGTGTAAAATAGACAGGTACAGCCAGGAAAACTAATAAATAGGCTAGGGTGTGTAAAATAGACAGACACAGCCAGGTAAACTAATAAATAGGCTAGGGATGTGTTAAAATAGACAGACACAGCCAGCTAAACTAACAAACAGGCTAGGGTTGTGTAAAATAGACAGATACAGCCAGGTAAACTAATAAATAGGCTAGGGATGTGTAAAATAGACAGACACAGCCAGCTAAACTAACAAACAGGCTAGGGTTGTGTAAAATAGACAGATACAGCCAGGTAAACTAATAAATAGGCTAGGGTTGTGTAAAATAGACAGATACAGCCAGGTAAACTAATAAATAGGCTAGGCTGGTATAAAATAGACAGGTACAGCCAGGTAAACTAATAAATAGGCTAGGGATGTGTAAAATAGACAGACACAGCCAGGTAAACTAATAAATAGGCTAGGGATGTGTAAAATAGACAGACACAGCCAGCTAAACTAACAAACAGGCTAGGGTTGTGTAAAATAGACAGATACAGCCGGATAAACTAACAAATAGGTCAGGGATGTGTTAAATAGACAGACACAGCCAGGTAAACTAACAAACAGGCTAGGGTTGTGTAAAATAGACAGATACAGCCGGATAAACTAACAAATAGGTCAGGGATGTGTTAAATAGACAGACACAGCCAGGTAAACTAACAAACAGGCTAGGGTTGTGTAAAATAGATAGATACAGCTGGGTAAACTAATAAATAGGCTAGGGATGTGTAAAATAGATACATACAGCCAGGTAAACTAATTAATAGGCTAGGGTTGTGTAAAATAGACAGGTACAGCCAGGAAAACTAATAAATAGGCTAGGGATGGGTAAAATAGACAGACACAGCCAGGTAAACTAATAAATAGGCTAGGGATGTGTTAAATAGACAAACACAGCCAGGTAAACTAACAAACAGGCTAGGGTTGTGTAAAATAGACAGATACAGCCGGATAAACTAACAAATAGGTCAGGGATGTGTTAAATAGACAGACACAGCCAGGTAAACTAACAAACAGGCTAGGGTTGTGTAAAATAGACAGACACAGCCGGATAAACTAACAAATAGGCCAGGGATGTGTAAAATAGACAGACACAGCCAGGTAAACTAACTACTTTCTTGAAATGTTCTTTTGTTCATACATTTAAGATACTGAATACTTAATCTATCAAATAAACTATTTTGAAATTGAAACAGATTTACAGTATCACATATATACAATGGGATGTAGGCACAATTTTTCTAACTGATATCTATTTAAAAGGAAGCCTTTTTTCTCAGTGTGTAAACTGCAAACTCCTGTGTCATATGTCACATGCAGATATTTTGATGAGAACTGATAATATCTGATAACTTTGTCTATACATGCACAGATATTGCAGAAAATGTTTTATATTTTAATTACCTGCTGATGTAGGCAAAGCTATTAAGAAATTGTTCAAAGTTTTTGAAAGTTATAAATCATCTCCATTGTAAATCATTTCAATGAAATTTCCTATGATAATAAGAATATTAAGTAACCTTACTCATAATTCAAAGTGACCTTTCATTTATCGACACAACATCAAATCAAATTCCTGTAATATGACAAAGACCAACAAATTCTTGGCAATAGCAAAGCTGAACTGTTATTAATATTTCTACTTTCTAAATACTTCGTATGTGCATGCATTTCAGAGGTAATGAGTGTGTGCTGATGATGAAAAATAGAGTTCCATGGCGACATAAATGAAACTGACTGTAACTTGCTCCTATCTATCAGAAATTCTTGAAACTGACTGTAAGTTGATCCTATAATTCAATTCACTTACAAGAAACTGGCAGAGATGTGTCTCTATTTATCATATGATAGGAAGTGATCACTGTCAGAAATTTATCTCTATTGATCACATGACATAAAGAATTGATCACTATCAGAAATTTCTTTCTTTCATTTGACATTAAGTGACCATTGTCAGATGTTTATCTCTTTATATCATACAGATACGATTCTTACTTCATCATCATTGACCAGCTCCTTCTTTATCACCTTCATGGCGTAGATACGTTTCGTGCGTTTCTGTTCCACCATCAAGACCTTGGCATAACTACCTCGGCCTATAACACGTAACATGTTGAACTCGTCCATGGAAACGGTCCTACCTCCTGTGTCTGTTCCCATCTGTAATCATGACAACAATGTGATCATCGAAGTGATGATATGTCAATATCATGTTTACTGCTTTATTTTCAGGAAATGATAAACAAATTTTGACATTCTTATGAGATAAGCATCTTCTCTACAATTTGGAAAGTTATAATATTAGTACATTATTCAAATTACAAACATTTGTATGGCTCCAAGGACCTTAACATCAGATTGTACGAATCAGAAATTTATGCACCAAGAATTCAAAAATTTTACTTCAAAATTTTGTTACTAAGAGATCTTGAGACTCAGAGCAGTTTTAAAAACCAGAGAGATCCTGTGACTCTATATTGACTCTTTAAGTGACTACCAGATCTTGTACCTAAGTCATTTTGTTACTTAGAGAGATCTTGCAACTCAAACCTTTTGTAACTCACAAGAATTTATAACAGGTTTAGAAAGTCATATTATAGATTTAAGCTAAAGAAACAAAAAATAGAAATTTTAAACTTTAAATTTGAATTTTTGATATTAAACAAAGAATGCATTGACTGTTTTAGATCTTTGAACAATAATTTTCAGTTACACTTTCCTCCATTATGCTAAATAGAAAAAAATAGTTTTTACCAATACAGGTACATGTTTAACTTTTAACTTTAAAGTTCAAACAGGTATACATTTACTAATCTGTAGACACCATTCTACTCTACAGCTGACCAATGAAGACTTTGATTTCCACAGATACAGTATACAATACGATCGTTATTTCAGTCATACTGTCTTAATCCACAGAATGTGATCAAGCTACATTTTAAAGATGTTAAGAGGTGTAAGATGAAAGTTAGATATTACATACCCCTGATTGTTCTGACTGTTAGTATCCATGGTAACCAGGTACAACAAAAGCAGACAACAGGTGTTAGTACAACATACATGCAGTAGAAATACATGACAATTAATGATACACAACAACATATAAACAACAACTTTATAGAGTCAATTCCACCTAATTTGACATGTTATTTGACAACAAAGACTTTAATAAAGTAAACAGAATATAGCTTGTTTTCACTGCTGTAATGTCATTGCTGACAAATTTGTTGTTGAATCACCATTAATTTCCTTGATTTAGAATTAATATTTTTTTTTAAAAGTGACCTGAAAGTTAAACTGGTGAAGCTTACTAGTAGAAAATGCTTTGTCGGCTAAAATAAAATGATATTATTTCTAATATGTTTATATGTTATCAATACCTTGTACAATTGTACTAGTAGACACAACATAATATAAAGAGAAATATTCAATGATGTGATACATCTTTCTGTTACCATAGGGGTATAACCAGCAGGATTTGCTTGTTTGCTTTAACTGACCAGCCAGCCAGTTTTGTTTTAAGGCAGTGTCTCTTTATAAAGCCGGTGGCTATCTCACTGAACAACACAAGGGAGGCCCGTTAGACTGAAGTGTTTTGTCAAATGAAACTACTACGACAGCACAGACTGGTCTGTTTCCAAGCTTTCTGAGAAACACAAACCACCATGACTTAAGGATGTCAAGCTACACCTTGTTGATGTTCACCTGAATTTATATAGGGTTAACACACTACCAGTCAGCTATCCCCTCTATAGGAATTAATATTGGACAATCTTATAGGATTTTTTTCTGGTGAGTCTAAAGCACCGTTTAAAAACATTTGATAAGGTTAGTTACAAAGGAATAACATAGGTTCTTAAAATTTTATTGAATCCTATTGAAAAAGCACCAGTCCCAACAATCACCGGGTCAGAATATTAAATAGGCACATGTTTGTTAGTGGTACTGTTTAGTAAACATGGATACAGAGGAAATTTATTTCAAAATACCAAACGATAAAAATATGTTGTAGTTATAATACAGATTAACAAGTAACAATAATACTGAGATATATACCAGTTTATCCTGATAAATATGTTGTATGTCATTCATTTTATAAGACAAATATACTTTTCTTTGTATATCAGTATAATATATCTATATGCGAGACATATACATTTGTCCTGATATATATCAGTACGAGGTAAATTATATATCTTTCCTCATATATCAGTATAATTTATCTTTGTGCGAGACACATACATTTGTCCTGAAATATATCTGTATAAGCTAAATCTGTGAGACAATTATATACATACATTGCCATCATGCTGTTTGTCACCTTTACTCCGTTTTTTCTAATTAAAACACAAGTGTAATTATATATAGTTATTCAAATACAACAGCCACTTATTACCTATTTTCTTTACTTTATGTGAACGGATATTTATCAGATTAATACAAACTATCGAGATTGCATTGAACACTTTTGAGAATAAAATAAATAGCAAACCAGCATTATATTTCTCATTGTAACAAATATCTCATTTATGTCAATCCATATTCTGTGAAAAACCATAAAACGGCCTGTTACTGAATGACGTCACATTCTGGTACAAATATAAGGTCAATTAAACAGCCATACCGGGATAACTTGTATGGCTGTTGAATTGACCTATATCACAGAGTCTCGCTAAATAAAAAAAAAAATTCAGGCAAGAAAAGAATAGCAACAAGCTAATATGACTACTGAGAAAGACTATCACAGAAATGGTCACCATCACCCACTTTTTTATTTCTGGATTCAGAAGTTCAACAGATAACGGCATGCATTCAAGAAATTGCGTACTAGATGTGTTTTTACTAATATTCATCTAATCAGAATACAGGTGTTAAAAATCAAATAATACCCTACTTTAAAAATTAAGTTTTGGGACATATATGTGTTACCATGAAAAATACTAGCCACAATATACTGCTTGGTTAGAGAGAACTTCTCTTTAGCTCATTCAGTTGAGGGTCAGGCTAGTAAACCAGGGGTCCTGGCTTGGAATCCTAGCAAAGCCATTGACATAAACGGACTTCTATTTCATATGGTACTAAAAACAAGATTTTTATATGAAACTGCTTCATAAAAATGGATAAAAATGTATATTCTACAACTGATCAAATTCTTCCTTGTCTTATACATGAAGACTGGATATTCTACTGTACTGTCCTGTTAGGATCTAGATATCGTGACTCTAGCAAAATTCTAGTCTCAAAAATATCCAGTTATACCAAATAGCGTACTACCATGCGATTCCCCAATACATGTCACCTCAATATATCCGACCACAACATACAATCCAGCAGCTAATTTATCACTGCAAACACACAACAAACCTACATACAAACAAATGGAGGTGGACAGCTTTATCATACGATATTTTCTTTACTATAACGTCAGTGAGAAACAGAATAACAAATGCTTCATTCTTTTGGAATTCTTGAACACTGGTACAGTAACATATTGAGCACTCCAAATGCCATTAAACTTACAAATTTTATCAATTTTGTGTTCCAATTTTAAAATCTCTACAAACTCGGTATATTTTCCATGATTTCCATGGAAAATCCATGTACATTTCATGGATATTGACCTTGGAAAATTTGGACAAATTATCTATGAAATTTTCTATGGACAACGTCCATGAAATGTCTATGAAGTGAAGTCACTTTGATCAGATTAAGTTTTCCTACCATTAAACTGATTATATCTCTACCCATCTCCAGCTGTTTATCTACTTGGATAGTACACACTCAATAAACAACAACAGATGAATCAGTGAAGAGTATACATGCCAATGATACAGTGAGCATGATCAAACAAAGGGAGACGATCAAACAAAGGGAGACAATCAGAAGATATGAAGGATATGAGGGTAGAAATTTGATAACTGTGTACCTCTGGTGAACTAACAGACACCTCCTCCTGTGAGAGCGACATCTTGAAGAAGAAACCAATTATCATATTAGATAGGGAGAATTTTATGCTTTATGATAAAACGTAGAATCATATCAAAGGAATGTGTTCTCCCCCTTTGAAAACTATGCCTGAAGCTGTCTGCAAGGAAGACCAAAATACTGATAATTGTGTTTTAATTGATATATATTTTACAACAACTTTTTAATGATTGAATGTTCATCTTAATCTTCTCATATGAAGAAATCCAAATTTTTTGACAGCTATAATAAAGCTTTGTTACATAATATGTTTTGATGCGTCCTTGTTACTCCAGGGGGTTGTGATCACTTTCTCTGGCAATATTTAAGAAACAAGATAAGTTATTAAATACGTCTAGAGTGGTTTTTAGTTGAAAAAAACCTGACCAATCATGGGAGGATATGCTCTTTTTGAAAATTACAAAGGAGGGGCACATATCTTCAAAGCCAGTACAACACACTATTATGTGATCTCAAGATTCGTTTGATGTACATCAAAGGATCCAACCATAGTCCCCTTGTCTTTTCCACAAGGTTTCACACATGGAACGTTCAATTTTGCCATGACATGTTCCAGGGGTGCAGAGAGTGAAAGTGATTGTAACCCCTGGATTACTGAGGATGATTTTGATGATAACAAACTATTAACAAATGTAAAATATAGATGTGAATCAAAACTAGGTTATTCAGATTATGATGTTATTCCATAAACTTTTCAATCGATATTGAATTCCGTTATTTACAGACAGCTTGAGTATAGAAAGAGAAAGATTCCAAAACCAAAAGCACAATATAAATAGAAAAACACACACCATCCTATTAGAAACAAAAGTTTGTCAAATCACAAATGCGATGATATGTTGATAATGCACTGCAAGTGAATCCACGCCCCCAGTAAGAAGTTCCATTGACCAGTGTTAAAGGAGACATAACCTGGACAAATTGTATTTCCCCTTGTTCCTGGTCGAGGAGATCTATTAACTAAATCAAACAACAGTTGATGGATGTTTCCTGAAAATTTTGTATGTATTTATTCAGGCAAGTATGTATATTTTTTATTTTGTATCTATTTTGGGAACTTTGTATACTTACCTCTTTATCTACCTCCACAGAGGTTCCGTGGTCTGGAAGGAAAACAACAACAAATGTAAACATCAATCAATGAAAGTAACCAAGAAACAACAACTTAACGTATTTCAATTGTTCCGACAGTGAGAGTAATAAGGTAAAATAAGACATACCTGCAGAGTTGTCCCCGTTGGAATGCTTGCTTGGATACTGTGATGTATTGTATGTGGGAGGTGGATCTGATCGGTGTTCTGATGGTGGCTGTCAATACAAAGGCATGAATAGTTGTTTACTTCAGAACTTACACAGCTGTTTTGTTATAAAATCAATACAGTAAATGTTATGTTAAAATCCCTATACATCCAATAAATACTGAAACAATGTTAAAAGCCCTCAGGGATAATGAGAACAATTTCTTTCTGATCAGGCTGTAAATATTAACCAAGAATTTGTTCATGAAGTGTTAATCTGGACAATAACAAACATACATCTGATGTCATCTTTTTCTAAAGAGATATAAAATGTATTATTTTCACACACTCACCATGACTGGGGCCCCACAGACCACTTTGAGGAATTTGTGGCATCGTTTATGAACTGTGAGTTTACACTGGATACACTTGTAACCCTGGCGACCGAGTCCCCAGATCCTGTCCGAGCAGAATGAACAAAATGCTTTCTGGGGAAAAAAATACACAGCTCTGTGAAATAGTCTCATTTAACACTGAACATATCCTTAACAGACAGTGAAGAAGATGTATTGTAAACAAACTTTCTTACACAGCTAGTAACTTTCACAATTTACTTGTGTAAAAGCTCCACCACCATTGTAGTATTCCAAGTGCACAGTCTTAATTAAAAAAATTTCTTCAGTTTTTTCAACTTGGGATAATCTTGACCATAATTTCAGCAGGTAGTGTTTTAATGCCTGTGTACTTTAATGTCAATCTTCATCAAGTATATATTGATCAGGACAATTCAGAAATACATTTACTTATTCAATACTTATTCAAAACATTTTCATGTAAATGACAACCTTGTGAAGGTTTAATGTGCTTTGATCAAATTATTTTCTCATACAAAAATGATTAGGAATGATGAAATTGATTTAATTCCCATATCAAATAATAGTACTTAAATTTCAATGAGACTAAGGAATAATGTACCAAAACGTTATTTCTACTATAGGAAAAGTAATAGCTTTCTCTTTCTCTTGAATTTTGATCTCAAGTTTCAATGAAGTTTATGTTACATCTAATCAATGTATTTTTTTGAGTGAGGCTTTAAAAACATTTACATAACCTGAACAACACCTGCAGATCAAATTACTGCATTCAGTGTTGATGATATGCATCTTCATGATGATATAATATTCGAAACGACTTTTTCACCAACCTACAATTTCATATATATTTTTCCTTCAAAATTAAAATTCATTGGAAATTTAGGTCAGGAAAACCTTTTACACTACTTACTTTGGAGAAGCGTTTGGCTTGGAAAAGATGGCCGTTAATCCGGTATAATTTCCTCCATCGTCGCGCCCCCTTGCGGTACATGTTTCCTGTAACATTAAATCATTTCCATTTAACTTGGCATGGGGATACTACACTTGGCAGTAGACATTATAACACTTTTCACTCACATGCCTACCTTTTGAGCACTCTGGTTTCTAATTTCACTTAAATGTTGTTGTCGATAAGATTCAGACTACAACTTTTGAATTTGTTTACAAAAAAGTAAATGAAAGAAAACAAATACAGTTGAAACTCGCTTGAGTCAAAATAATTTTCAAGACCTGATTTTTTCCCTTTTATATCTTTGTATCTTAGTTCAGCTGTCTCAAAATTTCATTAAGTAGAAATATGTGTAAGTCGAAATATTTTCCACAGTCCCCTGAGATAACGAGTTTCGACTGTATGGACTAAGAAGAAACAGTAAATATAATTTGCAAACACTGTGTAACATTCATGCAAAATAGGAGATATGACAATTCATCTGTGATAAATAACTTATTAAATAAAGTAGATTTTACCAGTAAATTGAGTAGTTTATTCTTAATTTCATTAGTTTGCATTGTTTCATGGTTTACTCTTCAGGATAGGCTTTGGAACACTTTAGGTCATCATTCAGTAATCTTCCTTGAAATTTCTTTGGTCATTTTGTAATGAATTTTTAATCAACACTATATTGATGAATATCTGCTGCAGAAAGACAAACTTACGATCCTCTCCTCGACAGGGCATCCCCGGTCTTTCTGGCACATTAGGAAAAACTGTGGAATGAAATACCGGTACAAACAGTTAATACAGGACATAGGAAAATGCAGTGACTGATTTTATACAATTAGTTTCTATGACATTCTATGTAAAAATCAATTAAATTTTTTTGTTCATATATTTCTAACTTGATCTCGATTGCATGTGTGTAACAACATTTATCCACATGAACTCTATTGTCAAGATTTAAGCAGTTGAAAATTTCATTATCTTATAAAACTTGAAAGCATTCTTTCACAGAGAAAAAGAAAAAACTATCTAAAGTACAAATATACCAGAATTGTCACATCACTTTCAGTAGTTTTCAAATACTGACTGATTCCATCACATTTCATCAGGTTTAGTCATGGATACAGTTTTACAGTTGCCAAAGCAGTCATAACTTTATTTGAAATGTTTGAAATTCCAGGATTTTTTAAATTCATCCTTTGTTGATAATAACTCATGTTTATTAGGTTTAATTCCCATGAACAGCCAATATCATGTTGTGACTTCTTTTTGCAGCTGGTGATAACATCAGTGAATAACATACAGGAGGCCAATTGTATACTGAGCAAATTTGAGTAAAGAATCCTGTCCATGGACACAGCCTCATCAGCACAGACTGGTCCGTTTCACAGCTTCCTGAGAAATACGAACCAGTATATTAGGGCGCATCAAACCATATACCTCAGACCTTCATCTGAGGGTTTGTGGTCATCCCTCCACCGACTGAGCTAACATGGCCTTGTTACAAAGTCCATCCTAGATTAAGATTTTTAACAGCCAAAACCATCCCAGACTGAAATGAACCTATGTTTTGAATAAGCATGAGTAAGCAGAAGGGCTGACCATGAATGGTGATTTCCGAGTCTTTATTGATTTCATACAACCGGATAGCCTCGTCAAGCTCCAACTGAGACGATATTGTACATGGGTCACCTGCATAACAATAAGATCAGTTAAAATAAGAGATTTTGGTCTAAATATATGGAGAAGGTATAACAAGCAATACTGAGATCACCTGACCAGGTCATCTGTAAAGTATCAATTGTTTTGTAGCACTTTCTACTGCTTTTCATAGTAACATAAGTTTCAATTATTTTACGATACATCTAACACCTAATATAAAGTCAACGGTGCGTCTGAAATATACTACACATTTAACTTCTGTTTTATTATAAATTGGTCGCATCTAATTTAGTTTTTAATGTACTGTGTATTTCAAGTTAAACAATAAAGTGAGCTAGTATGTACAAAACATTAACATGTTCTATCAGGAATGTTTCAGATTCCTTATATAGCTACTGACCTATCTGGTAAATAATTATTCTTACCTTGGCACAGCCGGAGGGATCCTAGATAGTTTGAAATATGCAACATTTATCTAACTTTTCAATTAAACTATTACTAAATAATAAAAGACTTTTTTTCCTTACGACTCTATATGATATCACCCTTGACCTATCCTCTAAAAGATATAACTAATGTGAATTTGTACAAATGTCGCTGTCTTACTGTTTGATCTGCCTTACCTTCCTCATCCAGCCATTTCACAGTGAATGGTTGCTTGTCGTCAAACTTGCAGATGTCTTTTATTTCAGCACAGAAGTCAGCATAGGTAATCTCAACATCCACGCTAGTAATGAGGATATCCCTGTAAAACATACATCTAGCTCTAATTAATTTGTAACAGTTTGCACATATCATATGCACTTAAAGGGATATTCTGCACAAGTTAGAATTTCATGGGATGCTTTTGAAGAAAACTACAAAATCATCTACTCATGCTCTTATGGAAATCGTATACCTCAATCTACCATTTGAACAAACATCGAAATTCAAATTGCGTAATTCTTTATAGATCTAGCTAGATCAAATTACAAATGTTTGTGCGGCCCTGAATGCATCATAACAGGTTTGCATTGTTATAAGCTGAACAAATGAAATATTTGTGTAAATTATTAAATCAACAGAAAATATGCCTGATGAAGTAATAAATTTGTAACCTCAGCAGAAATTGTGAACAGCATACCAAATACTCTGCACAAAGGTGATCCTTCAGTTCTGGATTTCCCTATGTGCTATATTTAGACAGTTTGGCTGGGGGTATTCCCAAACTGACCAGAAGAGAGATATTTTGATGCTAACAATAGTTTTCAAGAGTCTTCATAATGAGTTCTTAAATGGTACCAAACAACCCAAAATTTCTCAACTTAGGCAGAATATCCCTTAAATCCATGAATACTAAGAGATTAATCAACATTTGCTCCAAATGCGTGGAGTTAAAAGTCAAACTAACTTCACACAGACAACTAAATTTGGGGAGTCAGTAACATACAGATATTGTATCAACATCACAAGAATGTAAATCAAGGCCAAGCAAAAGCATTTGTCCGCTCATCTTCAATTTTTTTTCATGAAATTCCATGTAATAAAACAAAACTGTCTACCTAACCATTGGCCATTAGGTTTCCCTTCAGAGAAACGTTGTTCCTAGTTATTAGTAAGTATATGAGGTCTCTTCCAAGGTTACCTGAATGGATATGGCTAGGCCAAAAATACATTTTCAGAATATTTTCTTTATTTTCTAATGTAAATGTTCCAGACTAGTGAATTCCTCGTCCAGACAAGTTCTTTACACAAGATCACTAGTCTGACAGACATTTTAAAGACGTTGTCAGGCCCTGTAAATGACCTAATCATGTTATAAATCTGATTCCTGTTGTAGAAATATCATAAGAGTACCTTATACCAGGTGTATTATGTTTTCAATAATAAGCAAAATATATCATTAATCACTTCATCTGACAAAGATTAAAAATATCAGATAATCGATAGAAATGTTACCCATTGTATCCCACTTTCATGCGAATAGCATTCTCTTCTTCTCTGTCTACAGTTGGCATCCTGCTGTTATACAGTGTCTGCTACACAAAATCTGAAAAAGGAAAACCATGACCTATAAGCTTCAATGTCACCATTGTTCAAATACAAATCAAAAATAAATACCTCATCATTAAATTATAACTTTATTTTACATTTAATTTACAAAAGTAAAACTAAAATTTAAGTTTTTGAATCAATGTTTTCAATAATGGTGTCATCAATAAGACAGGCTCTCCACAAAATAACTTCAGTATTAATTTGTTTTCCTAATGTCACAGGCCATTTTATGGGGACAATGTATGGCCAAATACAGGCCCAATTCCAAATTGGATCTATTTTGTAATACAGCCCAATTCCCATAATATGAAAATTTCATTTTCAATTAATTAATTTTACCCCTAAAATTTTATAAAAAAAGCCCATTACCAAATGAGTGAAAAAAGTCCTGTATCAATACTTCCCTACATCATTTATTCTTGCTATAAAACCTAAATCATAAATATAAAGCTGCAAATCTTTTCCTTTTTTAAAATTAATTGTTAATTTTCCTTATTAAATTAGGACAAATAGGGACAGATTAACAAAACATTATATAACTTTGGTATATGTAAACGATTTGGAGATGATGCATACCTCTTAATAATAACAGCTCTGTTTTGAAATAATTTCAAATTTTTAAAATACATCTCAAGTAATTATCAATGATACATAACATGACATAAGTCCTCACGTACAGGTGGATATATCAGATATGTTAATATATTTTTCACAGTAAGGAACGTCTGTGTATTCAAATGACCTATATTTTAGCTACCAACCATCAAAGTTAACATTTGCTTGTAAAGAAAGAAAAAATATTTCTCTACTGGCTTATAATTACATAAGTGTCAAACCCATTGATATTCATCTACCACATATCACCTCATTATTTCTGACATGTAGAGTTTCAAGCAAATTTCAATAATGATCAACATTATAAAAACCTCAAGAGATTTGTCTCTCTAAATTTAATGCCATGTAATTCCAACTCTCATGAGATTTGTTTCCATCGTCAAAATGAAATGAAACTGTTTGTCATGAAACAGGATTTGATATCTTTACCATAGTTAGTGACAATCAATGGCTTTCATGCTTATGTATGATAGCAAAATAAACGTTTAATATTTCTATCAGTGTATAACTTAATGGCATCATATTTGTTATGAATTATGTAAAACATTACCAAAATGCCAAGCTAATGGTCTCTAAAACCCAGATGTTTTTATACAGGGAGAAATTTTGACTGTCAATTGTCAAAACATCAAAAAGTCAATTTGGAGATTGATAGTCAGAACCCTTCAGACTTGTTTTGAGCCAATGTAGTTATGCAATTACATATTGAAAGATAAATTAGCCATTTGGGATTTGCGTTCCAGGCAGCTGATCTTGTAGAATATTTCTGGAAAGAATCATGTATCTCAACAAATATTAGGACTTCAGAAGAGTGACCCTATGGTGAAAATGTGATACTCAAAGTTCATGAGTTTTTTGTTTGTTTTTTTCAAATATATTCATTAATAATGCATCACACAGAATATGTAGCTATACATTGCCGATATCATGCACTTTTTTGGTGTTGCCCGACAGTGAAAAATCGCAATATCTGAGGTGTTTTATGTACATATTCAGTGGCATAATTTTACTGCACAGGTGAGTAACTGTTTCATATAGATTATGTCAAACTTTCCCAAAGCCAGGTAAAATTCATGACACATACATTCTGATATAATGATGCTGTTCTCATACTTGTTAAGTTTGCCACATGAAAAGCTTCATAAACATCAATATCAAGACAACTGACTCCTCTGGTTGTAAAAGAAGGGCGTTGGCCTGAAATAGTTTCTATATTAAAGTTACGTTTGAGAACGCTTTTTATGATTTTTTTTTTCAAGGAAGTGCAAAATTGGATTCATTCCTACAGTAGTTTAGTACAACCTGGATGACCCTATGGAGTACATAAATAAACCTCTTAAAAGCAAAAAAAAAAAAAAACTTTGCCATGTGAATAATTTCACGTGTGTAGAATCCCACAGATTCCACGTACATTTCAGGAAATGAGTATTTTTTTTTTAATTGACTGAAATTCAATATGAATGTAGGAATTATCAATAGCTTTATGTCAACCTAGTAGTGTATTTGAGATTTCAAAATTCTCTGTATAGCACATGAGACTATGGTAAGAAGCTATCAAACGCAAACAAAATTTACCAGGTACGAATTAAGAATGTGACATCAGGCTGGATATCTCGACACCTTAATCATACTTGTCAGCCATGTTTACAATAGACCGGAAGTCACGTGATAAGTGAAAATTTGTAGCCGAACTCGATTATAATTTGGAGTTTTTGATGGTCTCTCCGATTTGATAAGAGCAATACAGATTTTACAAACAACTTTAAGTATAGCTAAGGTCAGAGAAGTCTAATACAAAAGCGGTGAGATGTTTGCGATCAGCCAGGTGAAGTCCTCGCCACTGCCCAAAAATGGAGAAAAATGATTTCTGCAATTTGATTGGATAATCCTTACAGGGAATTCCTTCATTGATTTTCGGAAGGCCTTTGAAGCCTTCATGTTTATCTATAACCGGAAATTACTGGTATGTAGTTCTGGACGCCTCGGGACCGGGTCGAAAGAAGCCATACTCTTTGATCCATCGCTTCCTGGAAGAGAGTGTATTGAAGAAAAAATAGTTTTAAAATGGTTTGTATCGATATTAACTGTAGATTGAAACGGTGATTGGTGAATGCAGTCATATTGTTTGTTTATTAGTTAGACTTCTAGATTGTAGAAGGTGTAAAAGTAGCAAAAACATGAACGATCCTGTTAAATGGGAGGTGTCCACCGGAGCGAGTTTACACCAATGACAGATCATACAAATTAACACTTTGCGAGTAATATATATTTGATACCAATAGTGATTTACGTTTTGAGATTACTTCTACATAATCCTTTCTAGAAAAATAGTCGTATAGACCTTCATACTGCATTCTGAGTAACTGAGTTTGTATATAACTAGAATTGTGTAAACTGAAATCTTACACCCGAAAGTAACGGTGTTTAGATACAGGCCTTTGAGCCAGGAGCTGATCTCATCGTGATAGTAATAAGTTCATATAGCATTACATAATTCACAATATTGTAAGCGTTCCTTATATTCACGTGCATTTACTGTTTTATTTTTCGTAAGAAAGAAACAGGTACTGAGGCACCAGCAAATCTGACATAATAGGCAGATCTGACTATAGATATGTAGACCAAATGTAAACATACAGATTAGGTCCGGTCACATTTCTATTGTGCAGATAAGAAAAATATGACAAAATCATGTAAGTCAGTGAGATGAATGTTTCCAGCATATTTGCATAAATTCAGGCAATATTTTGGAATTTCATTGTCAGCATGGCCTCATTCATTGTGTTGTCTGAAGATTAGCATTCCTTTAATGCAGATTTGGGCCACAAATACGCTTTTAACAAGATGTTTCCATGCTAAAAATTCATAACCAATAATGATTGTGAATTGATTTATGAGTTGTTTCAATAATAAATTAAGAAAAATTTATGTCTCGCCATCAGAACATAAAGGTTTCCAAATAAAACTGCAATGACGAAATTCAACCAACTCACCAGAAATGGTGTCCTATGACATAAATCATCTGTTTCATCAATCTGCTAGATTCATCATCCATTTTATTTTTCTTTATGTGGATTCCATGATTGTGACCAGGTATGGCTTAGTTGATTTCATTTTGCTGTTGCTCCAGTACCTGAGAATGTCTATGTTTCTCTCCACACAGTTGATCATCTACTGTCTCTATTGCTGTCTAACATCAAGGACAGTTGTGCTTTTCCAATATTTAGTATTGCATGTTCTGTTATTGAGTTTCTGTCACAAATGATATACATATGCTTAGCAAATTGTTGATCTGTATCACTCTACAATGTCATTTAAATCCTTTTGTTTTCTGTATCATTTGATTCAATAGGGAATTTTGATACAAAAATAGATTTCATAGACAGAATAATTACTTCACAAATAAAAGACCAGCTGAACATTAACTACTATGATCACAGAATATTTTTTTTACATGTTAGAATGGAAACAGCTTTCATTAGTGAAGAAAATATCCATAATGATTTTCTTGTAAAGTAATGAGGAGGAAAGTTTGATCAATGTTTTCAAATCCTGGTATGACACAACATCTGTCCAAGATTAACACACAATCCCTATTGTTTAAAGATCTACTATACCTACTAGTTGTAGAATATGAATATAATTTACAGTGATTTCATTGAAATTGGACACAGAGTTTCAAATTACCTTTAGAAGTTTTGAGTGATTAGTGTGTTGCATTTTATGTAGATTTGGTCAAATCTTGCTCTAGTTTAGTAGTCAAAACAAGCTTTCACTACTTTTCAAGTTAAGGGAGATTCTGTTTTGAAATTTGATTGATCACAGTATTCAGATAATATACAAACAAGACAATGCAATGTTATATGTATACATATTACAAAAATATAAATATATAATCAAAATCATTTAGTAACGCAACAGATGACGTATTTGTGTTTGACCAGGAAGTTGAATGAGATAATAACACACATTGATTGTCTGTATGGTTTATGGCATATTGTTGATAAAGTTTTTGCTTCCTTATTTTACAGTTACAGATATTGTCAATTGTTTACTTTTTTCCTTGATTGACATGATGATCAAATTAATCTGTAACTCACAATTAAATCAGTTAATGGTACTGTTTGTCAGGGCTTTTCCCACTGATTTAGGAAATTGCCCATAAATCTCATTTTAGGAATGAAATTTATTACTTGAGAAAGAAATGTTTTGGAGTATATAATTTTAGTAATTTGGCAATATCTTAAAATACATCTAATGGGGAATTGGCAAATTTATTTCATTTTAGGTAGAAAATCAATCAATTGGGAAGGAAATGTATAGGAGTAAACATATCATATTATATATTATTAACGTTTATATTATGGAAATTAGGCCCTATTTAGAAAGAAATCCCATGTGGGAATGGGGTCCATCTGTCCCACAGATCCCACAAAAATACCCTGGATGTTGATGTTCCACCTAAAATGATAATACTGAAGATTATACTTCTACAGAGGAAATTTCAGGGAACCCTTTCAGGAATGTTATACATCAAATAAAACCACCTTGAAATAATTGCATTTTTAGGATATGACAGACCTTGAATAAGGTTAGCTGTGTGCAGTCATTTTGAAAACTGAATTTCAGCTGAAAATCAGGCTATGTTTGAATATGTTTGGTTGGTAGCTGCCACATTGGAAACATATTTTCATCCTTAACAGAATTTTTAAAACACCTAACTAAGAATGTGTCTTTGTTTTGCTTACAGACAGATCAACAGCTTGATTGTGCTTTAGATTTGATGAGGCGTCTGCCTCCCCAAAAAATAGAGAAAAACTTAACAGATCTTATTGACTTGGTAAGTACAGACATGTCTATTTCAAAATGAGCTATTGTTTTCTAATCATTATTTGAATGATTTGTAGTTATTGTATTAAATATATTCAGAGTTTGGTTTACCAGGCACCAGAATCAGTCAGGGTTACTTATGATAAAATTCTGTTAAATTTCAGGTTGTTTTGATTGATGAATTGATCAGTAGATCAGTAAAGTAATAAATTATAAAATTAAAACAAGTGATTTTTGGGAACTAGATATCACTACCAATCCTAGCTTTCTGATTGGTGGAAATTTTTTAACAAATTTCCGGTGAATCCTAGTTTTACAATACTTGCTGTGCTGGGTGAAATATAAAACAAAAATATGTATTCTACAAATCCAGGTTCCAAGTCTATGTGAAGACCTGCTTTCATCTGTGGACCAGCCACTTAAGATCGCCAGAGACAAAGTTGTAGGCAAAGACTACCTCTTGTGTGACTATAACCGAGATGGTGATTCCTACAGGTAAACCATTGTATAGGTAACACAAAGACATATGTCTATATACAGTCGAACCTTGTTGTCTCAAACTCAGTGGAACCATGGGAAAACTCAAAGATAACGGAGTATTCAATTTTGTTGTGTTTGATTGTTTTGTGTGAGTGTTTTGTGTAAAGTTAGGGAGGGACCGACGAAATGCTTTGAATTAAACAAGGTCTTTGAGTTATCCAACTTCAAGATAAAGAGGTTCAACTGTATGTGTGTAACATAGATAGAGGCTCGAACCTCTATCAGATGGGAATGTATTGGTTTTTGGTAACTTTTTATGTTAAGATATAATGTTATAATATTAACATTAAAATTCACCAGGAAAAATTGTGATTCATGATTCTTACGTCTGATGTCTGATTGTGATAGAAAGCTTTCATGCTAAGTCACACCATGATCATTTCCAGAAAATAATGATTGATTGGAGATAACTTTTAAGTAAAAATATTGATTTTATGAATTATTCAAATAAATCATTGGACACTGTGATTGATCACTATCAATATCGTTATCTATTAATATACATGTTGTATGATTGTGTCTTCTTTTTTTGATAATTTGGGTAGTAGAGTTCGACAGAACAACACCAGTAGACAACTGACCAATTATCAAGGTCACTGTGTCAAAAGGGCACATTTTACATCTTTTCATGTGTGTACTGACAATGTAAATAGAGTGGTTAAATTTACCCTTAAAGGTCAGAAACAAAGCCAGGTCCTTCTGACACAGGGATGACAGACTTGATTAAAACTTCATAGAGTATTAAACACAAAGGACTGCATGTAAAATTTTCACTGCAATACTTTCTTGACAAGACACTGGTTTTATGAAAGAAGACTCTCAGTTGTTAAAGTGAAATATCTGGTCATTACTATAAAGGTGTATGTTGCTGAGAAAATTGAATTAACGGAACAGGACGAGTGTTGCATGCATCACTAACTGTAAACTTGTTTATTCTATTTTTAGGTCATTATGTTGTTTAATTATTTATACTTTTTTAGACCTGTCCGGAGTATAATTATCTATTCTAATTTTAGGTCTCCCTGGAGTAATTCATATGATCCTCCACTTGAGGACGGGACCATGCCATCTGACAAACTACGGAAACTAGAAGTTGATGCCAATAGCGCTTTTGACCAATATAGAGAAATGTAGGCCTTTTTGCTTTGCTAACACTGTCTTATCTATAAAAAAGGGAAAAGACAACTATTTATAAGTGTTTAAAGTATTTCTCTTAAATATCAGACATCAGAGTACCTGAGGTAATGCCATGTTCTCCTTTTGTTCTGTTCTGTCAATAAATACGCCTGAATGGTAAATATAAAGGAAATATAGTGCTACAATTTCATTTTCAAATTTTTATTGTTTAAATGTTTTGTGAAAAAGTTTCATTAAAGTGTATGGTACTGTAAAATGAAATTTAAAACTAAATCCTGCTGTTAATCTTCCAGGTATTTTGAAAAAAACCGCATCATGAATTAAAATTCTTTGTGTATGATAAAGAATGTTGATTTGAAACTTAATGTATTTTAGTAAAAACTGTACCCTAATTTTGAACCTCCACATATTTTGATAAAAATCACTGATTTTAAACTTCCAGGTATTTTGAGGGTGGTGTGTCATCTGTCTACCTATGGGACCTTGATCACGGATTTGCTGGTGCTATACTCATTAAAAAGGCTGGTGATGGGTCCAGAAATATAAAAGGCTGCTGGGATTCGCTACATGTTATAGAGGTCCAGGTAAGATACAGACCGACAGGGTCCAGAAATATTAATGGCTGCTAGCTCCAGATAAAATACAGATGTATAGGGTCCACAAATAATAGTGGCTGCTGTGCTTAAGGCAATATACAAACCTACAAGGATCCAGAAATATTAATGGCTGCTAGCTCCAGATAAAATACAGATTTATAGGGCCACAAATATTAGTGACTGCCGTGCTTAAGGCAATATACAGACTTACAGGGTCCAGAAATATTAATAGCTGCTGGGATTCTGTGTATCAATGATGTCAGGCAGATAAGAAAGTATCGACATTGCCATATTTAGATTTCTGTAGACAATGGTTATGTTTCACATTTGTGTTGAATACATGTAAAATGTATCTAAGTTTGCACAGATAACAGTGGTACATTAAATACATGGATCAATAAACATCAGATAGTGAATGTATTTTAAACATCATAGAAGGCATCAAATTGCCTCTGGTCTGTCTGGAGGACAAATGAGCTTTTAAAGGTGTGGTCAAGTATAGGTTTGGTCTGTCTCTCCCCTGTTTGTTACCTGAGACAAAATCTTGTGGTGGCCTTTTGCAATCGTCTTTTGTCTGGCGTTGTGTGTCAGTGTGTCCTTAAACTTTTAACATTGTCCTGAATTGATTTAAATGAGATTTTGTAGAAACCTTTCCTTCTAAAGGTGAACCAAAATTGTGATTTGTAAGGTTCTTATGGCCCTATCTTATAGGGCCTCAGGGGCAGGCCAAAAGGAAGCAGATTGACTCCCCTCAACATCCAGATAATGTAGAATCAAATGCTCTTCATGGATACTTTTACCAAAATTGTAAACTTCAGATGCCTGGGTTCTCACATTTCCTCCTGTTGAGGGGAGTAGAGTTTATGGTAGTTTACATTGGAAAGGAACATTGTTTGGAGGTCACAGGGGGTAATATCCTATATACAAATATCATTGTTGGTATTACAGGAGAGGTCCAGTGGCAGGAGTGCTCAATACAAACTTACATCTACAGCAATGTTGTGGCTGCAGACCTCCAAGGAGAGTTCAGGGGTGATGAACCTTGGCGGTAGTCTCACACGTCAGATAGAACAAGACTGTACTGTCAGTGAAAACACACCTCACATATACAACATTGGCAGAATGGTAGAGGTAAGAAACATTCTCTCCTTCACCCCACACCCCCAACTCTTTACTGGTGGTTCTGTTCCTCCTGTCTCACTGTCTTCCTTTCCTTAACTCTTTCCTGGTCATGTTCTTCCCTTTTCTCCCTCCCTTCTTGTCCTATTCCCCCTGTCTCCATCCCTAACTCTTTTCTGGTCAAATTCTTTCCTTCTCTCTGTCACCCCTTCATTCCCTCACTAACAATGTCATGGTCCAATTCTTCCCATTTCTCCATCTCCTCCTCCTTTCCTCCCTTCCTCCCTCCTGACCCTGTTCTTCCTTTCTCTCCATCTCCTCCTCCTTTCCTCCCTTCCTCCCTCCTAGTCCTGTTCTTTCTTTCTCTCTGTCTCCCTCCCACACTCCTGGCCCTTTACTTCCTTTCTGTCTGTCTCCTCCTTCCCTCCCTAACTCCTGACCCTGTTCTTCCTTTCTCTCCATCTTCTCCTCCTTCCATCCCTAACTCTGTCATGGTCCAATTATTCCCTTCTCTCTGTCTCCCCCTCACTCCTTCCTGATCCTGTTCTTCCCTTCTCTCTGCTTTCCGATCCCTCCCTCCCCCTAACTCAGTCCTGGTCAGATTCTTCCTTCCTCTGTCTCCCCTCCCTCACTCCTGGTCCAATTATTCCCTTCTCTCTGTCTCCCCTTCACTCCTTCCTGATCCTGTTCTTCCCTTCTCTCTGCTTCCCCATCCCTCCCTCCCCCTAACTCAGTCCTGGTCAAATTCTTCCTTCCTCTGTCTCCCTCCCTCACTCCTGACCCTGTTCTTCCTTTCTCTCCATCTCCTCCTCCTTTCCTCCCTAATGCTGTCCTGATCCTGTTCTTCCCTTCTCTCTGCTTCCCCATCCCTCCCTCCCCCTAACTCAGTCCTGGTCAGATTCTTCCTTCCTCTGTCTCTCCCTCCCTCCCTCACTCCTGGCCATGTTCTTCCTTTCTCTCCGTCTCCTCCTCCTTTCCTCCCTAACTCTGTCCTGGTTCTATTATATCCTTCTTTCTGTCTCCCCCTCACTCCTTCCTGATTCTGTTCTTCCCTTCTCTCTGCTCCCAATCCCTCCCTACCCAACTCTGTCTTTGTCCTATTCTTCCCTCCCTCCCTCCCTCCTCCCTATCTATGTCTGGATCCTATTCTTCCTTTGTCGTTGTCCTAGTCTTCCTTGAGCTCCGCACAGTTTTTGTCATTGTAGAACCACAAACCATAGTGGAATGTTTACAATATCATTATCATTTCATATCACTACATTCATCTACCTTACATTACTGTAAAGGGATTTCATTCATGCAATTGTAGAGGATGGACAACTAAGTCACAGAATTTGTCTGTTTAGTGAAATTTCAGTAAAACTGAGAAAATTGATTCATAAAAATTTGCGTGAAGACATCTTGAACATCACTGCACCTTTCGACCAGAGGAAATGGTTAGACTTTGTGTTTGTTTTATTCTCATTTTCCTTACCATTGTAACTGAATACTTAGTGTTTGATGAATAGATTCAAGTTTGAAAGTTGATTGCATACAAAGTTTTTCTTTTTTAGGAAATGGAAAATAAGATTAGAAACACATTAAATGAGATTTACTTTGGGAAAACCCGGGACATTGTGAATGGACTACGATCAGTAGACCAGATCGCTGACAAGAAGCAGGAAGATTTGAGGAAGGAGCTTCAAGGATTTCTTCAGAACCGGATCCAGTCACAGTGACCTTGAGGTCAGAGTTCAAAGGCTGACTATTAAACACAACACAGTTGTGCTGGTGACAATTTCTTTCAAGTGTGCGGTCTAAGTGGGAAGTATTGGATCAGCAACACAGCTTTCCTGTCCGATCTGAGCCAGGATCAATGATATACAGTTACTAACATTCTATAGACTCCAGAGAGAATTAAACAATCAAGTGGTCGCTTCCTTGGGGATTTATTTGATTGATGAATATGTATAAGGAAGGACTTCACAGTATTTTAGGTTTTTAGAATGTAACTTTTTGTTTACATTTTTCTGCTACAAAACATGACTGAGTTATGATTTTTGTAAAAATTGTATATAACATCGAAAGTGAAATATTTGAGAAGCAATATACCAGTAATATAACAGTCCTTGATATTTTTTTAGTCCCAGGTTTACTGATGAGCTAAGTGCCATTCCAGTATACTGATAATTTGTGTGATGATCAGTTCAGATATCAGATTTTAAGTATCAGACCAACATGTAGCTCAATAACATCGAATGGCTTCTAGTTCTCCCTTTGTATGATTAAGTCTTACAATAAAAATGTTTTTTTTTTCTTTTCTTTTTTTAAATTCTCCCTGAAATTTTAAGGGTCAAATTCAATATCAACTAGACATTTTGGTAAGTCTACCAATATTGAATCCTATTATGTATACTGAAAAAAAAACACCTTGAAACTCACTGCCATAAATATCAACTGTAGTGATGATTATAAATAAGTAATTTAGTGATTGTTTCCATAGTTACAGGTATATAAGTGAACATGGCAACTGACACTGGTAAAGCTTTGTAACCATGGTAATGTCTTCAAAAATTATTTACCATGGTAACTGCATTTAGATGTTATAATTGTTACCATGGTAACTGTAATGATAATATACATTGTTACCATGGTAACTGTAATGAAAATATACATTGTTACCATGGTAACATAACAAATATGTAAACATGTATAATAGCTACTTAATATCTGTAACTGTAGATAGATGTAACACATTAAAGTACAAACTAAATACTATATCTATGATTTTGGACAAAATCGGTCTGATTTCACTTTTTCTTGGGAGTATTTATTTTCTATGATATATTAATTTAACACTGTAATTTGGACACCAATAATACTATTTTCCTCACTAAACAGGAATCTACATGTTATTGTTTTGTGAGCATGAGAGAATGTAAACAAATATTGAGAAACCTCTATAATTACTATACTGCTTTCCTGTCTCAAACCAAAAACACAATTCACTAAGACAGATTAGTAATGAAATATCTCATTTCAATTTATTATTCATTTAAAAATAATTTTGTTTTGAAGAATTGAGATGCTGAAGAGTAAAAGAAATGTATTAGGGAATATTTCTAATATTCTACTGATTTTTATGGTTCCAGATGAAAGAAACTATCTCAGCATCAAACTGTCATTTCTCAGGTAACATGGAAAATGAGAAAATGATCAAGACTATCAGAACCATTCCCTGGAAATAAATTGTAGTGTTATCATACTGTCATCAAAAATTTAGGCCATTTACATCAATGTTATGATGATTTTTGTTCGTTTTCATCATTTTTTTGGCAAGAAGTTTGGTATGTTGAACTGTCCATTGAAACATGGATGATTCCAGTAGCTCTCCATGTTACATATATACACAGAACTAAGGAGGGTGTTGATTTGTATATGTATATATTACAACTATTATAATGAAGGGCGGCGTAATGTTGTCCTCTAGCTTTGAATAATCTTAATCATTTTGAAGCTTGGTAACTCTATGCCAAGTCTATTGCCTTTAAGGGCATATGTGATCATGATTGCACAGATGATCAAGGTCACATTTTATTATTAAAATATTGCTGATGTAATATAGCTTTGTCTTGTGTGTTTTTATTTCACTGCTATGTACAGAAACATTGTCATATTGAAAAATGTTGTTAAAATGAATATTCAAATGTTCTTAATTTTCATATAACTTTAGTGTGTATATATATATATATTAAAACCATATTTACACAAAATAAGTCATAATTTCCATAAACTGTTAATCACTAATATTTTTGATGGCATTTTTGTTCACATTATTATGTGAGGATGCCCTCTCGTTTATTTGTACAAAAATAATTCTTTGATGACATCCATGGTGATTTGATCAGTATACCTAATTTACAAATTTGAAGACATTTGTCGACCACTGTTCGTGAAGTAATGTCCATGTGAACATGTCTGGTCTGGAGAGGTAAGTTTGTGAAATAAAGTATTCACAAAATCTAAATGACAGTTTGACCACTCCTACTTTTATACTACAAAATTAATGACTGGTGTTCCAATATGTTAACAGAATATTTATTCAAACACAGATTTGATAAAACAACAAAATGAAAACAAAAGAAAGATTAACATGGCAACTCTCAAAAAAGTAAAAAGATAATAAACCAGCTGTTCCGGAAAAGTAACTGTCTTCTGCTTCATTAGCGACACCAACCATGTAAACCTTGGCTAATCCCAACAATATAATGTCATGCTCTCAAATAAGAACAATGTATACAACAAAGGAACCATCAGGTATACTTAAGTCTATCAGACAGGTCCAGCTGAAATCAGAGACGAAATAGCACACAACCTGACAGCAGGAGACAAAATGTTAGTAGTAAAGTTAGTGTAAAATCTGTTACACCAGGAGAGGTAGATCATGCTCAGCTTGTTTTAATGATTTTTTGTTGAAGTCTTCGACCAATGTCACCAGCTCAGTCACGAGTTATTTTAGAAATTTCTAGGTAAAGTCACAGACGGTTTTCCTGTTTTCTAAATAAATTAATGAAATAATTATGAATGTTAGCCAATGAGATTAAAATTTTGATGTGTAAGAATAGAAGCAGTGAGTTTAACATTACATTTAGTTTAGGATATTACATTTTAGGATATAACAATTAGTTTAGTATATAACAATTCGTTTAGTATATAACAATTAGTTTAGTATATGGTACAGTTGATACTCAATATCAGTGGCATGAGATTTCAAAACCAGTAGTGTCCAAACACAACACCTGGTTTACGCAAGCTTTTTAACATGAAAATATTGTCAGTCACCCTTGTTCTTCATGTTTACCTCCTCCTACAAGAGGGGGCTTAACATTAGACATTTGTCCCCATACTACAGGAAGGTCTAAAGGTTTGTGTTGGGTCTGTGGTCATCCTGGACATTTGTCACCGTACTACAGGGAGGTCTTAAGATTTGTACTGGGTCTTTGATAAATCTGGACATTTGTCACAGTACTACAGGAAGGTCTAAAGGTTTGTACTGGGTCTGTGGTCATCCTGGACATTTGTCACCGTACTACAGAAAAGATTCAAGGTTTGAACTGGGTCTGTGGTCATCCTGGACATTTGTCACCGTACTACAGGAAGATCTAAAGGTTTGTACTGGGTCTGTGGTCATCTTGGACATTTGTCACGGTACTATAGGAAGGTCTAAAGGTTTGTACAGGGTCTGTGGTCATCCTGGACATTTGTCAACATACTACAGGAAGGTCTAAAGGTTTGTACTGGGTCTGTGGTCATCCTGGACATTTGTCACCGTACTACAGGAAGGTCTAAAGGTTTGTACTGGGTCTGTGGTCATCCTGGACATTTGTCAACATACTACAGGAAAGTCTAAAGGTTAGTACTGGGTCTGTGGTCATCCTGGACATTTGTCACCGTACTACAGAAAGGTCTAAAGGGTTGTACTGTGTCTGTGGTCATCCTGGACATTTGTCTCCTTACTACAGAAAGGTCATAAGGGTTGTACTGGGTCTGTGGTCATCCTGGACATTTGTCCCCTTACTACAGGAAGGTCTAAATGGTTGTACTGGGTCTGTGGTCATCCTGGACATTTGTCCCCTTACTACAGGAAGGTCTAAAGGTTTGTACTTGGTCTGTGGTCATCCTGGACATTTGTCACTGTACTACAGGAAGGTCTAAAGGTTTGGACTGGGTCTGTGGTCATCTTGGACATTTGACACGGTACTACAGGAAGGTCTAAAGGTTTGTACTGGGTCTGTTACCGAAATGTTTGACCTTGACCTTCTCTAAAGTTACGGAGGTCAAATAGTTTCACTTTCATTTGGATAATTAGCCAATAGCAAGCTGTGGTAGATTGTATCAGGGATGTATGATAATATAAGATGAATATAGAATTTGTTGTAAGGAATTATTGCAGAGGTCAAGCATGATTATTTCCAAAAAATTATCCATTTTTGAAATAGTTGCTGAAAGGTAAGCGGACTATGCGTCATAATTTCTAAAAAGTTTAAAACGGGAGGTCCGGTGGCTTTACCATACTAGTCACACTCAGGATTTATCACCCATATAATTCGGTTATAAGAATTAAACTTCAAAACAACCAGAGATGATGTAACTCTAAAATAATCTTGATTTATTTTAACAGTATAATTTTATGATCTTTTTAAAATTTCTTAGAATCATGTTGCATATGCAGATGCTTTTTTCAGAAATTCTTTGAATACTTCAAATAATAGTTAAAACAGTAAAAGAACGTAAACATTATATTACAGAAGGTATACTTTTAGATGTTATCACATTTCAGTTGGACTTGAGATATACCATTTTTCCCTTTAAAAAATGTTTCTTGAGTGTTTGAAGAATGTTGTGTTATTTTTGTTTTATGTTTCTCTTTTTCTTCTTCTTCTTTCTTTTTTAAAGAAGAAATACAGACCAAGGATATATCAAGTTCTTAAACAGTGATCGACATCTTCCCTTGTAGACATAGATCATGTGGCTGACGTGTCTTTTGAAGAGTTGCTTCCCTTTGACCATAAAATTAATTTGAATGCTGCTGGACTGCTTATCTCTGTGCTATTAAAATCAACGATGTGTAGGACAGCAGATGTTTTCTCTTTAAATTTACTTTCCCACAGCATATCTATGATATCTAATAATTTTGAAACTTTAACTCGTGACCTCAGTATATTTACTGTAAAAGTGCATAACGGTTTATTTATTTATTTTCTCATGGCATAACAGCTATTCTGTGAAACTCACAACCCGCCGTAACGAATAGGTTATGGGGTTAGGGTTGGGGTGAGTTCTGGTAGTTAAGTATCCATTTACCAATAAAACCAAGACTATTGGGCTACGATACACTTTCTCCGACACGCCTCTTTTTTAATTTGTTTTTAACAAGTCGCTGGGCTGTTGAAAGGAATAAGAATGTATTTTTCCTGTTAAAAAAAACCAAGCCGAAAATCTGCTCAGCAATGACCAGTAGCCCTGTAAAGACAAAGTGATGCTTTCACATTTATTGTTAACATCATTATAAAAATGAACACCAGCATGGGATATTGACGGAGGATTTCACGGTTTATTTTCAAAATTCGTGAAAATTTTATCAGGAGTAAGTTTGATGGTAAGTGATATTTTCAGCCTTATTCAGGTTGTGAAAAAAATATCTGTTTGTCTGTCTGTGAACTTTATATTTCAACCCAAATGACACCTGGGTTAGATGATGTGCAGTGTGATTGTGTATAATTACGTGTACGGGTAATTTTTAAGGGGTAACCCAAGCTCTACTAACGGAAATAAAAAGTGGACAAAAATAAGAATAGGCGTATTATAATGACATACTGGATTGATTGACTATTGAGGTCAGTGCCGAAATGAATCTTTTGACAAACTTCGAAATACCGCAAATTATGTAAAAATAATTTGATTTATTTTAATGTTGTAGAAGTTGAGTGTACAGATCACTTTCCTAGCATCAGCTGGTGGGAACTTCCCTTTAGTCGAGCGGTAGTGTCCGGCTAGAGACCGAAAGGTTGCTATTTCGAATTCCAAAGAGGCACGGTGTTTTTCAATGGATTCCTATTGCAGATTTGGAGTCGATGACCACTCCAAGGGTAGGAGCTATAGGAGACTGAGATCCTACCTTGGGTATATTTAACCTGGTTTGTTGTAGTCTTCGGGGTCGAAGACTTTGTGAAGGACGAAGTAGTATAGAAGTTAAGTGTACAGATCACCGTTCTGTCATCAATTAGTGGGAATTTCCCTACAGTCAAGAGTAGAGTGTCCGGCTGGATACCACAGGGTAACAATATTCCAGGCAAAAGTTCACATTTTCATACATACGAAAATTAAACAGTCAAATTTAGGCAATGATAACAGAAAAAAAATATCAATGAAACTTTTATATTCACAATATTACAGAAAGTATAGCTAAAGACATAATTAATGAAACATTTAATTTAGACTTAAGATGAGCGTTTCTAAGGCTGTAAAGTTTGCTATTTTCCTCCATTGGTTGCTGGAAGATTCTTGCCATTTTTCTTACAAAGTAGAGCTATATTAAGTTTCAAAACGATAAGACACATCTGAATGACGGCTTTTTTTTTTTTTTAGAGTTGCTTCCCTTTGACCATAAAAATCGTTCTACCGTTGGCACTTTTGAAGGATAAAAACTGCTTTCTCTTAAAATGTACTTTCCCATCAGTGCATGAGTAAGGTACAGATTTAATCTGTCGAATGCTCAGAGAAGATATATATATAACATAACGCCAACACTTGTTCCCTAACATCCTTGTTAATGTACTGTGGGTCTAACACTCCCTGCAGGGCTCCAGTATCGATATATAACTATTGTTTTAGTTTTCACGTTAGTCCGAATTATTCTGACGTTCTATCGACATCTCTCCAGACCGATACATAAAAAGTCGATAGAACGTCAGAATAATTTGGACTTTTTCCACCTCTTTGATATCCAATAACGTTGAAATGCGACCGACAAACACCGTTTATTGCCTCTAACAGTACAAAATGGTTTTATTCATTTCTCATGACGTAACGGTTCGAATCTAACATCCCCGACATAACCCTTCCCCGGGGATGGGGGAGTCACATTTACAATTACGGGGTTCTGGTGGCTTGATATCAATTTGCCAGTAAAACCCGATTACATGAGCTGGGACCCACTTTATTAGACACGCCACTTGTTTACTTCAGCCATAAACTCGGGATCATAGTGTGTCGGTTTTGCTTTCAGAAACAGCAGGGCGTTTGTACCGTTGTAATTTTATATTTGCAGATTTTAAACAATTAATTCTAAAAATACTGCAAACAGCTGTCAGTTCTTGTATTAGCCAACGTTGCCACCGGAGAGTGGAGTTTATCGATACGCCGACTCAGCGGAAAGATTTGGTAACGTCCTGAACACGTTGTTTTAAAATTTGAAACGGCTTTTAGTCTGACAAATTTGAGTTCCGTGGAACTTGGTCTAGAGATTTGTGACACTTTGTTACTAAATTGGTTTCACTTCTTTAACCTTGTGTAGGAGAACGGTTGGTAGTGTGGCGTTTAACGACGGTTCTATGTATACTGGAGGGTGTGTCTTGGTCCTTCTCACTCTGACCATGTTCGTATAGCAAAACTTTCCGAACATTATATACAACGGAATATTGCATGTCTGAACATTGTGAAATAAGAAACATTGTTAGTCTGAAAATTGTGTACAGTGGAACCCTGTTAGCCTGAACATTGTGTACAGAGGAACATTGTTGTCTGAACATTGTGTACAGAGGAACATTGTTCGTCTAAATATTGTGTACAGAGGAACATTGTTGTCTGAACATTGTGTACAGAGGAACATTGTTCGCCTGAACATTGTAAACTGAGGAACATTGTTCATCTGAATATTGTGTACAGAGGAATATTGTTCGTCTAAATATTGTGTACAGAGGAACAATGTTGTCTGAACATTGTGTACAGAGGAACATTGTTCATCTGAATATTGTGTACAGAGGAACATTGTTGTCTGAACATTGTGTACAGAGGAACATTGTTTGAATATTGTGTACAGAGGAACATTGTTCGTCTAAATATTGTGTACAGAGGAACAATGTTGTCTGAACATTGTGTACAGAGGAACATTGTTTGAATATTGTGTACAGAGGAACATTGTTCGTCTAAATATTGTGTACAGAGGAACATTGTTGTCTGAACATTGTGTACAGAGGAACATTGTTCATCTGAATATTGTGTACAGAGGAACATTGTTGTCTGAACATTGTGTACAGAGGAACATTGTTCTTCTGAATATTGTGTACAGAGGAACATTGTTGTCTGAACATTGTGTACAGAGGAACATTGTTCATCTGAATATTGTGTACAATGAACCTTATTAGTATGAACTTTATGTTGACAAAAACCTTGTATTTTTAAACTTTACATGGATTTAAACCTTGTTAGTATGAACATTGTGTAAGGTAGAACTGACTATTTTGTGCAGTGCAACCTTGTTTGTCTGAAATTGCTGTACAGTGTAACTTTGCAAGTCTGAAATTTGTATACAGTTTGTTAATGAATTCTGTTCGGACTTTGTTGAGAGTTTGACCTCTTGGAGAATATAATGAGGTTTTAAACATATAGACAAATGGTTACTTAGCTGCTTTAGTAACAGAAAATTTGACACTGATATGATCAGACAGAGTCAAGAGTATCTTAATGCTAATGACAGGGATCAAAGATTGGATTTTAGAGGCATAGGGTGTAATCTAGTTATTATTTTTTTTAAGACAAACTCGTAATTTACACCCACTTTTGATATCAAACTTATCCCAGAATTTCTGACTTAAAATTCAAGACCTTTTCAAGGCTGCTCTGAGATAGCCGATACCAAATTCAGAGACTATCAAGGCATGACACTGAATTTCTAGGACTTTTCAACATAGACACTGAAATTCAAGGACTTTTAATTAAAAAAATATCATGCTCCTGAATGTAATTTTAGTCCATGTAATTACAAATGACCTACTGAAAAAATTCCATGAAATCTTGAATGCCAGCATCTCTCTGAAAAAAGTCTGATATGCACCAAGATTTGACAGAAAAGTACCTTACCTTACAATTACATGTATTGACTATAATGATATTAAAACACTTTGGTATTTATATAAATATAACCAAAATTGTGGGCAATGTTCATCAGATGTCTGTTTACATCCAGCTTAGGAACCAAAATTGTGGGCAATGTTCATCAGATGTATGGTTACATCCAGCTTACAACATCAGTGTAAGTCCAGTAAAGGGAACAGCCGAAACATTGTGATGTCACAGTACAGCCAGACTAATTACTGGTATCATTATTACAGTGAATGTCTGGTACAGTAATAGGAAGGAAGTGTACAGCTATATATATTTCTGTGTAAATTATATAATTTTGCCACAAACATTTTTTTACTGATGTGTATGGAGTCTGAATAACACATTAGATTACTCTGATCTCAAATTGTCTACAGATAGCCTTACTTCACATTTTGGCTTTAAATAAACATCTTCCTGGGTTTGCATCTTCTGCCAGTTACTATCATCCTGAAAAACACACTGACCCCTTCTATTGTTTACTATTTACATCTCAACTCTGCCCCGCTCCAATGAACCTAGTTAACTCAAAAGGTCACAATACTTAATTCAGATACAATGGTTCTAGTTCACTTCATCTTCATGAGGATCACATCGCTTCATCAGCCCATGTAAGTAACAGATGATGTGGATCACCTCTCTTCATCAGCCCATGTAAGTAACAGATGATGTGGATCACCTCTCTTCATCAGCCCATGTAAGTAACAGATGATGTGGATCACCTCTCTTCATCAGCCCATGTAAGTAACAGATGATAAGGATCACCTCTCTTCATCAGCCCATGTAAGTAACAGATGATGTGGATCACCTCTCTTCATCAGCCCATGTAAGTAACAGATGATAAGGATCACCTCTCTTCATCAGCCCATGTAAGTAACAGATGATGTGGATCACCTCTCTTCATCTGCCCATGTAAGTAACAGATGATGTGGATCACCTCTCTTCATCAGCCCATGTAAGTAACAGATGATGTGGATCACCTCTCTTCATCAGCCCATGTAAGTAACAGATGATGTGGATCACCTCTCTCTCTTAACATGTGGATCACCTCTCTTCATCAGCCCATGTAAGTAACAGATGATGTGGATCACCTCTCTTCATCAGCCCATGTAAGTAACAGATGATGTGGATCACCTCTCTTCATCAGCCCATGTAAGTAACAGATGATGTGGATCACCTCTCTTCATCAGCCCATGTAAGTAACAGATGATGTGGATCACCTCTCTTCATCAGCCCATGTAAGTAACAGATGATGTGGATCACCTCTCTTCATCAGCCATGTAAGTAACATGTGGATCACCTCTCTTCATCAGCCCATGTAAGTAACAGATGATGTGGATCACCTCTCTTCATCAGCCCATGTAAGTAACAGATGATGTGGATCACCTCTCTTCATCAGCCCATGTAAGTAACAGATGATGTGGATCACCTCTCTTCATCAGCCCATGTAAGTAACAGATGATGTGGATCACCTCTCTTCATCAGCCCATGTAAGTAACAGATGATGTGGATCACCTCTCTTCATCAGCCCATGTAAGTAACAGATGATGTGGATCACCTCTCTTCATCAGCCCATGTAAGTAACAGATGATGTGGATCACCTCTCTTCATCAGCCCATGTAAGTAACAGATGATGTGGATCACCTCTCTTCATCAGCCCATGTAAGTAACAGATGATGTGGATCACCTCTCTTAACCTCTCTTCATCAGCCCATGTAAGTAACAGATGATGTGGATCACCTCTCTTCATCAGCCCATGTAAGTAACAGATGATGTGGATCACCTCTCTTCATCAGCCCATGTAAGTAACAGATGATGTGGATCACCTCTCTTCATCAGCCCATGAAGTAACAGATGATGTGGATCACCTCTCTTCATCAGCCCATGTAAGTAACAGATGATGTGGATCACCTCTCTTCATCAGCCCATGTAAGTAACAGATGATGTGGATCACCTCTCTTCATCAGCCCATGTAAGTAACAGATGATGTGGATCACCTCTCTTCATCAGCCCATGTAAGTAACAGATGATGTGGATCACCTCTCTTCATCAGCCCATGTAAGTAACAGATGATGTGGATCACCTCTCTTCATCAGCCCATGTAAGTAACAGATGATGTGGATCACCTCTCTTCATCAGCCCATGTAAGTAACAGATGATGTGGATCACCTCTCTTCATCAGCCCATGTAAGTAACAGATGATGTGGATCACCTCTCTTCATCAGCCCATGTAAGTAACAGATGATGTGGATCACCTCTCTTCATCAGCCCATGTAAGTAACAAAACAGACGATCAATTCTTAATTCCTGAACAAAGAAGACAAACAAGATGAAATGCAATTGTTCAATTTGTCTTTATTAAAGGTGATATAAATGTGGTCAACAGATTTATCAATGTTTACTGTCATCAATATGGAATTGTATTGGTTACACATCTCTAACACAACACAAACTGGATAGTCCACAAACTGGACAGTCCACACCCAGACATCCACACAAACTGGACAGTCCACATCCAGACATCTACACAAACTGGACAGTCCACACCCAGACATCCACACATATATGGACATCCACACCAACTGGACAGTCCACACAAACTGGACAGTCCACACAAACTGGACAGTCCACACCCAGACATCCACACATATATGGACATCCACACCAACTGGACATCCACACAAACTGGACAGTCCACAAACTGGACAGTCCACACCCAGACATCCACACCAACTGGACATCCACACCTGAACATCCACACTGACACTCTACTCCTCATCCACCCACTCATCAATCATTTCTCACGTTTACAGAACTTTTGTACAATAGAAAAAACAATCATGTCATTGAAAATAAACTGAATTTATTCTAGCTTGATGATAGTGCAAAACCACAAATCTGAATGACAGATGAGCAAAACTTTTAGACATTGGTTAAAAAAAAGCACTAAAACATATATAGTCACCAAATTTCTCTTTTCAAACTGATTTTCATGATGTTTCATTTCAAAAAATGTAAATTCCATTCTCAGAACATTTACAGAACATACATGGGACTATAAAAGATGGTGGAGATCTAAAACAACAGAGAAAATAAACAAAGCAGCAAAAAAAACTTTAAAACCATGTCAGTGCTACACTGATATCAAAAACTTAACTTCAACAAACACAGTTTGACTTTGATCAAAAGTACAAAAACACTAACAAACAATTAACTAAAAAAATGCACTTATTTAGGCAGAAATTTCAAATTAAAAAAATCACTCCTTTTCCATTTGGAAATTTTTAATGCGAGTTTGAGTGTGTTTCATAATGGTTTTATTTATTTAGAGCATATTTGGAGTCGAGATAAAATATAAAATCGAATTTCAGCAAGAGTAAAATGTAAATCTGGTCAAATAAACATTTGTACATCTAATGTACCATATACCTGTTTATATCACTACGTAATCTACAACCACAGGCGTAACACAGGCACTCTCCACACAACTACCAACACATGTCTCTTACCTACTCATTCACAAAAGTTTGTCGACCACAAGAGACTAATCTCCACACAAACATGTAACTTTTTGCATATATATATATATATAATTATATATATATATACAGGCTGTTTTGTAAACACTTATTTACATATCTTACAGAATCCATCTTACAAGTATGACTGTGTGATGGCATTCTCACAGTGTCACGGTTGATTGGAGACACTGTAGGAAGTGCACAAGATATCCCGTACAGTAACATTCTCTAAAACTTCTTACTTTCTATTATTTCAAAAATATCTTTTACATTGTCGTAAAATGAGGACATTTCTCAAACTGAGAGTTTGAAGGGAAATGTTTAAAAAAAAAATCTAACCAAAACCAATTTCCAATGAACTATCATTACCTACAACCTTTCTGGAAAACAAAATGAAAAAAATCAAACTAATGTAAGGTTTAATGATATGGTATAATCAAACTAGCATCCTGGCAGGGTCAATATATTGTAATCTACTACAACATCTCCAACACATGTTAGTGAAGTCAACACATATCTAGGTAATAAGGCATGTGAAAGATAAGCATGTGTGTTTGTATCTCCAATATCAGACACCTCAATGTCCTTGACCTTGAGATATGTGGCGTCATGATCAGTGACCTTGAACTACCTGACCTCATGATCATTTGACCTTGAGAATCATGACCTTATGCTTGACTTTGAGATACATCTTATCGTCCTTGACCTGTCTTCACCTCAGTATCACATGCCTTACCTCTATCTATGTTGTTACATGACCGAGATTACTCATATCAATATCACCATAACACATAGTGAAACCCTGCCAATTCAACACTATAGAAAACAAACCATATACCGAAATTCTAACTTTGCCGTTTAGGAATCTGAAATTTTTACCATTTATCTTCAGTAAGTTGTGAATGTTTACTATACAGTTTACCACTGGTGGGATTTTCATTTAGAAAGAAAGCATGAAACAACATTACCATCATCATAACTTAAAATATAATTGACGTACAGTGAAACTGGCGAGGTTAAGCACTACAACAGTAAGTGATATGGGTTGTACTATTGTGTCTAGGAATACCCTAATAATGAGTGACAAAGGACAGATGGCGTTCTTTGATCAACAAAAATATCCAATTAGAATTCAAACTTTTATTTAATTTCTCATACATGTATAACTAAGTTAGATATTCAGTGTAATATTACATTTTTCTGTTTGGGTAAAAACTTGGTTTGATATTCTGTGTAATGTTTCATGTCTCAATCTGTTAAATGTTGTATGAAACAGCACCAGGACCTGTGCTAAAAGCATACACGAATAAAATCACTATCTATGCCTAAAAAGAATAAAATTATCCTAAAGTAATAGGGAACCTGTAAGACTATTTAATCAACCTTTTCATTAAGATATTTAGTCAAGTTCTCTAACGCCAGGTTTTAAAACAACAAAAAACATCTACAAAGCAACATCAACAACTAAAATGAACACAACAAAAATTGCTATTATATCCCGTCTTAATGTAATGGTTTCCAGTAATCACGCAGCAACGGTGAAAAGTGGCGAGCAACCTCGGCTAGGACTAAAGCGGCTTTAAATGAACCAACAAATCAAACAGTGAGACGCTGGGAGAATACATTGAACATATCCAAAGTCTTTTTTATCAGCTAAAAGAAAATCACAAGGGTTTCACTTATAAAATGTCTACATTAAAATGAGGTAACATGACGGGGTTTGTATACAGAACATTTGGAATATCACAATAAATATGTCAAAATTATATGTACATTAGTTGTCAACAGCTATGGGTAGATTTTTATCAGAACAACATCTGTCACTATTTGGAAATTTAAAACAAATTGGAATTTTTCTGAAAATAACGCTAAGCATCTCTAAGAACTCAAAATGATTTTTTTTAAAGCAGAACGAAATTTGAGAGGAAATAATGAGATGACTGTTCTGTTGAAAATCTAACCAGCGCACACCCTATATCATGGAATACACAAACCACTCACCTACAGAACACATAAATACTGTTCACAAACCATTCAACTGTTTTGTGATATATGTCACACATCGTATGACAGGCATGTTATATTTTTCACATCTTGTGACAGTCATGTGATATGTCACACATCATGTGACAGTCATGTGATATATGCCAGTTATACTGGCTCCATGTCTACCATGGCAAAATTGTCACATTGCTTTAATCTCCCAAACAAAGTCAATCATCCCACAGAAACTATCACACTGCCTTCAAATGCACACTTAATTAAGGAAATGTTGCATATTCGAATAAATGATAACTTTACAAAATAATATGCTTTAGTTACGTTTTCGTTCAAAATTTACCTAAAAATAACAGAATAGGTTATATCAATTTTTACACAATCTCACTTTGACAGCTGAACTTGTACTAAAATACTACAACACACTGTGGAGATAAATGTTCCTCACACACTGAAGATTCCCTGGGCGACAGCAGATCCCATCAAACAAATTAAGGTAAATCCAATTGGCCAAAATTATTTGCAACCATGGTAATCTCTATTCAGTCAACCAATCACAGCGAAGCCTGATGAATATACAAAATGAAGCAGACACTCACATAACAACCATCCTTTAGAGACACAATAACACACAAAATTGGGGAATATGGCCTTGACACTGATGACTTTTCATCTTTATGTTGCCGTCTGTACAAGTTGACACAACCTGGGTGACACAACATCATCTGTCTGCACAATGTCTGGAGTGTTAGATTGTATTGTACTAGCGGGCAGATTCAGTTTGTAAATAAATACTTCTCCACCAACAACGTACACACATAAGGTTTCCAGTAATCGACAACCTTTGACCCACGGCAAGTTTGGATGATTTCAAAAAAGCGGATTTGTCGGTGATTCCAAGCCAACTTGAGTAGGTTTGTTGCGACAGACACAAACGTGGGCGATGTCAGTAGCACACAACAACACAATATTCCACACACACATACAAAAGCTGTTGTGATGATGAACAATTTATGCTATACGAGGAATCCATCGGACATCTGTGGAAACTGTAGTCCATACATTTGTACGCGTAGCGTTTGTACGGAGTTCATGATTTTCTTCTGGTGGCCTATTAATGTAATTTGTAACGTGACTTCAAGGTCCTTAGGAGTTATTGTCGCAACCTGTTCCATCGTACGATAACCTGCCTGAAGGAAATTGTCTATGTATTTCTCCATTTTGATTGAAATCAGCCAACTCTCTACATTGGTGTACTGTGGTACCTCTTGTACAGAGAAACCTGCGTCCATCAGGTGTTCCGGCCTACAACACAAACAACATCTCTGTAAAATTTAAGTATCAAAAATAACAAAGGGCAATAACTTTTAAATTATGCAAAAGAGAGTTATGGTTCTTCTACAATGGGCTTCTCCTTATGCAAATCTATTTATCTACCAATTTTCATGTTCATACCTCTTAGTTTTTGTGATATGCTTCGGAAAAATTATGATGCACAGACAAAGCGGCAGCTCTATGCTTTCCCTTCGGAGAGCACAAAAATTTAATCAGCTGTAGAAATTAATATCATTCTATGGTGAAATTATAAACAACATATATTTTTGAGAGATCACGGAGATAACATTACGAATTAAATTGACCTGAAGCATACCTTGGTTTTGCAATTTTGCGTAGAAGTTCTGGCGCTCTGATGAACTTGTCTAGAGATTTGACGATCTGTACAAACTTTGGACGGTTGCCTCGGTCCTTCTGCCAGCAGTCCAGCATGAGTTGGTGAATGGCTTCAGGACAATCCTAGATAGACATACAGAATTGATCACCATTAGTCTGCACAGAATGATAATAATATGAAATAATAAATATTCTTTATTGAGGATAAAATATTTTTAGCCAAACGGCTAATCTTCCACATGGTCCTCACTTCCATGAGATACAACCACCACCAAATTTTTTGAGGAGTTACCATTCGACGGTCAAGGCAGAAACAGTCAAAACATTTAAAAGACTTGCTCCAAAACCTAGAAAATTTTCAATGACCTTATATGGTAATTTTTCCCAAACTGCCTTTATACCTTTCTGTATAACACACTGTTTGCCACTTTAAATCCAAATTATTTTTAGTTTTACTTATATTCTGTGTTGTTGCTGACATACCATTGGGGGAGGTAGGCGGTACCCTTTCTCTACAGCTCGGATCACATCCTGGTTAGACCAGTTCCAATATGGCCGCTCCCCATACGATATAATCTCCCACATTACTACCCCGTAGCTCCAGATATCGGAGGCGGTGGTAAATTTACGGAATGCTATTGCTTCAGGTGCTGTCCATCTCACAGGAATCTTTCCTCCCTGTAACAGGTAAGAGACTTTAGATTAAGGCTGACAATTACCTTTATATTCCCCTTTTAAAGACTGACAATTACATACATGTCATACATATTGTCAGGCAAATGATTCAAGCTTGTACATATCATTTATTCTCGCTCATCTGATTGCTTATATAATATTGATTCTGGTGATCTAGATGTTTTTTCCCTTTCCCAAAATTTATTTTAATGAACACTTGATTTTATGGATAAATATACAATATAGCTCAATAAATCAAGGTATACTTATTCTAACAATTTGTGGACATAAATAATCATAGATTAAGCATAGCCACGAAAGGAACGAAAAGAGAACTACCACCACAGTATAAATATGATAAAAAAGATTTTGAACTTACCTTTGTGGTATAAGCACCATCAGTAGTGTCAATGTCTACTTCTCGAGATAGACCAAAGTCAGCCACTTTACACACCAAGTTTTCATTAACTAAAATATTCCTAGCTGCTAAATCCTGAAATAGAATCAATCCATTGGATTACTGCTATAGAAATAACTAATAATGTGGGTTGAAAAATTTTAATAAACTTTCATAATTGTTTTATATATCAACAGGACAATCAAATTGACAACATTTTTGCGACACTAATTCACTTACTCTGTGTACATATCCCATCTCAGAGAGGTATCTCATTCCAGCTGCTATACCACGCATCATCCCAACTAACTGTATTATTGTGAATTTTCCATCATTATTCTGTAAACAGAAAATGAGAAGACTATGTAAATAACTGTTACAGTTAAAGTTTTGATGGAAAAACAAACAATATACTGTTAACTGTCATTCTTGCTATTAATCATATTGTTACATTTTGAACCAATATATGTGGTATTTTATTGTTACAATGTAGATTTTGTTTCATTGTAACAATGTGTATGGTATTTTATTGTTACAATGTAGATTTTGTTTCATTTTTACAATGTGTATTGTATTTTACTGTAACGATGTATTTTGTAACTTTTTGTAACCATGTATGTAGATGACAAATTCTAGCGATGGCAGCCATTTTGTTGTGCCATTTTTTATTCATGACTGGCACAGCTAATGAAAAATGCTACTTGGTATATAACATTGGTAACATATCAATATGCAGACCTATACTACAAGGGTGAATTCACTGGATCAAAGGTTGAAAATGTGATAAATTCATTCATCTTAAAAATCAATGTGTACTATATGTTAAATCATTCCTATGTATCCCATATATATTGTCACAGTACCATATCAATGTATCTGGTATTTATCTCATCCAAATTCATGCTTTGTGTTGTCTTGTTTAAAACTAGACTGTAGTAATTTTAACGTATATTTATGTAAAACCTTGCTGCTTTTTATTTCTTAAAATTCTGCATTTCAGCACCAGAGCTATAAAATGAGATCTTCTCAGTAAGAATAATGGCTGTTTAAGTGTCTGATCCTTTGGAGGACAAAGCTGTCAGGAAGTGATGACAAAATACAAGTAAACCAAAGTCTCTTTCGGTTCTAACTCCAACAAATGAGGATAATGTTGGCTCCAACAGATAGGATCAGTTCCTCTTTTATATGCTCCTAATGAGGATATAAACACCCTGATCTTAAATCATCGACCAGCTTTGCCTAAACTGACCTTTTAATAGGTAGTCTTCCTTCCAGATCAAGCCCACAACAATTACTTATCATTTTCCCATTCAAATTAGGGCATAAACCTTGACATTAGTTGGAGCATCCACCGAATCCCATCCATCAATGTCACAAGTTTGAAAAACATTTATTTCCACAAGAAACAAATTTTATAACATTTCAATAAAAGTTTTTCTATAATATATCTTCATATCCTGTTTGTCATTTGCTGACTTTCTGACATTAAATAAGAATGGATTTTTTACCGATGTATTACTTGTGTTCCGGATTAGCCTCCATTTACATAACATTAACTGGTAGGACACCGTTTCTCTGGTTCATGACTTCATCTAAAGTCTATATAGCTCTGGGTATCTCGTATTCCAAATTGTGTCTTGGCTTTATATATTTTCTATGTGAAATGTGTCTGTGAAATCAGAAACATCTCTCACATAAATGTGAAAGTAATCTATCTCTTCCATAACATAGGAGCTGTCTGTAACGTAACAGATATTGTTGACATTCATGAGGGAGATGAACGTCGCGCTGAAAGTATGGCTGTACCCCGACATCGATATATACATATCGTCTGTGTGTGTCCCTTCAGCCTAATCCTTGCATTAAAGAGCAGATTACATATTTTGGGAGAAATTCTGAATTAATTTCTATTCACAAGAGGTCAGAGCAAAAAATAAATCTTAGGAAAAATGTGATACTTAATGCAAATCGGCCCTTAGTCATCGGCGGGAATGGGAATTTGAACACATTAGATTATCACTCTGTCGATCTGTAATTGGGTAGGATCCCGACTCTTGTGGTGTTGCCTGTCGCTGTGTAATCGGGCGATGTGATTGTCCGAAAATTTATGTCGTGTTCAGTGATCTGTAGACCTATGAATGGCTGTGGTGTTATTACAGCCACGATAGCCTTCACTTCAAATAATTAATCATCAAATTTCATTTCTTCCTTCCTCGATGATCAGCAAAAGTAAACAGAAATGATTTACAAGGTGTTTCTGAATCTTTGACAACAGATCACTTGGCGACCTCTCTGTTCATGTGGAGGCAGATTTAGGGAACTACTCTGTGTCTCGAGTGGTGTGTTTAAGAACTTGGTATCATGGAGTCAACATTCAAAGTGACTGACCATTTTTCATCCAAAAACCAATTTTGAAACCAAAACAAGTAAAGACACAAGGAGTAATAAAACAATGATTAACAGAAAACTGGCACCAGTTTAATTTCTGACCATTTCACTGATAAAGACATATTTGTTTTAAAGCACAAGAAAAGACAAATGCAAAACCTATATTACGAACAGGGAGTGTGGCAACTGAGCCAACACCTACTGACAAGACCAACACAAAGACTTACCCTGAGGTATGTGTCTAGTGAACCATTTGCCATATACTCTGTCACTATCATTATAGGATGACCTGGAAATAACATAGGTAAAGTTGTAATGTATGATGTGTTTTCAGATACATGAAAGACGATCGAGAGACAATTCAATTATTAAATCAGCAATAAAATAAGTGATAATTCTTCAATATCAGAATATATCTATTACTTACCAACGAAAGTAAAATCATTACTATCACATTCAATTTTATTACTGTAGATTTTATACGTTAAATCAAATGGAGTATCCTAGCATTATAATAGTCCCTAACGGTGTCGTTATCATAGGTAGACGGCAGAAAGTCGGAGTATTTCTGGCTCCGATTTACCATAATCGTAAAACTAAGTACAGCCTGATGCCTCGTACTTCTACCACACCACCATAGGAGAAGCAAATAAGACTTACTTTTTGTGACGACTCCTTCCAGGAATATGACGTTTGGGTCGTCAAACTGTCCCATAATGCTGGCCTCTGTCAGGAAATCTAGACGATTTTTATCTGTAGCTCCTGGTTTGAGTGTTTTAATTGCGACAGTCATTTCAGGGTGTGATGGCTTACGAAGTTTGCCTTTGCAGACATCACCAAATTCACCTAAAAATGAAGTAAAATATGGCAGCTTTAAAATGTTGTCAAGAATGAAAATAATTTGAATTTAAAACATGTAACCTCTGAAATTCACACATAAAGAAATTAAGACCAGAAATCATATTCTAAGAGATTAAAGTAACAATGTTGATTATCTCCCCTTAATAGACTCACAATTACTTCCCCTTGTAACAATTGAGATCTGACCTCCCTTTATATTGAACTCTCCAGTGAGAACTTACCTCCTCCGATGACAGACTCAATAGTGATATGTGAAGCATCTATTTCTCGTGTGAATTCCCGAACAGCTTGATTTGGGTCCTCATAGGTGTGTGGATCAACATATGTCTTGTATGAGCCAGGTGGAGGGAACAAGGGCACTGTCGCTGCAGAGGAAGTACAACCATTAACAGGGCTAAATCGACTGACCCGGTTCAATAATTTTAGTTATAACACACTTTCAAAACTATTTTTTACAAACAGATGATATGTTAATATAAATATCTGTTTTCGTACCATGGTTGAGGAAGCTGAATACTGCAGGACGTTTAAAACATGTAAATCAAGTCATCGGTAAGGTTAGGGCATTGGCCAATCAGTATGTAACTAAACGTCCAATTAAAGAAAACTTCACAGTTTCTTAACTTGACTTGTTGTCCACATTGTTAATATTCACTTAAAAATGCTTCAGCATAAGAGTAGGATATTCAGTGACTAGTAATTCTGAATTATACTTTGTATAAATATAAAGCACAGTTAAAGACATTGATAGAAAAATATAATGGGTTAGATCATAATTCTTATCTACTCACTATTACAGACTAATCTTAATCTACTACAGACTAATCTTAATCTACTACAGACTAATCTTAATCTACTACAGACTAATCTTAATCTATTACAGACTAATCTTAATCTATTACAGACTAATCTTACTCTATCACAGACTAATCTTACTCTATCACAGACTAATCTTAATCTATTACAGACTAATCTTACTCTATCACAGACTAATCCTAATCTATTACAGACTAATCTTAATCTATCACAGACTTATCCTAACCTACCACAAACTAATCTTACTCTATCACAGACTAATCCTAATCTATTACAGACTAATCTTAATCTATTACAGACTAATCTTACAACAGATTAATCCTTATATTCTACAGACTAATCTTTATTACAGAATTACAGACTTATCCTAACCTACCACAAACTAATTAATACAGATAATGTTAATATCACAGACTTATCCTAACCTACCACAAACTAATCTACACAGACTAATCCTAATCTATCCAGATTCTATGACACACAAACTAACTCTAATCTTTTTCACCTATATCAATTTTTTTTATCTAGACTACCTCTGACCTACTAATCCTAATATATAACATACAGCTTAATCATATTACATTACAGCAGTGTAGTCCTAACCACACAGTCTAGTATCTTAATCTATTATGTAGATGCATTCTGATATACTACATGTGACTTATCTATTACAAATATCTATCTCTTCATTAATTACATTGAGGCTATGTCAATCTTTCACAATGAGACTGATCTTAATGTATTACACCAAGTCAAAAATGATTTATTGTAATAAGACAAATTCATTACACGGAGAAAAACCTTATTTATTACATGAAGAAATTTATTCTAAATCATTACACCAAAAACCACAACTTTGCATCTATTACACTAAGACAAAATATAATCTATGTCACTAGGGCATATTATTACTAATATTATGTATTACAATAAAACAAATTATTACATTAAGACAACTTTGAATCTATTATACTAAGACAAACCTGAAATATTACAATAAAAAGAATTTAATCTATAATACTAAGACAACTCTAATACATTACACACAGAACTAATTTTAATATATTACACTAATACAATATTTTAATCTATTTCACTACGACCAACCTAATTTATAACATTAAGACAAATACTAATCTATTACACTAAAATAAGTCTTAATCTATTACACTAAGACAAATTCTAATCTATTATACTATAATATATCTTAATCTATTACACTAAGACAAATTCTAATCTATTATACTATAATATATCTTAATCTATTACACTAAGACAAATTCTAATCTATTATACTATAATATATCTTAATCTATTACACTAAGACAAATTCTAATCTATTACACTACGACAAATTTTATTCTATTACACTAAGACCAACCTAATTTATCACACTAAGACAAATACTAATCCATAATACTAAAATACATTTTAATCTATTACACTAGGACAAATTCTGATCTATCACACTAAGACAAATTTTAGTCTATTAAAATCATTAAGACAAATGGCAATTTATTATAATAAGACAAATTTGAAATCATTACAGTAAGACAGATCCCAGTTTACTGAGGCCAATCAGTGACATCCTAAGGCTGTTGTACAATATAAGATTTTACAAGGTTAAATCTATGCCAGTATTAGGTAATACTAGATAACTTTTTGCTCTGTTCGACATTTTAATATGAGACAAAAATCTACTAATACCTATAATGAATACAAACCGTTGAGTTGTTAAGAATATTCTATTTTTAGATAAAATATTAGTGGTTTATAGCTAACTTGCATTGAATGCGCATGTAAATATATTAATGAAAAGCCACCTTACACAATATAAATCCTGGATAGGAATTTAAGATAACACTTTATATGTTGTAACACAAGATGTGGTCAAGACTGAGGGACAATATACAAGAGTTGTCCGGCAGAATATTGTTAGGATTGGTTAACAGAAAGTTACATATGTAGTTAGTATCCCTTGTATTACAGGTTATATAGAGATTAGTACTATACCTTGTAGTGCTACGCTATCACTAGTGTAGAATTCAGTACTTCAGTAGGAACAAGAGCCAAAAGGTTTCAGGACAGAGCACACCTGTTCTGTATCATTTATTTATTTCATTCTCAAAAAGGAAATAAATGTCGACTTTATTGTTTTGTTTGTGACATGATCCAATGACAATTTGAACAAGTTGATGCAGTGATGGTGTATATTCCAAGGACAATGATATTGTGCTCCTGAAAGCCTCTGGCAAACTTGGCATGAAAAGCGGCCTTTAATCTTAAAAGCAAAGGGTATATATGGTGGAGAATTTGAAATACGCTATCTTAAGCTTTAGGGCGTACTCGGGTGAGAGCTGACCCAGTAACAGCGTATTTGGCTGGACAGCAGCCATATACAGATGAAGATAAGGTAAAAATTTTCAGAAAACTCCAGTGCTCATTTTACTTACATCCCACGTTCATATGAGGCTCCAACGGGGGACAATGCACAACTAAAGGAGAGAAACAAACAGGCCAAAGGTAAGTTGAGGTGATACAGGTCTCTTGTACCCTATTGCATCAAGGCTGCAGCAGCAATTTGTAAGGAATTCAATGAGCAGCCAACACAGCAAACTGCCTTCAGCTCTGGGGCAGTGTAAGAGGTTTCAAACAAGAGTTCAGAATTTCAGTTCATGGTATTCAAGTTCCGTTTTACCCCAAATATGTACAAATCAATTAAGTCGGTAAATGAGAAATTAAGTCTTTTCAACATCAGAGTTCGTGTATCATATGCACGGATGTTTTTTGCCATTTTTTAAAAACTTAATTTTAAAATAAATTGATACTGTGAAAGTGTTTTTTTTCCCCAAAAGAAATTGACTCTTGTATTGAAATCTCTTTGTTCATACAATATACAGGATCATGGATAGATGTGTTGTCGGTGCATAATGGGCGTGTCAAAGTTGTCTTCTGTCATCTGTGTTAAAGTTTTCTACTGTCCAATATTCTGAGTCAAAGTTGCCAACTGTCAAATATTCCATCCCAAAATTGTCTACCTTCAAATTTTTTCAAACATATGCCAGAAATTGATGTGTAAAACCTGTCGAACATCAACTTAATATATGTAAGTGTAAAAGATTTCAGCAGTAAGAACTGGTATATAAAATCTCACTACCAACTAAAAAAAATTTAATTTAAATCAATATCGTTGATTTTTCCCACCCACACAAATAATTATATACCAAAGTTTGACATAAAAATACATATTTGCTGTATTTGTTTATTACTTCAATTTGTAAACTATCTGAAACAAACTTTGATTACATTAACATAAATTCTATTGTCAAGTACAAAAGAACAGAAGTGATATTTTATAAATAAATATATATTTACAAACAAATTCATCAACTTAGGACTAGATTTCACCATCAATTCAATTTAATATTGGACAATCTCATGTAAACCATGTTGACGTCAACAAATTTTTTTCAATCACTTCACTATCAACCTGGGCAATACTAATTAAATTTTACACCACAGATGTTCAGTTTTGAAGTTTTAATTATTCAACAACCGAGCTGTGGTTATATATATATATTAATGAGAATATCATTATTTAGCAAAAAAAAATCTGAATATTTAAATGAGAATATATTGTTTACAGACAATGACCCGGATGTATAGTTGTGAATTCCATTATGAGCTCAAGGAAAACTTGTAAATCATTACCTTTCTGTAAGCCTGACTAGAACGATTTACAAAATAAATAGGTGCAAATTGAAAATATTCACTTTAGGTGAAGTTGAGCGTGGTTTGAACAATGTACACAGTATTGAGATAGCCCTATGTAAATTGAAAATACTAATAATCTTACCGTGACTTTTGAAAAATCTATACTTCAACAAGATCATACACCAAGCAAGCTAGCATTCCACCCAATTACTATCGACATTTCCCATTAAGTCATAATATGAATGGAACCTAATTATGTCTGTCAATCTGCAAGTCAGTCAAGGTCAAAGGTCATTGTGACATGTGCCCACAAAATTAGCAAATAGCATGCAAACAATATACCCTGGCTACAAGCTCATTGCTTCTTTTAGTAGAAAATCAATGATATAAATGGTGTATGAGCAGTGTATCCTTATACATAATTAAGCTCAAACACCAGCATCAAATCACATTCAAACACTCATTATCAATTATATATGTTATCACAGCAAAATACTAACATCATTAAATTTTGAGAAAGTCTACAACTTGTCATACATTTATCATTTTTTCTATTTCGTGATCACTGATAATTTGTCGATTATATTTTTGTTGAATTTTCTTGAATACTTTATTTAAATTACGCTCCATGTACATAAAAGTTAAAATTCTAAAAGGAAAAATTGGTAGCAAATTCAAAACGGATTGAATTCAGACATAACGTAATTGATAAAACTGATTACCAGGAATGGCATTATACCAGAAGCGAGGAAGAAGTAAAATGTAATTTGATAATGAAACCAGTGAGGCTTCCATAATGAAAATGACCATAACACAGTCCAACATTCCCTAAACATGCAAAACGAACGTAAACATAATATCCTTAAATTAATTGGTATCAAGAGCATGCAGCCTTGTCGTGCAGAAGCAGCATGCAAAGTATGACAGCATGCAGTGAACGGCTTCACAGAGGGACAATACTGGGTTCTCAAATAAATCGGGATATATCTCAGAAGTATTACCATTCAGAACTCTGAGCAAAAGTGATAAAAAAAAAGTCTTTTTTAATTTTTTTTTTATTTTGCATCTATTTTTTTTCACACGTTTTATTTTTAGCTTAACACCATGATGTTGTCCCTCTGTGGTATTGCAGACAGAAAGAAGAAATGAAGGAAGAAGATAATGATTGTGTGATTAGTTATGTTATTGTGAAGAGGTAGAAGCACACTCATTGTCTGGAGATCAACTGTCACATTCTTTCCATTTTCACTGGAAGGATACATTGTGTATGTATCAATGTTTCCAGCTCTCTTCAGCTAAATGATACAGTTTATTTGGAGCTACTGTGATTAAGTTAATTCATGACATTTCGCTGTCAAGTTCATCTGAATTATTTCGTCATCATGTTCAATAAATGATGACCACGAACGAGGAATGAGCATACTATTTCAATTAATTACAAAAATTACATCTGATATCATTTAAGTGCTGTGGTAATATCATAATATTGTGTAAATATCTACAGCCTCCAGCTGATATACAGGACAAGGATTTTCTATGTATAGAGATATACAGGTTTATTGTCTACCCGTCTTCTGAGGACTAGCCACAGCCTCCTCTAAAGGAACGTTTTTAATGGTAAGACTTTTTTATGCAACCACCACCCCTCCTCGGGAAAATTTCAAACATGCCCTAAACAACTAAATAATTAGCTGTTATTTCACCTTTTATCTTTTTCAGATAAATGAATATCTCAACCTTAATAAAAATTGGGTGGGGGCCGCAGAATTAAGTCTTTCCCTAATGCTATTTAAATATCCTGTGATAAGCTCCGACGTTGAGTAAGAAGTAATGTATCGATCGGCCAACTGGGTTTATCAGAGAATAAATACAGTAAGAAAAATGGGAGACATGGAATAGTTCTACGGTTTGGCATTAAATGCTTACTAAAAGCTATTGAAATGATTTATGAACATTTTATCAAGATTAAAAAATTCAGAAAATTGTAAGTAAAAGCTAATAAATCAAATAAAAGAACAAAACGAAACATCCTGAAGACAATTACTGCCACAAAACATCGGTTTTCCATCTTTTCTAAAAATCAAACAAATCATTCCACACTAAGTACTGAATAAAAATTCATTTTTAAAATTTGTTCCAAACATCAATACAGCATTCAGCTTCTCAACTATCTAAACATGCCTCTTATGTTCCTTCCACATCCTAAATATAGGATATAAAAGGAAAAATTCACCATAAGAAGTAAAAATATTTTCAAGCAATGTAAAACATGTTTATAGTGCACAAGAAACACTAGAATTCTAGCTTATTTCTCTACTGTAGTATAAAAGGCAATCCATTTAATCATTGCTAAGTTTTATTTTGTACGGGAAATATAACATCCCCTTTTGCCATAAAAACTCAAAGATTCTCCAATCACAGAATACCTTAATCCCAACAGAGACAAGTAAAATAATACTCCTTGGGGCTTTAAAAAGATTTGTCCTGGGGTCTATAAAAGAAATCTGTAACCCCTGTGACCTAAGATTTGTCACAGGACCTCTGAAAACTTAACTACCTCCCCAAGGAACCTATATTTACCCCAGTCTATTAGTGATAATTTCCTCCCAGGTGACTTAAGATTAGCTTCAAGGTCTCTATGAATAACATCTGCCACCCTAGGGAGCTAAGACTAGCCCCAGGGTCTATAAAAGGTCCCTGGGGACCTAGGACTAGCCTATATACTACAGTAGTTGGTAGTTAGTAGATGAGTAACGTGCTGATAGCAATGCCTACCCTCACCGTGGCTATAGTGAAGGGTGTCACACTCTCCACCCTTCGTCTCGTTACACTGGTTCTGATTTCTGAAAAACAAAAGTATAATTTCATTCAGATTTCAAAAAATAAATAAATAAATAATTATACAAAAATAATTCTAATTCAAAAGTTTAAATATCATTTCTGTACATGGAATATCTGAAGAAAAAAATTATATATTTACCATTTCAGACAAAATTTATTATCAAGTAATTGAAATAAATTTTCATTTATTTGTTGAACAAGAAATGGTTTAATATCACTTTGGTACCCAGCCAGTATGACCACATTATGTTTACAACAGGACGTCTGGTCTCCACTGATTCATCCAATCACAATGGCCTATATTCCGACCCCCTACCTCTCCAACACTCAACATATTACATTTTTCTGAACAAAAAAGCAGAGAATTGACCAGACTCCAAGATTTTCCACCTCAGTTGACTTCTCAGGAATCAATTATGAACTTTTGTAAAAGAACCAATCAATAATGAATAGTCCCATTGGTTCTTTTGTCTGCTGTTGTCACGGCAACCACTCTAATTAAGTTACCGTAGAAATTGGAGAACAGTCACCGATCCCTACCTATCACCTCCATTACCGATCCCGCTCACAAAAATACACCACATTTTCAAAATGTGAAATACTAAACTAACAACAAAATCCATGGTTCATCCTTCAACTAAGGTTTTGATGGTTGATATTGTAAAATTTGAAAACTTACCTTTTTACAAGCAGGTAAATCATAATTGCTGCAATAGCCATACAGAGGAAAACAGCGACAATGGATCCTATGATGATGCCAATTGAAGGCAGAGGGGCATCCAACTTTGTCTCATCTGGAAAGTTAAGAAAATGAAAGAGAATATGAGAATGTCTGATAATACAACATTGGCTGGAGTTGTCTCCCCTCCCTCTGAAATTCCAAAATACAACACCAGTAACCATATCCCAGGAAAACAGATCAAACTAGCACCGATGGCCAAACAAACCTCCACCCAAACAGAATTGAATCGTTTAATATAAATGCTGTTTTCTTAATATAAGACCTCAGTGGTAAAATTCAACATTTCCTTTTTTAAACAAACACTAAATTTATCAATTTTTATTCATATAAAAAGGTGGTCTAAGTTCAGATTTTATGGTCATGGTGTAAAACGCATCACAAATGAATTGAAAATATCTGCTACATATTACAAGTTAGGCTATGAAATACAATCTAACACTGAACATTTCTATAAAATCACTGCTACAACAGGTAAATCTGTGTGTAAAAAGTGAAAGTTTGGTGAATCGGACAGCAAATCTGAGTTGCTAAAGCTTTGCTTTATTACATATTGAATCAACGAAGGCCAGCTATATGCAGACATTATTCTACAAAGAATTGTATATCAGTCATTACCAAATTACCCAGAGAAGATGAGACTTAAAACAAGAACTTCTGGAAAAGCAATAGGAATGAATGCTGAAAGCAAACTCTGTAAGTAAAAGGTAAAAAGTATGTCTATATGAGATTTACCTCCCGGCCAGTGAGTTGTCCCATTAAAACGCCCTTCAATGAAAACAAAATTTGGAGGTATGTTTATACCGTGTTGTATGTGAGGTATGAGAGAGTTTCAAGGAAAAATAACAAAACAATGAAGAGGAAAACAAACAAAACACAAAAACAAACTTTCAAAATGTCGCTGAGAAGGGAACGCCCTTGAATTCTGACAGAAGTTGAGGAGGATCACAGAAAACAAATGCCGCATAGTTTGAAATATTTTCATGGAAATATTTTAACATACCAAACTACTTTTGATTTCTCATTAAAAATCAAAATTCAAGGACATTTTCAAGCAGGATTTTTTTTTAATGAATACGACAGTCAACATGGTGTTATAAGAAGAAAACACAAAGGTATGCATAATTTCCTGTTTAGCAATGGGAGATAATACTGGCACCCTAAACACTAACAGGGGGAGCCACCAGTATTGGAGTCAGGGGAAGAAGTCAGGGGGGAGGGGGTGGGTGTTGGTTGTTCAACCAGCAAAATTGCAAATAGGGAAGTGACTAGTAGCAGGGTTGGATTCCATCAATTCCTTCAGTTTGGGGGAGATCAGAGATTCTTATACCAGTGGTTTTTCATGACATTATCATTAATGGCCTGGCCAGGTGCTACAGACTAGCAAACCTTGTACTTTAGAGGTGATAATCACTGCAATTATTTTTAAACTAAAATTTCAAATCTGTTTACCTCTATAATAGGTGACACCATCTGTAACAAGATAATATTTTGTATAGTTCTCATCGGTCATATTCTCCTACGTTCACTGCGGCAATTTGTAGCACCCCAAAATCAATGGCAGTAAGATGTGATTTATACCATCATTTGTGACAGAAAAAAATAACATTATTTTCTAACGTACAGTGTTACATATATTTAAGGCATCCCCAAGGATGTAGATTGAAACATCCATGCATCCATTCATGATTGTAATCCACGCTCTTAATATTTTTGTAAAAGGTGGCTATTGATTGGTGGAGGCCAGCAATACCTATCCATACATAATTGATGGACACGAATGTCATAAACAAGAATATCTAAAGCAGTTAAGACCTTAATAAGGTGAAGAGGAGACAGCCACACGTGATGATAAAATGAGATAAAAGAAGACTAAGGGTACGGATAACCAGCCTGAGGTTCATTTCACTGTTACCCTGGGTTAGCGGCCTCCCTTGGGAGCCCTGTACATACATGTACAGATAGCCCAAACTTTACTCCACCCATGGGGGCAGCTGATAATCGACAGAAATTCTTCTACTCTGGCAAGCTAATTATCTCAATTCCATATTTGGTCGCATCCAATTTTACCAGTGTTAATTGTATTCAACACTTTGGGGTGCTTGGAATTCTCCTGAAAGCTACACCATTGTTTTCATCAGGTACCAGACTAAAAGACAGATGTTATTATTTTGTCCCCTCATATTACATACAGACAGACATACACCATAAACAGTATAAAAAATCATCTGTAACAAACAAATACAAGGACATTAATTACAAAATGAAAAAAAAAAAAAACATTATGGCAGTTCTTCATCAAGGAAATAAAAAATGCAGTCATATTTACCTGCATATCCAGTCATCACATGGAGAGGTTGACTGAAGTCTCCCCAACCTTTCACTGTGGAATAGCCTCGCACCTGTAATTAAGGAGAAAATGGTCATCAGTACAACTTGATCAAAGAGAACAGAAAAATTCTGAAAGTGAAATTTGTCAACAGGTTGAGTATATCTGCTCATAGACTCTATATAACATTCTTAATCCCTTGAAAAACATCTACGATTCTTCATCCATTCAGAGCCTTTGGTTCCTTAGCTCCCATACAAGTTAATATCATAGTTTTTTTCAATTTTTGTAATAATGTTCACCTTGAGATTTTGAAGGTATGATATTGGTCCTGTACAAAACGTAAAAGGAGTATTCCTGTCACATTAACAACCCCGCCCCTACTCCTTCACCCCCAAACTTTATAGAATAATTTGGATTTGGAAGGTTACATAATTCTTCAATTTTTATAAAATTACTATCTGATAAGAGCACTTATCTAACAATTATTCTATGACTATCCCATCGAGGGAGACAACTCTATACACTCTGGTCACCTAGATGACATACTTGAAGATATCTTAAGCTCGGTGATTTTAGCTGCAGATCTTCATGTTATGGTATTGATCAGCTGACTTAAGACATCGTTGTGTGACAGAAAATGTGTTCTAGTAACCAAATTTTGAAATATTGACTCTGCAGTACAGAAGTACTATTAAGGTCAATCTCATTTATCCTCTCCTGTCACCCCAGTTTTAGACAATGTTGGCAGTAAACACAGACTTCCCACCCTTCTCTATGTATTACTCAATTCGAAATGTGGAAGATGATGAAATGAGACCTTGTTATCATCAGAAATCCCAACAGACCAAGATTTCATCTAGGTAGTTTATCCAAGATGACACGGTTGGATATTTCCGTCAGTTTGCTTTCATTTTGTTTTTTCGTGACTCCATTTTGGCTAAAGGCTGTTTGTTATGCTATTATCCTGTCCAATTGAACTCCAGTGTATCAGCCTTCAAGTCAAATTAACATTACCTACTGCTGTTTTTTTCTCCTTGTCATTCTGTATTACACTAGCTTGTCCCTACGGTATAGCCATGACATGTCCATGTCACCATGTTCTTGAAACAAGCTTCAGAACAATTTCAGAACAATTTTGTAACAGGAACTTTTATAAATGTGAACATGAGTCATCTGTGTACTTCAAAATCAAGGAAAAAAGTGCTTTTGTCAGCTTGACATATTAATGACCATTCTCCCATGATATAATTTTCCATAGATACGAACAGAAAACTTGACCTTCAAACCCCAAAACACAAACTCATCCAAAGTACTCTCGTATTTGGTCTCTATAAGGTCTTTTATCAAGTAGAGAAATGACGTCAACAAAGTGTTTAGACTTGTGGAGTATCCTTCGTTCCTGAACTTGTATTCATGGACTTAATATGAGTTATATCTAATGTTAGAGGGTATTTGGGTGTCAAGCCTTGTGGTGTGTTCCTGTAAAGTCTTGTGGTGTTCATGTAAAGCCTTGTGGTGTTCCTGTAATGCTTTGTGGTGTGTTCCTGTAAATCCTTGTGGTGTTCATGTAAAACCTTGTGGTGTTCCTGCAATGCTTTTGGTGTGTTAATGTAAATCCTTGTGGTGTTCCTGTAATGCTTTGTGGTGTTCCTGCAAAGCCTTGTAGTGTTCCTTTAATGCTTTGTGGTGTGTTCCTGAAAGCCTTGTGGTGTTCCTGTAAATCCTTGTGGTGTGCATGTAAAGCCTTTGTTCCTGTAATGCTTTGTGGTGTGTTCCTGTAAACCTTGTGGTTTTCCTGTAATGCTTTGTGAGGTGCATGTAAAGCCTTGTGATGTTCCTGTAAAATTTGTGGTATTTCTGTATAGATTCATGGTGTCTGGTCAGATGATAAGATCGTTTACAATTTTTGTCATTCATCAACAGACCAAACACTGCATTGTTGCAACTTAAAATTTGTGTATTGAGCACACTGATACTAGAACTGGCTGAAATTGGTATACATTTTACTGGCTTCCACAATGAAAGAACCACTGAATGTTGAAGCGTACTTTAGTGTTCAATCAATGTATCCATCAATTTGGCCAATTGCTGCTAGGCAATTCTTTGGTTATGTCAGTCTGAAAAACCATAACTATATTTCCAATGATTTTCAGTGCTCCTAGTGAGTAACTCTTATAAACCTAGGAGACGAAAAGTATGGAAACTTGTATGGATGTTCTACATTAATCAAGACAAGTAAGTATTTGTAGAAATACTGTGCTTTTTCCTATCTACCTAATCTTAAATCATCAAAATGTGACACAGAGAATTATTTTCCCTGTCTTTATTATTAATCTACATACTGCATACTTAGTAAGAGTGGTTAAGACACACATTTTCCCACAGGTACTCCACATTCCCCTCTACAACATACAATATCCCACAGGTACTCCACACTGCCCTCTACAACATACAATATCCCACAGGTGCACCACATTCCCCTCTACAACATACAATATCCCACAGGTGCTCCACATTCCCCTCTACAACACACAATACCCCACAGGTGCTCCACACTGCCCTCTACAACACACAATATCCCACAGGTGCTCCACACTCCCCTCTACCACATACAATATCCCACAGGTACTCCACATTCCCCTCTACAACATACAATACTTACAGGTGCTCTACACTCCCCTCTACAACATACAATATCCCACAGGTGCTCTACACTCCCCTCGACAACATACAATATCCCACAGGTGCTCCACACTCCCCTCTACAACATACAATATCCCACAGGTGCTCCACACTCCCTACTACAACATACAATATCCCACAGGTGCTGCATACTCCCTCTACAACATACAATATCCCACAGGTACTCCATACTCCCTCTACAACATACAATATCCCACAGGTGCTCCATACTCCCCACTACAACATAAAATTTTCCACAGGTACTCCACACTGCCCTCTACAACATACAATATCCCACAGGTGCACCACATTCCCCTCTACAACATACAATATCCCACAGGTGCTCCACATTCCCCTCTACAACACACAATACCCCACAGGTGCTCCACACTGCCCTCTACAACACACAATATCCCACAGGTGCTCCACACTCCCCTCTACCACATACAATATCCCACAGGTACTCCACATTCCCCTCTACAACATACAATACTTACAGGTGCTCTACACTCCCCTCTACAACATACAATATCCCACAGGTGCTCTACACTCCCCTCGACAACATACAATATCCCACAGGTGCTCCACACTCCCCTCTACAACATACAATATCCCACAGGTGCTCCACACTCCCTACTACAACATACAATATCCCACAGGTACTCCATACTCCCTCTACAACATGCAATATCCCACAGGTGCTCCATACTCCCCACTACAACATAAAATTTTCCACAGGTACTCCACACTGCCCTCTACAACATACAATATCCCACAGGTACTCCACACTCCCCTCTACAACATACAATATCCCACAGGTACTCCACACTCCCCTCTACAACATACAATATCCCACAGGTACTCCACACTCCCCTCTACAACACACAATATCCCACAGGTACTCCACACTCCCCTCTACAACATACAATATCCCACAGGTGCTCCATACTCCCCACTACAACATACAATTTTCCACAGGTACTCCATACTCCCCTCTACTACATGCATTTTTCCCCATGGGCACTTCACTCTAGTCAGCCTCCCCTACATAAGATCCAGGAGCTGACGATCAGCTGATTAGTACCAGCATCAGGACAGCTCTATAAATCACCAGGCTACATTGATGGGATACCTTTGATCTCAGAATCGTTTCACGGCAGGTTGGACATTTTTACTGTTGATTGGTTACATTCACATCTCCGTAGAAACTGCACAACGCTTACTAGGGGATAATGATTTTTTTCCTATTAACTCGATTTTTTTTTATACATTATTGAAATATGCCTTTGATTTACACAGCCTAAATATAATCTAAACTACAGTTAGGGATAGTCGCGAATGCCCTAAGAGTAATTCTAATTTATCGTCTTGATCAATGTCCAGGTAATGGATGTCAAGCTATCGTATCCTACACAAGTTTGATACCACATAAACATTTAAAGTAGAAATCAGAGAAATATTAGACATTAATAATTACAAATTAATGTAAAGAATTAATGATTTTTTTTTTCGTCAACCAGCTACATAAAGACACATTAACTTCATGAATCTGCAGCATTAGAAACATAAAATATCATTCAAATTACACCAAAGAACACACTGAAAATGAATTTAAATCAATTTATATTTTGGATTATTGCACCGGATAATGACAATTATTTCTCCAGAAATAAACCATATCAGAATCATTATATGTAGTGATTATTGAACCTGGTGGTATTAATTGTTGATTCTAATGTACAACTGATGAGGTCCTTCCACCATACACCTCAGTAGTTTGTCATCTGTTCTATTAGCAAGGGAAATATACCACAGGCATTTTGAGACCACTGGATTCAAAAACAAGAAAAGTCATTTATCTTCCTACTCTTTGGGTGTTATAATGAGTATTTAATGCCCAATATTCCACTAAATCATACTGTCTGGAAAATGTGTTTGTCCATTATAAATGCTGAACTATCTTCATTAGCATACCTAAATCACAGTAACAACAGATTGCACTTTGATTTGAGGAATAATGGAAAGTCACTATGTTGTTCTGATAATTCTTCATAAGGAAATCCCTGTACACCATAGTGATGGTCAGTAATTATTAAGAACCATAAATTGGCAAATAGCAGACTTGACCAGCCATAGTTGAGGGTCTTAACCTTGAATAAAGGTACATTTTTATCTGAATCTTTTCATCGCTAGAAAATATTTTGCAAAGCTGAAATTTTTTTTTGCTAACATATTTGATATTTTGATTTTGATATGTTAACATACTAAGTTTTAATTAGACAATAAACTTTAAAGGTACTCAACAATCTTAACAATCACACACAAATTTTCATTCACAATGTAGATCTCGCATATTTTATGAACCAGAGTTATTGCTCATCAAAACAGAACTGCACACTAGTGCCCTCAATTAGAGAACTACATTGAATACATCAACTGTAGCTGAAAAGTCTTTGGCCTATTCCTTTTTCTGACCGATCTTTACTTGACCTTGATCAGGAAAGTCTCATAATCAATACTTGTTTTTGCCTAATTGTCTGTCCAGCATTAGTGAGCAAAATATCCATGCTGACAGTCATGATAAAGATAATTCCTGACAGCTAGATACCCTTTAAGCAGTGATGGTCAGTCACTAAGATAACCCAGGACAATTGTAGACATCTGACTGGTAGGTGATTTGACACTACAGAATTCAATCCCAAGGAATTTGAACCTAATTGAGTTTAAAACTCATGTCCTACAATGTTATGGATTATTTCTTTCTTTATAAAACAGAGCTCTTCATTCCACTGTCCTCATAACACCGCATCTAACAACACACGTTTAGTAAACTTAGAAAGATATACCAAAAATAAGACCAAATAATCATCGTTTATGGTAATATCGTAAAATAAACACAAATCCATTTTTCTTTAATTTGATCCCACGTTCTCTGACCAACAATGACGATAATGCAAACTACAAATACTTTAAGACAGGATTTGTTGGAGAATTTTTGATACTGATAGAAATCGCCCTGGTAACGCAGACATGTGCACACTCTAATGCATGCTAGAGTTGAGAGAGAACACATTTTTCTTGTCAGCATGTATACCTACGAACATACAAACAGACGACCTAGGTTATCAAACTGAGCTGTCTAGCCCCGTTTTTATTTGGCTACTAAACAAATTTTAAACCGATCCTCACCAAAAAAAAGTGTTTAAAAGTATTCAAAACAGGCCACATCCGTATCCCGAGGACGAGCTGTACAACTGATCCAGTTAGAATGCTGCTGGGATTGAAATACACCTGTACTGAATGAAGATCCCGATCACTTGTGATATACATGGCATTGACAAACTACATGACGGCTTCTTTTTTTTAAAGTTACTGCAACTTAATCAGATATAAATAGTCTCCTGATTCAAAAATGAATGTAAAAAAAAAATCAAGAATTACCTCAAACAAAAAAAATTTAAGGGGAAATTTTCCAATAAAAATAAAATTTTTTTTTTCAAATTTGAACAAATTATAAGTTCCCTTTTAGTTTTAAAAGTGACATATTGCTGAGAGTGCCAATAAATTCTATTGGTACAGAAATCAATTAGATATAGCTTTGAGTGCATAATCCTTGACAAATCTAGTTGGTACAGAAATCAATTAGATATAGCTTTGAGTGCATAATCATTGACAGGAACATGGTTTCTATCAAGAATGCTTATATTTCCTTACCAATAACAAATCTGAACACCCACTATGCTACGAAGAATCGCCAAAAAAGGTGTCATTTTTAAGCGATAACATGTGAGAAAATCAATTTTCTTGTAAGGTGTGTTGCATGAATTGACCCTATGTACATATTAAGTTTCCTGCTAGAAATAATTAACCAAGCTCCATCAGATATCACCGAGCTGCTCCTTCTATAGCCTTTCTGAGGAATCCAACGGTAAAATCAAGCCCTTATCAGCAGCAAAATGTTGGAAATTCAACACCTTGAAAAATCCTTGAGTGATTTGGTTAACAAACTACCTTTATTTATCCCCACTGGTTAACAATTTTTCAATCTATTCAACATCTGAAAATTTAAACCCCTCCAGGTCTTTGTGTTCCTATGAATTGTTTAATGATTGTAAACAAAAAATCTTTCGGGTCTATCTTCCAGTTGTTGTAAATAATGTGCGGAAAGTCATAAAAACAAAATGTGCACGCTCTGTGACGACTCATTGATACTATAAATAATGACCAATAACACGCCTCCTTCTTTTGTCTTCGTTTTCATGTCTAGCCGTCGTTTTACCATGAACCTACAAAAAGTCAAGCTTGTGAACCGTATTATTATCCAATCCCGGAGAAAGCCATATGCTTCATTATGATATCAAATTCCCTCGATCATTTGATTTAATGCCCTGCCTCAAAGCGTATGTAAAACCATAAAATATTTTCCTTAAAAAAGAAATGAATACATCGGCCTTTTTTTTTTTTAGCAAAAATACAGATTCACTGGAAAAATTGTGTTTTCCATCAGTAATCCAGTTTGTTTGTCCTATGATAACCAGATTTGTGCTATGTGTAATTTGAAAGCCATTCCCAAATGACCTGTACACAAATATAAAATTAGGTCGGTTATAAAATGTCAACGACAGCACAACTCTGTCTTTTTCCCTTACAACATTGCAAACTCCGATCTTTTTAATTCCAATCACCAGTCTGACAAATGTTGGAAGATTTATCCATTGTAGGACTCCGACGACAAGCTGTCAGGCGACATGGCTCCAGAGCAAAAAGACATGGATGCTTTGCAATCTGTAATTACGTGCCCAGTACATTTCAAACTTGTACATGTTACGATACCAAATCTCGGTCACAGCCAGGTTAGTCTCCAGCATAGTGTCACACAAACAAGTATCAGATTCTTAATTCCTTTAATTGGCATTGTTAAATGACACAACTCCAGTAATGTCATTTCTCGAGATTTGACAGAAAAAAAACGTTACCACTTTTCAAAACAATTTGTTAAAAAATTGAAGAATTTAATCAAATTTATCTCATTCTGAATTCTAAGTTAACAAGCCCGACAACAAGGGAGATAGGATCAATACAATAGCATGATGTATGTCTCTTCTATACCGGTGAAATATTTCCAAGCCAACTACACCAACCACGGTTTATGACCAATCAAAAACACTAAAATGGCAAACGTGAGCAGTGAATCAATAGGATGCCTGTCACAACAAGGGGCTAATTCCCCTACAACTTCTGAAACATATCCCTTCTAACCAGCATGGATCAAACAGCCAGAGCCACCACACACTAACTATTTCACAAGTATGTCATGTTCCAGCCACCTTAGCCAAGATTTCGAAGATTACACACGTAGATCACCTTGTGCAACTTTCAGGGAACTCGTTACAAAACATAAATTGTGGGTGGGAGTTCAGAGATGAAATACGATAGGTCTGCGACTTCTGTGATGAGAATGACATTTTTCATGTATGATTTATGATCTTCCATAAGTAGTATAGTAAAATTTTAAAGTCTATCTGACCATCTTCCCATAATTCCCTGACACACTGAGATAAAGCAACTGATCCATAAATCCCTACGTCTATCGTTCCTTTATATGACAGATGACCCAATCTAATACCTTACCATCATTGCCTTGTAGTAATTGAACATCATTCAGTAGTATATTTTTGTATTGACTACACTTACTTTTTTTTGCTACATATTCCTTACCCTGGCTATTTTATATCCCTTTTCAGGAGAGATAATTCTACATTACTGTCCAATATTAGTAAGAGGGGAGATAACTCTGTATATTTAAATTTACATATTGTTTTAGCGATTAATATTGAGAGATTATGTAATATTGAAATATTGAAACTTTTTTTCGAGACTTTTTGCAAGGGAGATAACTACATTAACCACTGCCTTGAAGTAGTGAATGATTGTAACAGGAGACAAATCTACAGAGAACAGTGCATATGTGATGTACCTAAGAAGAATATATCATAATATTGAAAAGTAATTTTATCTTGTCAAGAGGAAATAGGTCTGTATTACATTTACTAAAAGGTGGCTTAAAATTCTAACAAGGGAGATCACTCATGTATTACATCTTCTTAATGGTGGCTTAAAATTCTAACAAGAAGATCACTCAATTATATATACATTAAAATGAGATTTGTAAAGGCATTTATTGCAAATGAAAATGCTGCTAGTGTTCCACTACAGCAAATGAGAAATATAAATAGTTTCAGAGAAGATCTCTGAGCAATGAAGATACTCATCACCATGCACCATTTGTATACATATCTCATATATTACATACTTATAACAGGTAGTGAGCGTTTCAAAAACAGTCCTTGTTTTTTTTTAATTCCATATTTGACCCGTTTCCACAAAGTAGTGAGCTGAAAGTATATTTTATCTGAATGTCATACACTGCCAAGTTTTCTCTCATATTAAACAGGTTGTCTGATGACATTCCCATTTCCAGCCTTCCTGACTAGTCCAGACAAATATTTGATTAAGACACAGCTTCCAAAATGTGTTGAATGTTTAACAGTGACGGGAAAAAAATCTGCTGATTCATCACCAACTCAAGACAGCATTAATTTGCCCCACTTTTTACGACGCGAGATGCATTTCTAATTTATCAATATCTGCAGCGAAAATTTTAGAAGTTGAAACAGATTTGAAATGAGCATCAATAAAGTACTGCCACAAAAAACAATGTTTAAAGCAAATAAGTTGGCAACAAAATAAACCCTTCCAAATAGATAAATGTTGGGAAATGCATATCAGAACCTGATCAACTGGATCATAAATGGTTCTTCAAAGTTCCTAACATTGATTGTAAATGACATTGACTGTCAGATCAAACTTTGAAGTCAATTATTCTGCACAGTCTCTAATGAATGGGATCGGGTAAAAGTACAGATTACCCTTACACAACTATAGAGCTCTGAAAAACGCATTTGTGTAACAGTGCTGGCTTTACCATCACACAAAAACTCACCAGAGAAAAACTGAACACAGATTTACTAAAAACACAAGCATATTGTTATTATAAACAGATGAGAGTAATTCTTGTCTCTAGCAGCTCAATTTGTCTCTGACAAGTCTTTCTAAGTCTAACATAATACTCATTTGATGAAATTTGAGAAATTTTGCTCAGATTTACCATACACTATTTGATACGCCACCCCGACCTTTCTTACCTGAAAACTATATTCTGTGTCACGGAGCAGGTTTCGGAATGTGAAGTTCTGTACATTGGTGGAATTCGTCTTTTCTTCACCCTTCCAGCGGCGGTACCACTTGACCTGGTATTCATGTATTGTATCCTTCAACTCTGTTGCTTTCTCCCAAGATATGGACACATATGAGTCCCCAACAGATACAACATGGACGTTGACGATTGTAGGGCGACTGCTTAGCGTTGTGGAAGAATCCTCTCCATACTGTGCAGGTTTTTTACTTGCCTTCGTGACGCCATTTTCTGAATATATCCGAATGTTGTAGGTTGTACTGGACTGCAATCCTGACAGAATGACACTGCAACGAAATTAACAAACACATGGTGCTTAAACTTGAAGAATAAGCATTTGCTTTTAGTACAAAAGAACTACTCACTGTTTTGAAATATGGTAATGATATTTTTTATTTCTGTTGGTATTTTTTTTCTGGTAAATGACAGAAGAAAAACTGATAAAGGGATACCATGCATTTCATATAAAAAGGAGTTTTTATTTATGTCATAACTAGGAACTTTCAAAGAACAGTATTGCATAGCCCCTTCATTAGATAACAACTTTTGATTTTTAAGTCACACATACTCCTTAAAGAAAGAGAACAAGAGTATCAGTGATACTGCTGAATGCTCACCAAAAACAACTATATCAGTCACAAAATCTAATCAAAGGGCCACAATTTTGTATTTAAGATGTTGCAAGCCCTGCATTTGACATACTGCATGCACATTTTCTTAGTATGACCAACGTATACACCAAGTTTCTATAACTCCTAATGACTAAAGGCTCTCACTTCGGGGAGCGTAAAAACTGATGCGGGATGACGGATGGACAGATGATGGATGCTGCATCACAGCAGGTGAGCTAATAATACTGTTAGGCAAGACCCATACCTCACTCCATCAAAAGATTTCATACAACATATGCATAATGTTGTTTTCAAAAGAATCTTGAATTCATATCAGAACACATACGAACAGGAATATCTATGCAGAATGACAGTGAGAGTCTTTTTGGTGTGTGTTTTTTGCATTGTCGATAAAGGTCTGTCTATTTTACTGATGTAGCTAGGATAAGAGACTCCAACCATCACTATCAGACATCCACAGTCACAAACACTACCTCTAAGGAAATGGAATTGAAGAGTTCTTAAAATGTCAACTACTTCACTGAAGACATCGAGTCTCAATCATGACTTAAACCATCATCTTTTTGTACTTAGTTTAACAGGTCAAGGTCACAGTACCAACAGGAAGGTTTATTTCATGACAAAGTATTAATTTTAATATCCTGAAGGAACACTTATGTAACAACACAATATCTAGTATTACTGATAAGAGTGGTATTGTCACATCTCTATAATAGTCCTTGTGTAAATTTTGCACACGCGACCTTTAGTAGATATGTGACCTTGATATGAATGCAGTATTTTTATAATAAGGTGAATTTTATTGACAGCTGACCTCTATCCATGACCTTGACGGATAGTTTGTATTGAGGAATGACCTTGACAAATGACCTGCAATGAAAAGTGACCGACCTTGATAGACGTCTTTGACAAAACCAGTGTAATTTAGGAGGACAGATAACCTTGACAGAAGGGTGGGTGACCTTGTTTTGAAATTGCCTGAGAGAGTGGTGACCTTGAGAGTGTGATAAGCCATGTATATGAAGTTGGTGTACTGACCTTGTGGAGTTAAAGGTTGGTTTGTCAGGTGTAAAGCCAACACTGCTGTCACATTGCTGACAGTCAACACGATACATGACGTCATTCCGTCCACCATCGTACATAGGAGGGCTCCATGTGACTGTGATAGAATTGTGGGTATACTGTCGCACAGCAACGTTTTGTGGGGCTGAAGGTGGCTCTGTAATAGAAATATGAAAACATTGTTTCAGTGATTCACTCTATTGTCATTCAATTACTGCTCAGAATCTACGACTTCCAAAATGTCCAAAACAGGATTACAGTGGACAGAGAAAAGTAGATTTACTGTGAACAGAGAAAAGCCGATTTACAGTGGACAGAGAAAAGCAGATTTACAAAGGACAGAGCAGTGTTTCCTCAAACTTATGTGTCTTTGTTTTCCACAGTAATAATGATATCATATTAGATGTGCACTTTTCAGCACACTTTGTATAAGACTGAAACATTCAAAATTATTGAAATATGAAACCATATACCATCACATATAAAAATTTCAATACCATGTTACAATGAGACATGTAGATATTGTTATACTGTAAAGCCTGTACTGACCAGACTACATACCCCAACAGAGACGACAAACATCACTTCGACCATGACATTTAACATTACAGACACCTGGTATCTCACATTTGTGTCTACATAGTAATATGTAAAAATTTTGATGGATCATATAAATACCCACCCCCTTTTCTGAAAATTACCTCATTCATTAAAATGTCTCCAAACCAATTTACCGGAAATATGATACAGGAATAAAGCGGGTCAAATTTCATCCACATGACGAGTTAAAAACCTCGTCCAAAATTCTCAGAAATAACTATCATACCTCAATTACCCTCAGACATGTATGTTATCACTTCAATATTTCACCGAAGATTTAGAAAATGCTTTTTTTTAATCAAACTAAGATAAAAACCACAATTCAAGTAGACAATGTTTAGGGGGCATCCTTAAAGTAGCGATATAAATGAGATCCAGTATATCAGAAATATAGGCCTGAAATTTTCCTGATAATCATATCAGTAGCTAAAATGCTTTAGGCAAAGAATGCCATCAAGTTCAAAAACAGGTTCGTTTTTCCTCTGGTATATTCCATATGATTACAATTTTACCAATTTACGGCTGTTTGAAATTTGAGAATTGGAACACAGAATACGCCAGTTGACAGTAATGGAAGCTGCTACTATTTCATTACAAATCAACACATGGTCAATACTAATCATTTCTATCAAGTGTCATTAAAAGTCTCTATGTTGCATGTGTGTTAAAAATCGAAATTGTTAATGGAATGGACAAAATAGTACTCACAAACCATCTAAGAATTTCGCTTAAAACATCCCAAACAAACATTATTGCATACAAACTTGTAATTAACTTTATAAAAAGTGCTATCATTAAAAAAAGTATAAAAATGAAAGATGAATACCTCACAGAGAAAGAAACTTGGACAGTCACAAAAATTATTTGGATATTCAACCGACAAAAACAAAAGAAATTTGATCACTTCATTGCACTTTCTATGCAGTGTTTAATTTTAGGTCAACAACTGAAAGATCAGGATATAACTATTGCAGCTATAACAACCAATTTTGTCCTATATTGTACATATTTAGTGATACAGATATGTTCAAAGTCCAAAGATATTTACACTAGCATTCAAGCTAACAATCACTGACTGTATACCATCCAATGGTGACAAAGGTATTTGTCTGAAAATTCGAAGCAATAATCCGGCAATGAATTTGTAATACCTTCTGATGTTACAATGGAATGCAGTGAATTAGCTTGATAACGGAATGTTTAATGGTTACACAATGTCACAGGGGACGGCGGTAATCAAACGCCACACATAGATACATTAATGGTGCATTTACTACAAGTTGCATAATTTTATTCGACATCCGCTGGTATAAATATAAACCTGAAATGTACACAATCCTGTCTGTGACAACAATCCTTGCCTCTGTTCTGTCCGTGTTATATCTACCAATGCGGAGCTCTTACCAAGGAACAAAGACTGCCCTACCAATGTGATCCACAAATGACCTTGACCTTGATTGAGATGTCATGTACACCCTATTTACTTTTAATTTCTTTGTAATACACCAAGTTTGTTTTGCTAGCCACCCTGTATTTTATTGACGGCTTCTACTTCCTCTGACCAGAGACGAAGGCCTACCATTAAAGAGAATGTTGACATAGTCGTAATTATAACTAGTTACGACGTAATAATTGCAGGTCAAGTCTCTTTTTCTCTCATTTCCCAATCTTCCGGACTGACAAAGGTTTTTACATAACCCTAGACCAAATTGGCACTTGGTGGTGGCTGTATAGCTTTCAAGTTCAGTTATTAACACTGCATAACTATCACCTTCATTACAATAATTGATAATTGTACAGAATTCAGATTTTGACATGACCAACAGTCCTGTTTACTCGTCCGCGAAATTAAATTACTTTTTACATTCTATTTACTCTTACCATGGTTCCTATATTTTTTAAAGTACATCACAAACGTTGACACAAATTGATATTCACTTACATATCTAAAGCTATCAGAATTTACCTAGTTTGAAAAAGACCGTAAATTATTTAGAAATTGACAGATGAGCAAATAAAGCAGGAATAGGGTAGAAGCCCTTCATTTTAAGTTGTATGAAGGGACATCATTTTTCAGTTTTCGCATCGATCAGATATTATTCAAATTCATCCTTATCTAACCGAATGGCAGTAGAAAACGAAACCTAAACCAAAGAATGAGTGTTGTTTGTAATGACCTTGACAGGTGTTGGAAATGCATTGTACATCTGGGCTAAATGGATCATTATATTGTTTTATTGTTACATACGTGTGCAAGGCATGCTCTTGGGATCAGTCTCGCTGCGATAGAAGTCCTCGTCACATGTACATTCGACAGACTTTGGTGCGGTGGTAAAACTGTGGGCAGGACAGCTACTGCAGGGATGGTTTCCAAGCTCCCATTTATAGAATCCAGCTCGACACTCTGAAATCGAAACTTTACATTGTAACAAAGCCAGATACACTGTAGGTTGGATATGCATTAAGTGTCATAAAACTTAACATTAAAAAATTCTTCACAAATTCTGAAGTGTGAAGAATAATGAAAGTTCTTGTACATAGCAGAACCTACCACCCTTCCCTTCCAAAAAAACAAGAAATGCCAGGAATCTAATAACTACTTATGTCTGGAAGAAAATTACTTTTCTATCATATTATAAATCTGAAGATTATGATTTTTTTAATCTTCACTTTTGTTTTTCAATTCTGCACCACAGAATTATTTGATACTGCATTATAGCAACCGAAGGACATTGACGTGTCAGAAAGCGTTCTATCTGCACCGAGGCTGGCTTGACAGATAAATATCAGAATGATGAATCGACTAGTCATATCTACCGAATCCCAATGCTACAGTACAAAGCAAGTGTGCTTCAATTTTCAAAACTAAAATTGAATTTCAGGAATTACATAAGAAAAGGCATATGTATTGATTTTAGAAAGATTTTAGAGAGATTTTAAAGACACGTGTTATCAATGGGCTGAAAAAAATTCAACATAATATTATTCTGTCACAAAAGTTCTCTTTCCTGAAAGTTTGATTGTTTAAGTTTGATTAGGTTAACACACCGCTGTGAAACAAAGTGTATAGATTTTCTGTCGAGAATACGTACTACTGCTCCAATAGTTAGATTCCTATCAGTATCAGATAAAACAATATCAACAGTAATTTGATTGAGGAATTCAATTTTGTATTCTTCTATGCATTTTTACATTCGGAAATGTCATTAAGTATTTTTGTAGGCATTTCAGAATGGTGCTATACATCAATATAATGACTACTCTTTGTAAATATCAGATTCCAGTTCAAAATAGAAACACAAACCGTGGTGACCTTACCCTTAGGCCAGACCACACAGGAAAGCAACCAGCAGATTAAAATATCTGAAGAAGACTCTGAAAAAATCTGATAAATAATTGTTTTTATTAACAGTCATATATGGATAAAATACACCATCAATTTCTTTGAATGGAATAGCTCTCTGATCGACTGTTCCTCCAGAGATATATAAAACATACCCACATTTATTCAGTAATAAGCTCATGTCTGGTATAAAGCCCAGTCCACACACATTTGTAGAAGGACTTGCATGCAGTCACTGTTCTGCACTAAGCCAACCTCCTACCTGTGAGTGGGAGGTGAGGTGCTGACCTCTTTGGCTTATTCAAGGATGACAAAATATGTTGATTATTTCTCTCCAGATATCTTTTATATCATGGACTTACTCCTGAATAACTATCTTATATATATATATATATGGGCTTGATCTAGAATAACAACAATCCTGGGCTGATTTTAGGATAACTACTGTATATATCTGGGCTTAATCCAGGCTATCAGTGATCCTAGGCTAATTTTAGAATAACTACTGTATATATCTGGGGTTAATCCAGGCTATCAGTGATCCTGGGCTAATTTTAGAATAACTACTGTATATAACTGGGCTTAAGCCAGGATACCAGTGATCCTGGGCTGTTTTTAGGATAACTACTGTATATATCTGGGCTTAATCCAGGCTATCAGTGATCCTGGGCTAATTTTAGAATAACTACTGTATATAATTGGGCTTAATCCAGGCTATCAGTGATCCTGGGCTCTCTGATTTTAGGATAAATACTGTAAATATCTGGGCTTAATCCAGGCTATCAGTAATCATGGGCTCTCTGATTTTAGGATAAATACTGTAAATATCTGGGCTTAATCCAGGCTATCAGTAATCATGGGCTCTCTGATTTTAGGATAAATACTGTAAATATCTGGGCTTAATCCAGGCTATCAGTAATCCTGGGCTCTCTGATTTTAGGATAAATACTGTAAATATCTGGGCTTAATCCAGGCTATCAGTGATCCTGGGCTCTCTGATTTTAGAATAAATACTGTAAATATCTGGGCTTAATCCAGGCTATCAGTGATCCTGGGCTCTCTGATTTTAGGATAAATACTGTAAATATCTGGGCTTAATCCAGGCTATCAGTAATCCTGGGCTCTCTGATTTTAGGATAAATACTGTAAATATCTGGGGTTAATGCAGGAAAACAACAATCCTGGGCTGATTTTAGGATAACTATGGTGTATATCCCCAAATGCTTAATAACTGCCCGTTAGTATAGTTTTTCATTGTTAAACTGTGTCTGTTACGTAACCCATTAGAACATTATATAATATAGTGAAGCCATGCTCTGGTGTATAAAAGTATTATATTGACTTGGTTTTATAGAGATCGTTAAAGATGAAATAAACCATTAGGAATCTGTATGTTGTTGAAGCAAAACAACTGCAATATAAACTTTTGATGTCCAACACTTCTAACATTTATCAGGATTGGTACAACTTAATGGCAAAACACCTAACAGAAACTGATTAAATTGCCAAATACCTAACAGACACTGATTAATATTGTCAATCAGCATCCCCTCCTCGATCTTGGTTAATAGTTATAACTAAAGCAGTTGAAATGCTTCCTAACTTGCAAAATTGTCAGATAAATTATCTGAAAGTTTCAGCAAAATATAATTCAATGCATGAGCATTATTATTTTTGTATTTGTTACTTAAAGTTTCCGAAGATAAGTAAATGAACAATTCTGTATGGTTTGGGTATTGCAGCGGAGTCCAAGATTTTATGATCAAAATTGATTTTGAAGGAAAGTTAAGCCTGATCATTTCATTGCCTCCATCTGATTGTTAAAGAAAGCTAGGTCTATTCTATTAAGTGTTTTTCTCCACAAGTATTTTTGTTGAAGAAATATTTTTCATCGATGGACACTTAGCAGAATGACGATGATAAACAATCAACTGAGGAACAACACCACAATTGAATTACACCCTCTATCTATATTCCATAGAATTGAAGGGTGGGTAACTCTAAAAGGCAGTCTGACAGAAAAAGCCATTATGTGGCGAGTGTAACAGAAAGCCACGATTAATGCATCAGGTGCTATTGAATTTGTTAGAAACTGGAATCCCCCCTTAATAGACACTGTCGGGATCCAGTTTCTCTTTAACTTCCTCAGCACATTATCCACCATTCACTACTTCACAAACAAAATGTATCATCTTAAATTGTTCAAAAGCACTTATTTCCAGCTTTTCGAACTTTTGCACGGAAAAGTGTCAGTTTACGTACCTCTTAAAGTTGGATATAAAAACACTTATTTTGTTCTTTTAAGAGGCTGCATCATGTATAATTTCACATATCAATTTAATTGTTTAAGTGCCAGTTATTTTCTTCTTGAAGACACTGCAAAAGGTATAATTTTACCTATCAATTTAATTGGTCAAAACAGCTCTCACAACGGCTTTCAGCATACTGTATTTCATCACAGGCATCTTTACGTCAGCATAAAAGCCAAAATAAATTGATTCTTACTTCAACTTTAACCTGTTTTGGTAAAAATATTCCTGTGCTGTCAACGTATCACATGAATTGTACACCAGATATACTGACGACTCTCTGTATAAATCCCTCTCGGCTCCTAAAATGAAATTATAGAGTCGACAGAAGCCAAGCGATGGGCGGAATAAGGATGAAATGTCATCCTAACATGTAAATTACATATCAGATATACTAGATTTTATTCCAGGCAGAAGATGATTGTCAATCAAAGACTTGTGTCAGCCATTTATCTTCCAAACCACGAACGAGTTGGGGGTCCTATGACATAGTAGATTTAGCACTTCCTAAAATCACACTCTGATTTCAAACCTGTTAACTACTACATATAGAACCCACATGCAGCAAATGAATGATTATACACATGATATAACAAAATACACTTGTCAAAAATATTCTCCTTCATTTTTTCTCTCCACAGTCTGCCTATCAACATAACAATGCATTAGAATCTTTTATTGGGCGATCTAGTTCATCAAATACTAAACTCTTGAGGTAAAGACCCCCCTCCCCCACCCCCCAAGAAAAAACCCAAAGCCAATGTCTGTGAATGACATAGGCACACAGCAGGAGCTATTTGCTATTCATATTCCCAAACATGGATGTCCACAATAGAAGCCTTAAAAGGCAGATTAGGATTGGCCTATCTCCACCCATCAATTCTGACATGGGTGACCCTCGTCTGACTCCAGCAAGCCATCACTTTCTGACCACATCATAACATTTGCGCATCACAAATACACATCAAAACACTGGCACATCCCAAATATAATGATCTTTCCTGGCAGTTTTCTAAAGACTGGACACAGAAAGATGATTTCCAAACACATAGCATTTAATTTATCAATCATGCATCTTTTCCATTAACAGGTTAGAGCTCCTAATCCTGGTTGGTTTAAGTAAGTGTATAAGTCTGGGTTGTAGCACCATACAAAAGGCAACAACATGCTATCGACTACAAACCTCAATAGCAGAAGATTTTGCTTCATCACAAAAATAACGCAGTCACCACTGTACTAAATTCATCATCAACAAGCCTAGACTTTGGCTTTTTGCAAGACACTGAAATAGCATGTGCTTGGAAAATCTACTGATCAACAATAGATACGGGTGGGCTTATTACAAGACGTGAGCTTATTACTGGAAATATATGGAAGTAGTACTAAAGTAAAATGATAATTTTATAAAATAACATGGAATCTAAATATTCAGTAAAGGGACTTATGATTATAACCAATGTATTACATCTTTATTTACAATATCTGTCGTTATCATAATGACCACAAACATTTTAAAGCTTTAGTCTTCCATTGAAGTTGACATTTTCCCTCAATCCTTCCACTTCATTACCGTTACCATGGGAACAAATTACACACCAAAGGACAACATAGTTCCACCACCCGATACCAGCCCCTTACTTCCCCATAAAACAGTATTACTCTAAACAGGTCTATCAAGGCGACAACTGTGATGAAAGATGTTTATGTCTGAATCCTGAGTTATTTAAATCACAAATGGACATAGAACTCAAT